TCCATCCATCCATCCATCCATCCATCCATCCATCCATCCATCCATCCATCCATCCATCCATGTCATTAACACTCTGTTCCTTGTCTTTCCTCTACAGCAATACCTTCTTCGAGGTCAAATCCATATCCAACCAAATCTGGAAGTTCCAGAGATACCAGCTGATCATGACCTTCAACGACCGGCCAGTCCTTCCTCCCCCCCTCATCATCTTCAGCCACATCTACATCCTGCTGAAACATCTCTGCTGTCGATGCAGGAAGAAGACGGAAGGGGAATTGGACGAGCGTGATAAAGGGCTAAGTGGGTCACCGATGGCACCTGCTGCTGTTTAAATGCATACTGGGGAGGCAGGAACGCTCTCAGTAATAATAACAACCAGCATCAATAATACCTTTCGTGATGGGATAGACTGGCATGCTGCCCAGAGGCGGCCTATTGCTGGCTGGGATTGGCACCAGGCCCCACTGCCACAAGCGTGTGAAGTGCAAGCAGCTGAGGGATGGATGGATGGATGGATGGATACTTTATGAATCCCAAAGGAAATTTTAGGGTCATATATAATCATATAATACACTGGCAAAAAACATACAAAAAATAAACAAATGAAAGAGTTGTGTGACATTCAATAGCATTTTAAATAATTTAAGAGAAATTGTAAATCAGATGTTCACCAAAAAGCTTAGCACTACCCCCCAGTATAACCACCCCTCCCCGACGACGCGTTTGGTTTAATCATGTCATCTTTATTTGGGGCACCGGGATACATCCATCCATGTCCCCGTCCAGCAGAGAGTCCCAGTGAGATAAACCATCGATCTGCTCATTTTGTCTTTTGACAGAGCTTTCGCTGAATGCCGAAGAGCTGAAGAACCTTTATGAGTTTGAGGAGCAGTGCGTGGAGGAGTACTTCCGGGAGATGGAGGACAAGGAGCAGTCATCCAATGATGAGCGCATCCGGGTGACGTGTGAAAGGTGCGCAGTGCACCTCCACCAGCATCAAACACGCCACACCTCCACCAGCATCAAACACGCCAATACAGCCTGTTCGTGCTACTCATGGCATTTCCATACGTGACAAAGTAAATGTGAGCCAGCTAACATACACACATCTCTCACCTGATTTTTTATCTTTTAACAGTAACTGTATTCATAACCAGTGTAAGAGTCAAGGGGGTAAGGGGCACCCCCAAAAATAATCAGCAAAGAAATCTAGTAAATATTAGTCTATTAGCTGGCGTCCCATTTGTTCTGCTCCTAAGTTCTTCGGCTGCCCCCTCAGGGTGGAGAACATGTCCATGCGTCTGGAGGAGGTGAACGAGCGGGAGAACTCCATGAAGGCCGCCCTGCAGACCGTGGACCTGCGCCTGGCTCAGCTGGAGGAGTTCTCTGGCCGTATGATGAACGCGCTAGAGAAGCTGGCTGGGCTGGAGAAGGCGGAACCGGCCTACATGCACCCAGGGTACCCCTCTGCCAGAGAACCTTCCGGGCTGTTGCGGCACAGCAGCATCAACAGCGCCGACGGATACAGCCTCTACCGCTACCACCTGGAGGCTGAGGATCGCGCCCAGGAGGAGCGGGACGGCGGCGAGAGGCGGAGCTTCCTGGTGCCCGAGAGACAGAGCAGCCTCCTGTGCGCCACCCCAACTATGTCAGCCAAGGAGTACGGCCAGACGTTAGATGTCGCCGCCCCGGTGGAAAAGAGACAGCACAGCGCCTCCGTTGATATTTTGATCTCTCCTTGTGATCAGACGAGCGGCGATTCTGACAAATGTAATGCTGAGCCCTCCAAACCGACGGAGCTCGGCGAGTCGGCGCTGGACGCCATGCTGGCGAATGCAGGAGTGACAACGAAGAAGGCTAAACTGGAGGCAGCGGTCTCTTACCCACTGGAGAAGTGTGTGGCAGTGCGCTACTATCCTTCCGATTCCTCGAATGGTGTCCTCTCTTCAATCAGGAAGTGCCAAAGCAGCATCATCCTAAACCTGGCAGGGGAGGAAGACAAGAGCAGCTGGGCCAAGGACTACAGCACCTTCATGGAACAGGCAAGCGGGCCGTCATCCTCAGGCCGATGGGCCCCCTGCTTCGAATACAAAGTGCATCCCAGCCTCTTCGGCCGCATTCCCAAAGTGTCCGTCGTGCGGCATCCCGCCAAGTCGTCCGCCGACGGTGAGGAGCAGGTGGCCAGGGCCCCAAAGGAAGACAAGAGCAGAACGGAGACGCACAGACACCAAAGCGTCAACGACAGGGACCACCTGTTGGCGGTCGAGGACAGGATGTACCCACCTCTCAGGTCGAAGAGCTTGAACACCAAGCCCCAGAAGGTGAGATCTTTGGGGGACAGCATGGAGAAGCCTAGGGCTGCCTCCAGTGTGAAGGACATTTGGGGGGCGTGTGATGGCTCAGTGGGTGAGGGAGTGACAGGTCATGTGAAATTAGGCCCAAAAGACGCCATGAACGCTGAAACCGACTGCTGACAGTGAATTCACCCACATGGCACCACAACAGAAGCACAGCGCCATCTGCAGGTACAGCTCAGCCACAACCATCTGGTATCCTCTGTATATTAGTCTAAAATTAATCAATAATTTTCTGTTCTGCTTAGAAAGCATCAGGGATGGATGAACATCGTTGTGAAGTTATGTTTCAATGTATTAGTTGAGCTGGTAAAAAAAAATGTAACAACCTACATTACATAGTATATATTTTACATGATTTATTCTTATTTCAGTAACTAGGTTTCAGATAACTAGGTGGCCGTCACCGTGGCAAACACACTGGGCACTAACAGGATTGGAACAAGCTCATACGTACGATCACAAACACACAATCACGCTACTCATAAACCACGGAAACAAAAAAAAAGTAGAAATCTATCACATTTTTAAGATGAAGCTTGGGTTAAAGTCCAGTACACAATTAAGATGCCATTGGGAAGAGGAAGGAAAGAACAATAGGGGCCCCTTAACTAAAGCTGCTTGGGCTCCTAAAGATAGCGATAGTGCGCCGGGGGGGGGGGGGGGGAAGAGGAGCGGAGGAGTTAGCAGTGGCCCTCGCTCCACCTGCATCACAGAGAATCAGAAACCAAACTGGGATTCTTTACATAATTTTTACTGAAGTCGCCATATTGTAGAAAAAAGTTCACAATTAACAAAACCAACAGTTCTTTTCATCTTTACACAATTATCAGTCCACAACGAGATTTAAATGTTACAGAAATAGGCTTGACGTTGCTCTCGGACAAACAATAGGCTGCTAACAGTGTTTTAAAATAAGAAGGTGTATCTGGCAATTCCTTTATGGTTTGGTAAACATGGTAAGATACTAACATGAGTTAAATGGAATGCTTTCACTGTTACATTATTAGGATAGAGCTTTATCAATGTATGCATATTTATGTTTGTATACAAACATACTTGCAAATCCATGGTCCCAGAAATATGTAAAATGTTATTTTCAACAGTTATTGCACAACAATAAAAGCACAGTTACATTCTTAACAAATGGTCTATGCAGTGCATTGATTTAATGTAACTCAAGCAATCATCCATTTAATCTAAGAAAATATACTATCTGCCGGTGATGATTCACGGCACAATGGAAGACTGCCGACAGCATGCCAGGTACCCACGATCCCAGCAGATCAGACGCTTTGTGGTCAGTGAACATCCACATCTTGGAGCAATGATTCGGCATCGTAGGTGCAGATATGGCTATCCAAGAAAGCAAATACATTTTGGTACAACAGCATACAGCTGAGATCCTTTCACCGTAAAGAGATATAAATTTTACAGACAGCCATATGTCAGTCTACGAAACGTGGTTTGTGCACCACCAGGAAGAAACTGCAACATGTGGAGTCAAGTGCTGTGCTCTGTATGCGGTCTGTAAAACCTGTTTAGGGAACAGAGATGCTGCTTATAAAATATGAATGCAGTACGTGTGTTTCCTGTACTCTGGGGCTGGGGGGTGCTTACCAAGTCTTTTTGGGGGAGGAAGTGGGAGGGGCTTCCCTCAAACCACAATGCGTTTCTATTTTAGCAAGACCACAACTGGAGCCTTTCTGTTAATGACGGGTCAGAGAAATGTTGAACATCACTTTAACTTATCTGACTAAATTACTAACCCTTCCCGGTTAATCCCGTTTAAACATCACACGCTTCTTCCTCTCCTCTTTTTATGATGATCTACAATGACGGTGGCATGAAGATACAGCCTCTGGCACAGGTGACGTAAAAACGGACACACATATACAAAGGCAGGCAGAGAATCAGCCCTGCATTCGTTTCTGTAAACAGGACACACTTTTACATGTCACAACCTCATGGAATAAGGAAGCTCGTTTTTGCCAGTAAAATATGAACAGGTGGTTAATATTAATACGATCGGATTACTCGGTGTGTTATATTTTAGTCGTCTCATTTACACAGAGATCTATGCATGCATTTAGTGGTTTTCCAACAACTTCACAAGTACCGCAGAGATAGTGGGCCCAATGTCCTGCAGGGTACATAGAGAAACAAACACAGTTATGAACCAGAAGGCGTCTGCATTCAAACATCCAGAAGAGCTGAGGTTTAGTTCACGACCACCTCAACAAGAATTTGTATGAAGCTCTCGCTTTTTATCTGGTCTCAGGACCAGCTGAAAGTTCATTTTCCGGACAATGTCTGAACGACAGCAAAGCTCAGAGGGCAGTGAGAAAATAACGCAGCCACGTGACTTTAAGACGGCTAAAAACAGAAAGAACTTACTACTGACACTTTTAAAAAGACATGAATGCCAAGACATTATAATTACGGTTTGTTTGGTCTTGCCAGTGGCACTTGGCATAGCACATCTATGTCGGCAAACATCTATGTGCTACCAAAAACAGGACACTTTGAAGATCTATTATAGTATTGCACAATGTAGTTTACTAAATTTTCTCTGCAAAATATTTGTCATCAGTGACAGTATGCTGTACAATTAAACAGCCAGTCCTTCATTTCAGGTGCTTTTCCACTAATAACATTTCATCATACTTTTAATATCTTCCACTCATAAACATAAAACAGCTTCCGCTTCTGATTTTCCAGAACAGGCCAGAACTTTAGCTGAATGTCTTGTCAACAATCTCGGTAAAAAGAAAAAACTACCTTCAAAAAGTTCCCTATCTTTTGTTGTATTTCAGCTACTCTTTATCATAACATTTAAATAATATTCGTTTTAATTTATTGGAAAGCAATTAAAAAGTATAAATTCAGCAACGGGAACGAAATTGGTCAGCTTTGACTGAGAATAAAAGTAATCCTTCCATGTGCTCGTGCGAGAGACATTTCAGGATCTATGGCACGTGCGCCACACTGCGCCGCTCTTACAGTGACTTGTGCTCCTTAAACGGTAAATGGCGGAAATGATAACATGGCCTGGGAGATTTCACATTCTCACACAGCAAACACTCAGCCAGGGAGGAACGCCAGGGAAACAGAACCAGTGTCTGACTGCCTCGCTAAAAACACCCGGCGCCGGGATCTTCGCAGGAGCGAAGGTTAGAGGAGAAGGAGCTTCAGGGCACAAAGCACGTTAACGTGGGCTTCCACGGATAAAAGACGTAAACAGACAAAGATGCTGTAATGGCGGGTCGGGATCCGGACTGCGGGGAACCGGGAATCTATCGGAACCAGTGGGTGACTTGAGATTTGACGTTTTTGACTCATTTTTAGTTTGTGAAACCGGCCCTTGGAGGCGGCTGTCGCCGTGGTCAGCAGAATACACAGCCGTGAGCAGCAGCCCGTGAGCAGCCCATGAGCAGCAGCCCATGAGCTTTCCTACACAGGCTGCTCAACACTCTGCTTTTAGAAAAGCAGTGCGGGTGTCCAGGACAATAGTGAGCAGTCCATTAGAGCAGGGAACACCGGAAGATGCTGCTCTTCTTTGACCGGTTCTCTGTGATTTTCACAGGTCCTCCGCCACCAGATGCGCTGTTGTCGTTCTAGCAGAGAAAGTAGAACAGCAGAACATGACGTTAAATTGATGTTAGCCTGCGATAATGTTTCCGAATGACTGCGGCTGCGGAACCCCATGCTACGGTAGGAGCAGCTCGCCGGCTTGGATCCTGGGGGATTCCGGGTCGTCGTTAATGCTCACCATTTTCCTGTTGAGTCTTGTCATGATGTCTCTGGCAAGTGTGAAGAAGGCCTGTGGATTACAAACAAGAGCGGGCTTCACCTCCTTCGTAATTACTTATGAGTGACACGCACACCACTTCATACAGTGAGCTGATCGTCCCACCAGGCCTCAATAGTGCAGAAAGTTCCATCTAACCCATCCATCCATGCTTCCATGTAACAGAGACCCTTATGGATAAGCTGTGTCCGGTGTTTCCCTGTCTCACCTCTTCCACGTTTATGCTGGATTTCGCACTGGTTTCCAGGAACTTGATCCCATAGTCTATGGCCAGCTGGAGAGAGTGAGAGAGACGTCAGTGCTGGGTAAGCTGCACGTACCCAGCCCCCCCCCCCAGACACCCAGCAAGGTGGCACCAGTCTCACCTTCTCGCCTCGCTCTTTGGATACTTGTCTCTTGTCGTTCATGTCACACTTGTTGCCCAGGATCATGCGTTCCACATCCGACGATGCATGCTGGGGACAGGCATCAGAGTTACCGGTTAGCGTTAGTGCTGCCGTTTGCCTGAAAACATCCACTTCCAGGTTAAGGGGAAAAACACGCCCGGATACAGAAGCCGAAATGCGGGGAAGGACCCTGTGATCGTGTGTGGGGTGGAAACAAACCAGCAAACAGCAAGTGTTGGAACAGTCGACAGTGACGAGGCCTCCTTCCTTTCAGAAACACTCACAGGCAGTAGATGACCTATGTATCACCATGAAGTCCAAAGCTGACTATCCGGCCTGCTCTGAAGAACTCATAATGTGCTTGTGAAAATGACTTTCCTGAAAATGACTTAAAGCTGAGCCTGGGCCTTCGACGGGGGGTGGTGGGTGTGGCTAACCGCTAACAGTGTGGCTAACAGTTAATGTAGCTAGCTTCATCCAAGTGGCTGAGCTGAAACTGTAGGTAGAGATATTTCTGAATACAGACCTGGCAGTGAGTGTTTGAGGGTTAGAATGGGAATGAGCAGTGACAGAATGCAAATGAAAAAAAACTGTTCTGCTTGAACATATATTCCTGCGTTTGTTGTACTGGGGATAGCAAAGTAAAGGTCCCATCGACTGACAATGGAAGCCGGACCGCTGCGTGGCATTATCTTGCTTGTAAAATATAAAACAGCCATGATGACTTTCTGCCTCTTCATCAATCTCAATTGAAATGGCACGGTGACAGAACTCGCCTGAGTGGCTTGGCGTGCAGACGCAGAGAGAGGCCTGGGGCCCGGGGACCGGGGACCGGGGACCGGGGCCGAGACGCTACGCTGACTCACCTCCTCGATATTCCGGATCCAGTTCTTGATGTTCTCGAAGGACTTCTCGTTAGTGATGTCATACACCAGCATGATGCCCTGAGAGAGACGGAGACAGAGAAAGGGGAACGAACGTGACGAAGCGGTGTCTCTGATCGCTGCGCCTGAACGCAAACACACCCAGAGCAGCTGGTCACCACGCCTGTTTAACGTATTTACAGGGCAGGTGCCGTTTCTCAGTTGAGGTAATCATAAAAGAAATCAGCACGAGCCAAACACTCATAGGAAGACATGTCATCAGTGCACTTTGTAGGCCAGAAGTGAAAACCCCACAATACATCTTTACAAATATCAGTGGTGAAGGAACAGCACAGCCATGGTGATACCTTATGCAAGGTCACTGCAGGTATAACCACCACTTTAAGGATAGTTCAGGCTCAGTATAATAACCTATACTAATCTAGGAATAATCAGGTATGCAAGGAGTACAGCAGCCTGAGCACAGGCCTCTGCCTAGACAGGGCATTCATAGTGATCTCTACCCTTACAGCAGCAAGCGAAACAAAAAAAAATCACTTTTGGAATGGATCCGATGAGAGAAAACCCTGAGATTTAAGGGCAGTAACCAGGGTGTGGTGGCCGCAGTCCCGTCTGACTGCCAGGGCACCGTGACACAGTGCTGTGACAGTACGACCAGCCGGCGCACAGAGCTAAAGCTCCTCTGAGCTGGACGCGATGTTGCCTCACCATGGCTCCTCTGTAGTAGGCCGTCGTGATGGTCCGGAAGCGCTCCTGTCCCGCCGTGTCCCTGCAGAAGAGGCACAAACACGCATTCGAGTTTCTCCCAGCACTGACAGGGTTTCAGCGGGACAGGCCACCCTGTCATCCCGAGATCATGAACAGCAGCGGGCGACCACCTCCCATCGGCCTCCTTCATATCCTGCATGTATGTCGCACAGAGTGGCTGTGGAATGCCAGTGCGATCTTCCCCATTGTGCCCCCCTCCCCACCCTTACAAAGCAGCTTTGTTGACTTAGTGGAGAAAAATCTTGACCTTAAAGGAAGAATATGCATACCTGTCAAGTTTTGGATTTGAAAATAAGGGAAATTTTCCAGCACCCACCGCGAGGCATCCCACCACCCCAACCAAGCTCCAGTATCCCTTACATTTTAAGACAGGTGTACAAGAAATCTAAAATAACCACTTGTCATTTACATTTTATTTTCATTACAAATTTTCTTTTAATTTCTCATGTTCACTCATGTGGCTCTCTGGCATTCACTAATGACTTATTATACAGATTTGTTGCAGACTTTGTATCCTTGCTGAAGTCGTCACAGAAGGTGAAAGTAACGTTGTTTTTGGCACACAGCATTGCCATTTTAACCTCCGCATTTATGACCTGGTTAATGTTGTAAATGACCTACAGACCTGCAGGTGGCAGTTCTCACGAGTCTACTGACAGTTCAGTTTGGAGAGGCAGAGGAAATTTTTTTTTTTTAATTATATTATAATACGGGAGATTTACAGGAAAATACTAATACGAGAGGACGGCGGGAAAGAGGGGTGAAATACAGTAGTTTCCCGGCCAAAACGGGAGACTTGATAGCTATGAATATGTCAGGAAAGTTCCTGGACGATCTCGCACTTACGGCTGTTTATTAATTTTACCCAGTGTGACTGAACATAATCAGACCTTAAGCTTGGCAGCGAGACGAAGGAAGCATCCGTGAGGATACAGAGAAACAGCCTGCGTTCCTCTGCATGCTTCCTGTAGCCAGCAGAAGCTAAGGCGCACTCTCTCCCCGTCTCTCTCTCTCAGCTGTGGGCCATGAGACACTGCAGAGCACCACTTACACTCCCCTGACCTGTTTCTCACTTATACATGTGGGTTATGAGTTTAATTCTGCCTTAGAGCAGTACAGAGTCTCGCTCACTGAACAGAATGGAAGAGATGGTTTGTGCAACATCAGTTGGCGAACTTGATGCATATCTCCAATTCTAAGTGTGACAAAATACAAAATGATACTAGTGTGTATATATATATATAAGCACGAGTGGCCCTCACACCAAGCATTTTATATCATCTAAGGCTCCGAAGAAAACAAAGGATACAATCTTAGTGTCACACTGATTACTTACCATATCTGAAGCTTAATTTTCTTCCCATCCAGTTCGATGGTTCTGATCTTGAAGTCGATCCCTAAAATGACAGAAAAGCACTGATATCACAAATGGTTGCAAACATGCGGTCACAAAAATATTAACATTAATTACGTCATCGGCTACTCTTTGAGAAGGCTAGGAAGACCATAACAGCTGACTTATGCACATTATTTGTTTAAAGTTTAATTCTATTCATTCTATTGAACTTCCAAAAGTTATTTGCACCCCTGTAAATAATAATAATTTTATTTCATTAAATAGAAAAAAAAAATACTTTCGTTTGAAGAGTAACAAAAACCACAAGCACATGACAGAAAGTCAGAGTGACAACAAAAGGTCCTGACATTATATAAAAAGGTCAAAGGTGAGATTTCACACCATTGCGTGGCAAGTTAAAAGCAAAATACCTCTGACGGGGTAGACAGTGTTTCCCCATAATGCCACTTGAAGCCGTTTAAAAACTTCAGTTAATTTCTCATGCACAACGTGTAAACCCCACATAAGCCAGGCTGGATCCTCGTGTTCTGGACTTAGTGCCAACGTTCTTGGCTTTGCTCACCGGCACGGGCACAGAGAACGGCCTGCTTCTCTACAGGAAGGGATCCCATTAGCGGTCTGGGATGGGCCAAGCCACCCACAAGCGGGACTGACTCGGCACGGAAGCCGGCTGCTGTCCGCACGTTAAACAAAAGTGTAGATCAGAAGAGATTCCCTTTTTTGGATCCCAGGCTGTATGAACTCTGGATTTAATCAGACGGTCCCCGCAGCTACACTGCAAAATCTGCCTTCTAAGTAGCTATGGAAGTAAAAGCAGATATTGTGCAGTAGCCTCAGCTTCACCTGGCTGACACCAACCGCTCCCCCTCCCTAAGAGAAAGCGATTAAAGCTCCCCCTCCGCTTTAACATGACAGTGGAGACGAACGGCATTTAAACATCAGCAGAGGGAAGAGCAGCACTCAGAGATACTCTGAACATACTTTCTCTGGCTTGGACATTAGCGGCAAGTAAACATCAGACTACTACAATTCAGGATACCGCTTCCCAGATTCAGAATTCTGATTCAAATTACAGGGGAAAACAGGTAGTGATAATTTCCCATTGTAATCATAATGATAGCAATTACAAGGCATGTAATAATGCACAGCAATGATGGCAGGCCTTACACACGTAACTACAAAGACTTTGTTAAACCATTTAACAGGATAAAGAAAAATAAAAATACATAGAATAAATAAGGAGTTGGGTTTGTTACCCCTTGTTAACTAGTTCCAGTCTTAGAAAGAACCCTGTTATGATACAGTAGCTACATAATATTCCTGAGCAAAAAATATAAAGTTACTGTTGCATAGTACTGTCATCTAAACATTTTTCAAATGTTTCTATAATGAAGGCCCAGAGTAACATAATAGCTCTAGAAAGATCAAACAGGCTTCAATTAATATTTTGTGAATATGTTTGTCATTACTGGTGAAATGACCTTCTGACCCACCAAACTAGCACAGCGGTCATTTTCAGCAGCCTGTTCCCCCCTGTGGAGGGTGCCCCCCTGTGGGAATGAGGTGTTCCAGCCGAAAACCACCCACACCCAGCGGCCTGCACCTCCCTGGGGCACAAGGGCGACAGGCTAAATAAAGCTAAAGCGGCCCACTAATCTTAGCCAGGCCTGCAAAATGAGCGACGTATGAGCACTAGAACGATACCAACAGATAGGAAAGCAAACTGCTTATGTGCAGCCTCAGCCTCGAAAGCAATACCATGGAGTATCACGGTAACACAGCCCCAACAAAGCACAAAAATAGCTGGCGGGTGGGATTTACATCTTTAGTGTTAATATTTATTCACAGAAAACCAAAATAACGGGCAACTTCTCAATGAACTTTAATAATAAATAATATTTGAATATTAAACAAATAAGCATCATGCAGATAACAATGAAAGGAAATAACAAACCCTCTATCAGACACTAAATTACTAGCAAAACAACTTCTTTTGATTTCAGCAAGGTGCCCTTTGAAGCCGACGGAGTAGAATGCTGAAAATAAGAGCAGATATCGTGCGGAAAACAGCAGCGCAGAGAGGAAGTGGTGAGCTGCACAGAGCAAGGGCTCGGGCCGGCCTCGCGGGCCTTTCCGGAGCACGGCGGAGGCGGCTGACGCCGAGCCCAGCAGTGGCGTCATGCTCTCCCATGTCGCTCCTTTTTGGGGGGGGGGGGAAACCGGCTGTAGCAGCCACACCTTTGAGGTCACATGGTGGGCCGAGGAGTGACAGCCGGGGCCAGGGCCAAGCAGGACACCTCTATCTCAGCACCACATGGGGGTCCGGCCCGGCTGGTGCTGAGGCAGACGCCCCAGCACTCAGGAAATCTCTGAATAATCAGATACCGGCACAGCCTCCTTCAGTTCACCGCCATCTTTACTGACATTTAAAGGGTAAAACAACAAATCCTGGTGATCTCCATTAAAAACAGCAGAGGGCACAGCTAAGAGTCAACCTGCAAATGAAAATGTCAGTGCATGACAAACTACAGCTGAATACCTGGTGAAGAAATGCAGGTAAATTATGCTTCAGAAGCAGTCGGCGTTGTAGGCTTTGATCAGTGCAGTTAACGATCTCCAGCCCACTTCAAAAAACAGAGCGAGGCGTTCAGCTTTCCCCCGCAAGGAACCGGGAGTCTCTAAAGGATGACCCTGCTAGGCACGACCTCCTCCTCTGTCGGGAGGACGCAGACCATCTCGGAGCTGCAAGGGTAGCCTCAGCTGTCACTATTACATTTCCTCCATTATGAAACGCCGACGAGAGCAAGAAAAATGTGTCAATGTACAGGATACGGCCGTCAGGGAAGTACGTGTTTAAACTGCTGTCGCAGTCCAGGAAGCGGAACAGAAACAGCGCCTGCAGCGATTAGGGAAGCCCGCGGAGAGGCTGAGGTCGGGGTCAATGACCTCCCTTCTCCCGCCCGCAGGCCTGAATCCTTACTGCCGGAGAGGCGGAGGAATGCAGAGTCTCAGCGGTTCCCACTACACACCCAGCCAGCTGAGGGTCACGAGGTCCAGAAGCGGCACTGACAGAAAGTCTTCTGTTCCTCCGAGTCGGCAGAGCACAGCCCGGCCCAGCTCGGGAGTGGACCAGCTGCCTGCAGTCCTGCTTAATCACTGCCATGACAGGAGATGCCCAATAAAGAGCGGGCTCTCTGCTCCATGACATATCAGCACGTAAGCTCCACTATCTGACATTCACTCACACTTTTACTGTACTTCTGGGAGGAAGATGTCTGCCATAGTAAACCTTACTGTCAAATGCAGACAGAATTTTACTGTCCCCAGCAGTGATGGTCATTTTCAAATCAAGACATTAGACAGCTTGGCTTGACCGTAAGTAAATCATCCCAGAATAATTGTTTTACCTGAAGTCCAAGTTATAAATACAAACATCAGATTTTGTCATGACTCCACTATTTGGCTGGGAATAAAAGAAGCCAAGGGTAATGATCCACTCACATCTTATTGGATGAAGGGGTGACACATTCTGGCAGCACAGTAAGAATGTCCTCAGAATCAGTGGGGAAATCCTCAGCACTAAAGCACTCAGAGTCTTAAAAAGGTGGCCAGCATATGGTTCTGGTGACACAATCATTGAGAACACATAGCTTATTATCCAGATTCAAATTTCACCGCCATATTCAGTCCCATCTGTATATGTGAAAGGATTAGAATTCACATAATTTTAAGGATTTTTTTTTTTTTAAGTATGCAAAAACATCCCTTTGTTTTCCCATAGTTTCCCCGTTTTGGTTGCACTGTGAGATTTGGAGCAGACATAGTGATGTGTCTAGTTAACACAACAGGGATTGGCAGTGTCCCATACCCTGAAAGGAGTTTTAACAGCCATAAAAGATTAACCCATTAAGGAGAATGCCTGGTGAACAGCGTGTCGCTCTCTCTGCTCCGAGCCCGGCTGTTTTTACTGGAAAAGGGGGCAGGCCGAAGATAACAACACTTCCTGTCTGATGTCTGCGCTGCTCTCTTACCACCAGCTTTTTTCACAAGACAAAAACCAATAAAATCTCCTTTTAGGTACTGAAATTCAGGAAAATTCACGAGGCCCAGAAGCTTCAGAAGAGTGTTATACGAACTGGAGAGCGTTTATCACCAAGACACTTTCATAATACTATATTACTAAAGTCACACAGGAAATGTATAACACTTCATGTGAAACCCTTCCACAAACGCCAGCAGACTATAACAAAATATATTTAATATCAGAAATGCTATGTATAGATATACTGCAAGACAGGTGCTTTCTAAGGATTTTGGAAAAATGCTCTGATCAAACAGCAAGTCTGGTCAGTCTATTATTCATTAATTTCACTTAACCTAACATTTAACCCATGCCCAATAAGCCAACACACTTAGATATTAAAGGTAATCTTTCCCAGGTTGAAGCACAAGTCTAAACATGTAAAACACCATAATCTTTTAGAACTGAAGCCTCTCACTTCTAAGTATCGGATGTCAAATATCGGATGTGAAAAAGTAAACTGAAAAGGGTCTTCAATTAACTTACATTCCGACTCAAAATAGCACCCTGAAGGAACTCTAGACCACAATTCAGACGGTGACTGGGAAACACCACAAAATTAGCACATAGCACACACAGACATTTGCAATCTTGGAGTGCCGGATAAAGGCCAACAGAGTTGCAGCAAGAGAAGTCTTTTACGAATAACACAGAGAAATATTGATTCACTACTAAGTGTCAGGAACACGTAAATAAAATTGTGATTATTTTTAACCCTCTGATGACGACAAAACATCCTCCAGAACATTTGGGCCATTTCGATATTTTTTTTTACTTTTACAGCCTAGAATTTTAGCTCCACCTTGGCCTGAGCACTTGCACATTCCTCATGAATTCTTTTTATTAGTCAACACGTGCCGCAGGACAGCCAGCGATTGTCAGAAATGACGAGGTGTGCCCAAGTGAGCTCCAGAACCCCCCGAGTTCAACGGGAGCCCCAGAGCGACATTAACGTCCCTGCAGACGCTCGACTTTCGCGCTGTGACTCAGCAGTAAGGAAGCCGGCGTGGTGACAGGCATTCTAATTCGCTATATGTGTGGTGAAACCACCCAAGGAAGATGTCCGTCTTTGAGGAAATCTTAACACTGTGTATGATGCCAGCCGCACATGGGACGGGGCCCACAATCAGCCCCACCGTGACCCCTAAGCGTGTGCAGTCACATGACCGATGGAGACGTGATCGACCACAGGACGGCAGAGCGCCAGCGCGAGTAACGGCAAGTCACCCAACAGAAGTGACTCTGTGGCATCGGGCGCCATGTGTAACCTTGGCAGCAAATAAACGCTACAATCTGTGCTTTAATGAAAGCGGGCAGACACAGCAGGGGGGCACTTTAATAGCCAATGACGCCCTGTATAAAAAGCAGGCACACAGACCCAACTAGTTAAGTGCACAATTATTTGCATCTGATGAGGAAATCGACTAGACTATAATTACACGCTGTAAACCGGTGCTCTTGAAACACCCACTGGCATTCTCATATCAGTCTATGTGCCATTCAGCGGCTAATTGTGCTAATGAGGGATTCTTAGGCTTACTACACTATACCAGAAGAGGGTGAGGGTAACCAGTTACTTAACTCAACATTTCAGGCTCGTATAAACATCCACCACAAGCAAGGAAAACAGGTCTTCCTGTTCTGTACATCCTGCTGCACAGGGTGAGTTTTCTGTAACGGTTTGTTTTTTATTTTCACTTGCACTTTTGCTCAATGCAACGACTGCTTTGCACTATTTCCCTATATACCACCTTTAGTCAGCAACAGGTCTGTTCTAACAAATTAAAGGAAATTAAAGGAATAAACGCACATTCTCACTACGTGCAGCGATGACACTGATGTCAGCGTCTTCGCGTTAGTCATTTCTTGTATTTAAATGAGCCACTAACGAATTCACACACAAAGCGTACAAATTCACGTGGAAAGGCACCGTTGCCTGCTGTGTAGCAGCTCTGCGGTAAATCATGGATAGCAGACGGCTATTTAGGGAGGGTCTGGGAGAGACCGGGCTCGGGGTGACGCTGTGACAGTCCCGGAGGCAGGCACACAACAACGGCAGCTCTGTCTGCGCCGCCGTACAAACTCATTATTTATTATTAATAAAGTTACCACTTTCTCCGCGATCATATCCAATATCCCCGCACACGAGGAGCACATCCTCTGCCGCGGACCGGGGCAGAAGCCCTAGGTCTCCGGGGCACCAGACGGTGACTCCCGAACATGTTCGCGTGATGAACCCACGGCTGCGCCCTTCCCCGAAAAGATTTATTCCTCATAACCAACCGGAGTGAAACACGCAGCCAAGAAAGTTTCCTTTCTTATACTCTGAATGAACAATGAAACAAATCTGAATGAACAATGTAACCAACACAAGCGGCGGGCGGATACATTTATAGTCAAGCGCCAGCTTCCCGTCCCAGAATGGAGGCTGACCGCCCAATTGACTAACTAACTAAGTTAACTGACCGACTGACTAAATCCAAATGACATGTTAAATAAGACACAGTCGGTCCTTTTCACAGAAACTTTGCGGGCTACCGGCTTCCCCAGCTCGGCGCAGGACTTAACTGTTTCCTGCGTGCGAGCAAGGCGTGCCGCGGTCTCTCTGGAGGCCCATCCCTCCACCGCAAACCCATCGCCTTTATTTACTGTCCCTTATTCTCCCCAAAACCGTTATATCAGCTGGCGCAGCTCCCCGCGACCAACACCCAGCCCCCACCCTCTGCGGAAATAAATAACGCTCATTGCAATGTGACAAAATCCGGTAAACTAACCTATTGTGGATATAAAGGTGGTATTGAACGCGTCTTCGCTGAACCTGAAGAGCAGGCACGTCTTGCCGACACCGCTATCTCCTATGAGCAAGAGTTTGAAAAGGTAGTCGTACGTTTTCGCCATTTTGCTGCTCGGGCTCCTGGCTTCGGAGAAATGACAATGTATCGGTCTGGCTCGCTTTTACTTCTGACACAGTATCCATACGGTGTCAAGAAAGGAGGGCGTGAGCGGCGTGACGCCAGCGCGTCGGCGCGCACAGCTTCACGGTAAATGTATTTCTTGCGCCGCCTATCGCCGTATGAATCAGGTAGTAATTAAAACTATTTTTTGTCTATTCGGATAAAGAGGAACTCTTTGCGACTGCCGATTACTGTGCAATTTATTTCCTTTTCACGTAAACATATAAGGTATAAGATTTGCTATACATATTGTCTTTTACCGACCTGGCCACAGTCCAACTATTTAACCTGGTCAGGATCCTATCTACCCTAGACGGGATATCAGTGTATGACAGGATATACACACGCAATCGTACACCGTGAGCAATTTAGGAACGCCAGCTATTGGAGATGCCTGTATATGGATTTCAAGAAGACATCGGAGTATCCTCAGGAAATATCCCCGTCAAGAAGAGAACATGCAAAGCTGGTATTTGAGCACCCAACACAGTAGTGTGAGGCTGTGGTGTGACCCACTAAGCCAGGGGCGCCCAACTCCAGTCCTGGAGGGCCAGAACCCTGCACATTTTTGGGTTTCCCCTCATTTAACACACCTGATTCAACTCCTTGTGATAATTACCACAAAGCTCTTGAGCTGAATCATTTATGGTGGAACAGGGAAAGAACTAAGCTACACAGGGCTCTGGCCCCCCAGGACTGGAGTTGGGCACCCCTGCACTAAGCCTTCATGCCACCTTAGAGAGAGTTTGAGAAACTGTTAAAAGAAAGTACATATTTCACCAGCTGTGGGAAACCATACAATGTCAGAGCACATCACAGTACTATAGTGTGTATTCTTTAAACAGCTGTTATATAAATGTGGAATATTTAGAATAATCAACTGTGCTGCAGTTATATGGCTTATTACATAGGCAACAGAAATTCATGTATTTTGCATTTGCACTACGCATATATGTAACATTGATGGATGTTTTGATTTTGCCCATAATGCAGGATCAAATGTAATGAAATTACTATGCTGAAGGTTTAGTTTCATGATTTACTCATCAGTTTAAGATAATCTATAATTGGTTACATATAGTAGTAAAAAAATTTGGTACATTGACAAATCATTAATGTGAAGTGTTTTGACTCTATATAGTTTGCCTTTATGAAAGTTACAGATCCAGGACAACTGGGAAGTACTTTGAAGTCAGATGTTAGGCACCTTTTTGGTTACACAGGACCTTCTTGTGCAGCAAAAGGCATCAGGGCACTGAATGTTACATTATATCAAAGTTCAATCACCCAAATATAAACAACTAGTCAGAAAAGGATTTTTATTTCTGGAATTACATTTTGTGTAGTGGAATTAAAAAGAACATAGAGTAATACAGTATAAAATGCTTTATTTTAAAGTTTTTAGGAGCCATGGGCACATGAGAACCTTCACAGAAAGCATAGATGATCAAATTTTCACTTAAAGGCCTTTTAAATTGTAAATAAAAAGGAATGAATGGGTAAGGAAATATTGTGTAAATTATGATATTCTCCATTGCACTGAGGCATTTTCCAGCTCAACTCAAAATAAAGACGTACTGTACAACATGCAGTGAATGCACGCACACACGATACACATAAATCCACCAGTGTGCCACGTTTAGTGTGTCTGGCATTGCACGCCACCCCTGGGCCCTTCATCCTCTTCATACGCCTCCCCGCGGAAGCTCCTCTGGGAGCTGAAAGTCATCTCACAGAGATCAACCTCCTCCATGTCATCAGTGATCATTTGCTCATCCCTGGTAGGCAGCAAGGCCTCCAGTTGGGGCAGCATGTGCTCTGGAAGCCAGTCCTTCTCTGGAAACTGAACCTAAGAGAGGGCCACACAGAGCGCCACGTAAGTGATGCAAACCGCAGAGTGAGCAGTCTTATCAAACTAGAATGTGTGCGTCTGCACACAGGAGACTTCCCTGTGAGGTAACGTACCGAGAATTCAATAAAGAGCTGTCCCTTTACATAAGGGTCTCGGTTTATGGGCATGCCTTCATTGGGCACACATCTGGTGTTCCTGTGCTTTATAACTTGACCTGAAATTCAGAGCAATCCTACATTACTGCACTGTGCACGTAAAGATGCCCCACCACACAAGAAAATACCTCATGCATACATCACAGTCAATAACAAACGAAGGGCGGCTATCAGTTTTCCAGAACTCCATTTCCACGTGGGTGGATATCGAAATCGGTTAGTTCGATTTAAAAGTTCTTCAAAGAATAGCTCAGTTGTGCTTTGGAAAAAAATTTAGCCTTAGAGGTTAAACTCAGTGTAGAAAAACACCCATCAACACGAACTCACTACAGTCTGAGGGAATTTTAAAAAAAAATCCATCACCTTAGCAGTACAATGTCATGTGCACAAGACTTGAACACTATACAGAGAGTTAGTTACAAGAAATAATCTACAGGGCACTTTAAACAGGACGCCATTTGCTGACCTGGTGGTGAGCTGATGAGCAGCATTCTGTTATCAAGGGTACGGATGGTCTTCTTGAAGCCACAAAGGGCTTCTACCAACTTGATTTCCATTTTCATTAGTAGATTATTTCCTTGTCTTTGGAATATTGCATGTTCCTTCTGATCCAGGACGATAATGACATCACCAGGTTCCAGTCCTGGTTCCTGGTCACCCTCGCCATGGAATGTAATCTTCTGGCTATCCTTCATACCTGTTTGAAGCAAATGACATTTCTTAGGTGTCTCAGCATTTGGAAACATTATTAGCTGAAACCTTTCTGTGGGGAAACGAGATAAAGGTTGGATGATACACACCTTTGTCAATGATTACTTCCAGAATTTTCTTCTTGCGTTCCACTTTGTGGCCGTTGCAGTTCTTACAGCGGTCCTTGGCGCTGAACCTCTCCCCTTGGCCATGGCAGTCAGAACACATGCTCTGAATCTGCTGAATCATTCCTGGTCCAATCTGCTGAATCTGAATCTGAATGCCCCTTCCTTTGCAGGTTGAACACTTCTCTAGAGCTCCCTTCTTCCCACCATAGCCTAAAGCAAAAATAACACTTCATTATTATACAATAACGCCAGATTTAAAAAAAGTAAATTACAAAATGTGCCGAAGTGTTTCATTAAATAAGGAGCAGACCGAAATAAGGGAAGTTTTCTATGACGGTCAGCTGAACCGTGAGCAAGGAGCAGTTTATCATGAATTATTCAGATTAAGAACAGTACTCTATCTTGAAGGACATACCATCACACTTCTCACAGATGATGTTCTTTTGAAGACCAAGCTTCCTAGTTGTGCCATTGTAGAGCTCCTCTAGTGAAACACTAAGCTGATGCACGACATTCTTCCCTACATAAGGAAAAACAATAGCAATAAATGACAAGCAGCTAAGAAGCAAGGTAATTCAGATGTCAAATTTCATACTAACAAAGCTATGGTAAAACAATGTATGGGTGCAAATTACAGCACAGTTTTGAATGAAGTAGCAGTTGAGTATATTTTATTTTCATTATATTTTTTTGGCATAATCAAAACTTAAGTTATATAAATGGTTTCCATAGCACTGAATCCCAATGACGCATATTACTACATTACCTTTCCTTTCCCTTTGTGTTCTGCCACCTCCCCCAAAAAACATGTTGAAAATGTCCATCGGGGAGGAGAATTCCCCTCCACCCATGCCCCCTTCTTTAATCGCTTGCTCCCCGCCTTGGTCGTACAGATCTCTCTTCTTTGGGTCTGACAACACCTCATATGCCTGCGATATGAGTTTGAACTACGAAGAAAAATACGTGTCAAGTTAAAAGAAAATTATCAACAATTTCCCAAGGCTTGTTGTGACGACATGCAATACATGATCGTCATAGTACGTCATCTAATCATGAAAGCGCATATTTTGTAATTTCGGACAGCGCTACTAAATTCATAGTTACTAAGCTTATGCTGTTAGACTGTCCAAAACCGACATTGCAGTGGAATAAAATACGCAGCGTGTGCTAGTAGGTATTCAACCACAAGAACGCCATCGCGATACTGGGACTGGGGCATCTTGGAGGTCACGGCGAGACGCCAGGACTTCCAGAAGCTTCCGCAGAGCGCGTTCCCAGTCTCCCAGGGCCGTAGTCGTACCTTCTCGCCCTCGTTGGGGTTTTTGTCCGGGTGGTACTTCAGCGCCAGCTTTCTGTACGCCTTCTTAATCTCATCGCCGGACGCTTTGGGACTGACTCCCAGCAAGTCGTAAAAGCCGGTTTCGCGAACCATGTTGCCGGTAAATGGAGACGGTTAATGCTGGCGGGGATTATACGAAAGCAGCGGTTAGCAGCACAATAGGAAATAACAATATATATAGTATATATTTACAAAAAAAAAGCGCAGGCTTTATAATAAGGCTAATATGAAAGAAGACAATAAAAATCCGTAGATTTGCCAACAGGAATAGCTAGTTATTCTTACTATTTCCGCATTTCCTTGATGCAGTTGCCCATCTACCTTCACCTAACGAACGCTGAGGGGGTATTTTAAACCACCTCCATGACACCCCCTTAATGTGTAACTCCTGCCCCGCATAGAGTATTTTCCATCGTCGTACCTGGCCGAACAGTCGCCCAGCGCTTTCTCTCCGTCTTCCCCGAAATGAGACTGAATGCCGCTTTTTATGGCGCCCCTGCGCAGAACCTTCTAGAGCGTCTGACACGAGGCTGGAAGCTTCTAGGGACTCGGCAGGGCATCTGACGCGGAGGCACAGCCGCATCCGGACATGCGCCGCAGCCTTTCCAGAAGCCCCCTGTCGACTGAATGCTCGGGAAGGATCTCCGTAAACTGTGCCAGGACAAATACAAACTTTTTACAAATACAAACTATCAAGTTTTATATATATATTCCGATAATATAAATACGTGTTGCTGTATGGCAGCTAAATTAGCAGCTACAGCATATCAAACAGCTGCTCGTGTTTCTTCACTGGCTTCCTGTCAACACTGCTTTTTCTAGACGGCGCTGCAAGGCTGGGGCCCATTTATGGCACATGTCCTAGAATAAATAAAACAGCTACGGGCAGTGACATCTTAGATTACAGAGAATTGGGATCTGAACGTGTAAGATACGTCCGTCTGCTTTCGGTATTTATATCGAGCCTTATGGACCAGCGGGTGACACTGTCCACACTGCTAACATTTAAGTGTGAATCCGTTACATTTACTTACTACCTGCTCACTCATTCTCTAACCTTCCTCTCATTTTCAATTTTTTTTTACTGCCATACGCCCACGTAGGTGGTAGCTGGTGGTAAAACTCACATTAATGCAGCAGCTATTCGTGTGGGCATAACACATTAAAAGGCATATGGTACAGTTTATGTGCAACTGTAACAGGTAAATATAATAAACACAACAAATTCCTAGGTGCATTAGCACCTACAGTGGATATATAGAAAGTGTGCACACCCTTGGAAAAATGCCAGATTTTTTATGTTAAAAATGGGACAGCGAAAAATAATTTAAAAACTTTTCCCACCTTCAATGTGACCTATAACCTGTACAGTTCAAATGAAAACCAAACAAATCTCAGGGGGAAAAATAAAAAATGTACAATAAGCTGGTTGCATAAGTGTGCACACCCTTAAACTAATACTATGTTGAAGGACCTTTTGATTTAATTCCAGCATTCAGTCTTTTTGGGTAGGAGTCTATCTGCATGCCACATCTTGACTTGGCAATATTTGCCCACTCTTTCTTGCAGAAGTGCTCCAAATCTGTCAGATTGCGAGGGCATCTCTCGTGCACAGCTCTATTAAGGTCACCCCACGGATTTTTAACTGGATTTAGGTCTGGGCTCTGGCTGGGCCAGTCCAAAACTTTAATTTTCTTCAGGTGAAGCCATTCTTTTGTAGATTTGGATGTATGCTTGTTGTCATTGTCATGCTGAAAGGTGAAATTCCTCTTCATCTTCAGCGTTTTTACATTACAAAACCCCAGCATTTTAACACTTTATAACCACTGTTAGCACACTTTGGCCTGAGTCTAAGCAGTGGTGCCACTGGCTCTCCCTCTATGAGCATCAGTGGTTCAAGATTTTTCATCACAACTGTTTTGAGGTGAAACTCACTGAAAGTCTTGTGCTATAGCTGCAGGGGTGGATAAGAGTACATGAGGGGTCCAGGCCTACACCAGTTAAATCAAAGACAAGATAGCTAACCTAGCAAAGGACCAAACACCTCATTACCAAATCAGATGAGTAGGACTCAAACTGCTTACTGTCATGTTAACATCTTACATCTTACTTTCGGATGGATGACCACAAGATATTTATATATATATGAGAGAGTGAGCGAGAGAGAGAGTTTTAAAAACCAGTGTAACTCAGGCTTTGCATTAGATTATTTGTCGATTATTTTTGGGACCTCGCCTTAGAGTCTTTGTAACTTTGCGGAAAGAATAGTAATCTTTCATCTTTTTTGCACCCTGTCTTACACGTGAACAAAAAATATGAATATTTCCATTGCATTTTCTTAAGAGAAATGCCATTTCTACAATAATTTTTTTTAACCTAAAATCTTAGTCCATCCATCCATCCTCTGTAACTCCATTACCTATTAAGGGTTGTGGTGGTGTGGAAGATATTGGCAGAATGGAGGGAACAACCTAGGATGGGGTGCCAAGCCATTCACAGAGCACACTCACACATATGGGCAATTTAGTAGCTCCAGTTAATCTCAGCATGTCTTTGGACTGTGGGAGAGAAACCGGAGTACCCAGAGGAGATCCCACGACATCATGGGGAGAACATACAAACTCCACACACATGGAGCCATAGCAGAGACTCAAACCCTGGTCGAGAGGTGTGAGACGATAGTGCTAAACACCATGCTGACCCTCAACACCATGAATTTGATATTTTTCACAAATTCCACAAAAAGTTGTGCTTTCTGTTCCACACAACAATGAACAGAAAATACATGTTAAAATCAAAATGTTATTTGTCCCTATTGTTTATAAAAAGTGAATTTTAATGTTTTATTGGCCAAAGTAAAATATTAATTTATTGCTATTGATCTTTAAGTAATGTGCAATCATTTGTATTATAGTAATTATAAGTGATTTAAGTATAAATTGAGTGGATATTTAACACATGATCAGGTCCTGATTTGCTCTCTGTGGACACCAGAGGAATAATGACTGGAATCTACGCCACAAACTCCCCAGCAGCAGATCCTTTAAGTTCTGTACATTGTGAGGTGGGACCAACATTTATCAGACTTGTGTGTGCAGCACATCCCACAGAAGCTTAATTACATTGAGTTCTGGGGAATTTGGAGGCTAAGTCAACACCTTGAACTCCCATCCCGGTGTGCCCCTAGTGGTCTGGTGCCCCGGGGCAAATGCCAGGTTTGCCCAGACCACACGTCGGCCCTGCATGCACGCTGAAAGATGCCACTGTTGCCATGAAGGGATGCACTTGGTCTGCAGCAATGCTTAGGTAGGTGGTGTCTGTCAAAGTAAAATCCACATGAATACAAGGACCCAAGTTTGCCTAGGAGAACACTGCCCACAGAACGCCAGTTTTCCTTCTTCCCATAGTGGATCCTGGTGCCATCTTTTCCCCTGGTAAACGCAATACATGTCCACATGATGTAACAGAAAATGTGACTAATCAGACCAGTCCACCTTTTTCCATTACTCCATGGCCCAGTTCTGACGCTCATGTGCCCATTGATGGTGCTTTCGGCGGCGGACAGTGGCCAGCCTGGGCACTCTGATTGGTCCATGCTCATCACTGAGTCTTTTTTCCGTATCTCTGCAGTGTTGCAGTGTGGGCTACAACAAGCCTTGAAGAATTATGACATAATCGTAAACTATCTATCGTTAATTAACTAATCTAATTCGGCATTGAGTAAATCCTTTAGTCTGAGTGTATCCATATTCATCGCAATTATATATTACTTTGCATTTAAATATATCTATCAAAACAAAATTTTACTACATGTATGAAATGCATTTTTAAAACAAATGTCATTAAACTGATATATTCATAACCATTTACCCATTCGGAATAAAACATGAAAAAAACTGTTTTATAATATCTGCATGAAATTTTAATCCCTACACTAAGGTCACCACAGGCACCATATTTTGAAAATGACCAAAATGTGCTTTAAAATGTAGGAAACAAATTTGCATTGCAGGGCCATGATAATAGGCCTACTGGTTTCAATGGATTTTCGTTTACCTACAGCATGTACCGAGATTGTAGAATGTAGGCTAAGTGAAATGTTTTATTTTTCTTTCATTAGAAGTTTTTCAGATATCCAGGCTTTTTTGAGTTTATTCGTGGTATCCCGCTGGATTCGCTTCAAGATTAAAATATTTGCATTTAAATGGGCTAGAGCTGGTTAGGATGCATTGCATGTTCACACAATGAAATTAAGAAAATACGCTATTAGACGGGATTTAATCATTTTAATAACAGACAAGACGCAGAGCATGCGATACGATGCATTGTTAACGTTTTAAGTGTGCGGAGAAACATTTAGGTGGCTGTTTTAATTTCATTGCAGCGCTGATCGGAGTATTACACACTCTGCCGTCCCCCTCATTAGAATGAGAACAGCACTCAGCGGTGCCTCGAGCAAACTTTGGCACTATTCATCTGTGCTCTTTCATAATGTCAGGTTTTGGAAGGTGTAACACTGTAAGTCGCTAGTCAGCATGTTCACTATAGACGGTACAATCGGATCTACGGAATACAGTCAAAACCACCAGGAATGCATCGACGAAACCGCAGACAGGTGAGAAATATTTAAAAATGTATCTTCAACCTATATATTCAATCACGGCGTATTTTTGTCATGTACGACTATACATAGGCTATATTATATAGACGTAGATGTTCATGTGTGTCATTAAACCACAGAGTGTTGCAGGCTACTTCCAAAAGTAAACTTTGTGTCAACAGTAAATCAGATTAGCCGTGACTCCAAGCTGTGTCTGTGTTATGGAGCGAACGATGGGGTAGCCGGAAAGAGAATTTCTCAAATGGGATCAATAAAGTGATATTATTATTGTGATTATTATTCATATTCATATTATTATTATCATCATCATCACCATCCTCAATAATAATAATAATAATGTGAATAATAATAATAATAATAAGGAAGGAGTTTTCTAAAAGCTTTTAAGTGTGCAATGTGTCTAACTATATAACTTGAAGTAAGTCAACTCTTTTTACACTTCATTGAAAATCATTTAATTTAACGGCTCGGCTTGTCGCTTAAAATGCTGCAGACCAGCCGAGTGGGTATAAAAGCGAGTCCAGAACCATCCTGTCCAAGGCCTGGGGGGTGTTAGGCTCTTTCTAAAACTCTGTGATTCAAAACGAACACTGCATGGTTACTTAACTGGAACAGAGCAGACATTTTGGCTTTCTCTCAAGAACAGTGAATGGTGCTTTTTTTCTTTTTGGATTTGACTTAAGCTTTAAAACAAAACGTCACTATTTCCTGCTGCGCCAGGAGACTGTATATTGTAAGATTCATTAAAAAGAGTTTCCTCTACCACGGGGACTGAGTAGCTCTTCTGATTTAACCGGACTCTCCCCCTGAACAAAGCCGCGGGGCTGTGCTGGTAAGTCCCCTAAGCCGGACATTGTGCGGAGCGAACAATGCGTAGCATGTGATTTACCGAAATACTATAGGGTGCAGCTGCTCTGTGCTTGTTCGTCCCCTCCTCACCGTCGCCGCCCTGCCTGTTACAGCCTGGGACTGTCAGCACAGGGGTTCATGCAGAGCTTGGTGAAGGACAGAGACAAGCAGGCCATCGAGTCAAGTGAGCGTCCACCGTCCACATAACTCGGCAGTTTTACGGTTACCGATGCATATTTTAACTGGATACAATAATGCGAAATTATCGCGATAATTATTAGTTAATTCTCCTTGAAATTGTTTCTGACTCCGTTGTTTGACGTACAAGATCATCATGTTCATCAGCTGTATTTGAGTTTGATAGCCCTTTCATATCGCACCCCCTTTTTACACTAGACGTTAAAAGCATTCAAGGGATCGCTGACCATGCGTCGCTCGCACCAGCCGACTGTCTTTGGACAACGGAGGCCAGTGGTTCCGTTAAACTTAGGATAGATGAAACATGCCTGCAGGAACCTGTCACTCTCCACCAGATGTTTAAATCCTCAGTGGAGAGGTATGGTGACCTGTGGGCTCTGGCGACCATGAAGCACGGTGGATGGGAGAAGATCACATTCTCTGAGTACTACCGCTGCTGTCGAGCGGCCGCCCGGAGCTTCCTAAAGGTATCAGTTGCATGATTCATTAACGCAACTTCATATACTGCTGAACGGCGGAATTTTTTTCAGTGTAGTCTGTAAAATAAGTGAAACCTGTTCAACAAGTTGTGACACATTATGTCTGAATTGACTTTGATATTTGAAGAATCAAACTTGTTTTTTTCAGTGTATTTTTCACATTGATCCTCAAACCTTTAATTCTCTTGGCATAGCATGTATTATAATACAAAATGTGTTACAATTACAGTACTGTGCAAAAGTCTAAGGCAGTCAAGCAAATGGTTTATGGCTGTTTATCTTCGTAGTACGTGTATATTTGGTCAGAAAAAAATATTACGGTAACATAATAAAAATGAGCAAGAATTTAGTCTGTTCTGCAAAAGGTTACTGATGTCTTCTTGGATGGCTGGATGAATACTGCTTTGGTTCCCAAACCTCAGTCATTCTCTGTGTTCGTTACATTTCTTCACCAGCTCAATTAATTAATTAGATTTATTGAATAACTCAATGGGGTATCTTTTAGCCAAACAAGGTGAGGTAGTGGTGGAGTCAGAAAATATACTATAGTGTATTGCACGGTTGCTGCAAATACCATGGTGATTTTAGGAGATGTTTTGAAACGGCTAAGCTGACACACTTTGACAGACATAATGTCATAGTTTTACCTACATGAAGATCATTTAAACAACATTTTCTGCGACTGCCTAGGACTTTTGCACAGTACGGTATATAATATGCAGGTAGTAATGGATGTCCTGTCTTCCTGCATGCAGCTTGGCTTGGAGAGGTTCCATAGTGTGGCCATTCTTGGGTTTAATTCCGCAGAATGGTTCTTTTCAGCGGTTGGTGCCATATTTGCAGGGTGAGCTGCCGTGATCAAGTTACGACAGCTCGCTGTCTCTGCAATACTGTACGGACTTTCATGCCCTTTTAAAATCGGTCCTTTTACACTGATAGATTTAGCTGCTATGTTAATAGTGATTGTGTAGCTTGGTGTACTATTGTTTTTTAAGCAATTTGTAGTAATTCATATTATAGTAATTATAAATGATTTAAGTATACATTGACTGAAAAGTTAACAAACGGTCAGATCCTGATTTGCTCTCTGTGGACACCAGAGGGATAATGACTGGAATCTATGCCACAAACTCTCCAGAAGCATGCCACTACATCGCTAATGACTGCGAAGCTAACGTCATTGTGGTGGAAAATCGAAGGCAGCTGGACAAGATTCTGCAGGTAAAAGGTTTCCTGCACATCTCCTTCGCTTTGAAACACATTGTACTTTACTAGGTTAGATTTCACCTTGTCTTTTTCCCCGACCCTCCAGGTTAAGGGTAGGCTGCCTCATTTGAAAGCTATCATACAATATTCTGAACCAACTGAGATGTCGCTGCCCAATTTGTACTCGGTGAGCCTGCTGTTATTTGTGCATCATTAGCACGTCGTTGCCTTGGGCCATAAGTGACAGGAATTCTTTTTCAACAGTGGGAGGAGTTTATGGCCCTCGGAGAGGATATCCCCGAGAAAGATCTGGATGATGTCATCAACAGTCAGAAAGCGAATCAGTGCTGTGTTCTCATTTATACATCTGGAACAACGGGGAAGCCCAAGGGAGTGATGCTTAGCCATGATAATGTACGTCAACTCTAGAATTTTGGTGTCAATACATCTTCCAGAATGTTCATTATTTTATTAAATCCCTTAGTGTGAGTGTATCAATTTTTATTATCATTATATATTACTTTATTTTTACATTTACTTTTATTTATCAGATGCTATTGTCCGAAACAACATACAAATGAGGCAAATAGCGCATTACAGACATATATCCTATCAAGTAGTTAACTAAGCATACAGTAAGTGAAGGTAGACCGAGCTTCCAGTGAATGTAAGTGTCAGCGTTCGCGGGGAGGGCGAGCAGGGAAGCAGGCGAAGTGCCGCCAGAACGTCAGGAAAACTGGATTTATTAATCAAAGACGGACAAGCACGGACAACACTCTGACACTACAATGACGAGTCTGGGGAAGACGGACTCAGACGAGGACTAAATACAAAAGACGAGCTAGACATAACAGGACCCAGGTGATCACAATCAGGGCTGAACACGAGGTAACGAGGTGGGCGTGGCACACATCAGGAGCGGACGGAGCGGGGTGTGACAGTAAGCAGTATTGGAGCAGGAGCTACACAACACCTTCCAACAAAGCCAGAACTTAATAAGAGAATTCACTGACAAGAAGTAACAGTAAGAACATTAAGAGAACATAGTGAGACGTCGTTATTACATTGTCTTATGTTTTTGCAAGACGGATATTGTGACTTCATGGTTTGAAGTCAGGGCATGAACTTCAGGCTGTAGGTCCTCCCTCCACCACCTCCCAGATCACATGGATCGCCTTCCACGCAAGCAGGGTAGGGGACATGCAGCCCGGCGATGTCCACCAAGAGGTCCTGGTCAGCTACCTGCCCCTCAGCCACATCGCCGCTCAGATCTACGACCTCTGGACTGGCATTCAATGGGGGGAGCTTGTTTACTTTGCACAGCCTGATGCTCTAAAGGTAGCTATATAGCTGAGAGAGCTTGTTCCACATGTTTGTTTCCTACGTAAGTCACTTTTTTTTCCTTCAGGGAAGTTTAGTGAGCACTCTGAAGGAGGTCCATCCCACATCTCTCATGGGTGTTCCTCGCGTTTGGGAAAAAATGATGGAGAAGATCAAAGAAGGCATCACCCAGTTGGGCTACGTGAAGAAGAAACTGGTGACGTGGGCTATGTCTGTTAGCCTGGAGGCTCACCAAAGGGGCATCAGCAAGTACGGCGATTAACCCGCGTGGCCTTTCCCATGACGTCTTTGTGAATCCTGGAACATCTCTTTGTTTTGTAGGAGTGAAGGAAGGCCGTTCCTCCTGAACGTGGTGGACAGCCTTGTGCTGGAGAAGCTCCGCGCCGAGCTCGGCTTCTCTGGCTGCCAGAAGTTCTTCTCGGGGGCGGCCCCCTTAGCCAGTGAGACGCTGGCCTTCTTCCTGGGCCTGGACATCAGGCTGTACGAGGGCTATGGCATGAGCGAAAGCTCTGGGCCTCACTTCATGTCCGGCCCAAATGCCTACAGGCTCTCAAGGTTTGATTCCTCCTGCAGGTGCAGCACATACATGTTTTATAGCACACATTAGGGCATTTATGCTTCATTAAGCTCAGTCGTGACCCTATACCAAGTTCAGGTTTAAATTAACGCTGTGATCAAGCACACAGTGCACTCTGCAATTTTCACCAATCTCACAAATCTGATTGGATGTGCCATTGAATTTTAAATTCAGCACCTGTGGTTTGGCTTCATGGATTGGTTGAGTGTTCACTCATTTTGCTCAAAGCATTTTCACCCCATTTGTATAGGATTATAGGATTGGGGATGGGAAATCTGATCGAGGATCAGAATAGGAGCTTGCTGGTTTTAAAAGCTTACATTCCCAACTTTGCCTTTCAGAATTTGGGTCGCAATCCATGGGTTAAGAATCACTGCCCTACAGAATGTTTTCTCCAGTGCTGGTGACAGCGAGCAGCAATATCTGATCATGCATTTGGGCTTGATTTGCCAATCAAACTATCCATCCATCCATCCATCCACCCTTCCATCAATCCATCTACTCATCCATCCATCCAACCATCATTCCACTCATCTATCTACCCATATATCCATCCTCCTATCTGTGTACTCATATATCATCCATCCATTCATCCACTTATATATCAATCCATCCATCCTTCTACTCCATCCATCAGTCCTACTCATCCATCCATCATCCATCCATCCTTCTACTCATCCACGCATATATCCATCCAACCCTCCTTTCATCCATCCTTCCACTCATCCATCTACCCATATATTCATCCATCTAGCCTTCTGCTCATCCATCCATGTAACTGCTTATCCTGGTCAGGGCCATGGGACCTGTCAGGCTCAGTAATTCCTAGCAATCCTATTTGGACTTCGATGACATGCTGACCTTAATTCTGTATAGCTGTGGCAAAGTGATTCCTGGCTGCAAGTTCAAGCTGGACAAAGAGGACGCAGATGGGAACGGGGAGGTGTGCCTCTGGGGACGCAACATCTTCATGGGCTACCTAAATATGGAGGACAAGACGCGGGAGGCCTTGGACGAGGAGGGCTGGCTGCATTCCGGGGATCTCGGAAAGGCAGATGAGGACGGCTTCCTTTACATCACCGGCCGGATGAAAGGTCAGCCCTGCCACGCTGCATCGATTAAGCAGAACGATCCCATAGTGCGGTATTTCCAAAACCGGTCCTCGGGGATCCACAGACGGCCCACATTTTTGCTCACTCCCTGCTCCCTGCCAGACAGTCCACAAAAATATGGACTGTCTGCGGGTCCCCGAGGACCGGACTGGGAAGCACTGACTCCTGCCACTGTATTAACATGCATCCAGTGCTTTCCCTCGCAGTGCGTTTGAGCTTTTGTGCTGTAAGTCTATAATGAAATATATCTGTGTTCACACAGAGCTGATAATCACGGCAGGTGGGGAAAATATCCCGCCAGTGCTCATAGAAGACGCAGTGAAAAAGGAAATTCCCATCATCAGCAACGCCATGCTGATTGGGGACAAGAGGAAGTTCCTGTCGATGCTGCTGACCCTGAAGGTACCTCACAGCTGAACGGGTACACCCGGCAAACGCTTCCTAAGACACACTCCTTGACTGCATTCTTTTGGTGTCCCGGTTGCCTTTCAGTGCGTCTGCAATGCAGAGACGACGGAGCCCATCGACGAGCTGAGCATAGAGGCTGTAGAATGCTGCCAGCAACTTGGAAGCCAGGCTATGAGAGTGTCGGACATCATCGGGGGTAAGGACAAGGTGGTGTACCGGCTCATCCAAGAGGGAATCGACAGGGTCAACTCCCGAGCGACATCCAACGCCCAGCGCATACAGAAGTGGGCTGTGCTGCCAAGAGACTTCTCAGTCTCCGGAGGGGAACTCGGTACGAAGGCTTGTATGAACCCACATAACCAAAGCCGTCGCTCAGAGTTTCAAATGTGCTCAACCTACCAAAATGGGGCTACATAAAGTGAAGGCATAGATGTTTTCAAAGGATCTGTCTCGTTGTAGGTCCCACGATGAAACTGCGCAGACCCGTCGTCCTGGAGTTATATCGGCAGGAAATCGAGGCGTTCTACACAGAATGAACATGTAGCTAATCCTACTACCCAATGGGGCGCCTCTAAACCATAACATACTGTACTGCTGTTCCATTAATGTGGGGGCCTCCCTCCTCTGCTCCTCCTCACCATGACCACTAGGCACAGTTCTCATCTTTTTAATGTCAGCTCCATCCTCAAATTGCTCATTTCAACATGATTTTCACTTTAGTTACCAAATTACACCATTTTCAGAAATCACTGACCGACTGACCTGTTCACACAGGATTATACTTAAGTTTGGTTCCTCTGATTCTGGGCATCTTTGCAAATACTACCAAGGGGTCCATCCATCCTCTGACCATTTACCCTGGTCAGGGCTGATGGGGAACCTGGAACCAATCCCAGGCATATTACATCACAAGGCTGGGTACAGCCTGGACAGGACACTAGTCCACCACAGGGCACACAGGCACACGCACAATATGCAATTTATAGACACCAGCTCCATGTCTTTGGACTGCAGAAGGACACTAGCACAGCACTATGACATCATGCAAACTCCACACAGAGCAGGGTTGGAACTGGAAACCCCAACCCTAGAGATGTGAGGCTACAGCGCCCCCCAACGACTGCCCAGTGATATAGCAAACACAAACAGAGCTCACTCACATAGAAGGGACAGATTTGGATGCCAGAAATATTTTTATTTTAAGTTTCTGTGCTTGAAGATGCAGTGGTCCAGATCTTTAAAAAAATAAAGCAGACACAAAACCTTTAAAAATACCCCATTGCAAACCACAGGGAAACAAAGATAAGGCCATACCCACCATTAACAACGGCAAATCTGCAAAGTGTGACATTTATCAGAAAAGAAACACCAAAAGCAGTCAATAACTTACATTACATAATGACTAAAAAGAAAAAAAAATACACAGTTCAGAATGGTCACAGGCTGGAAGAGTTGTTTTTTCGGAGCAGAAAGAAGAAAAGCCACATTCGTGAAGTTAGAGCTTCAGGTGTTTTCCTTTGAACACTTAATGTAGGCGAGCCAAACAGTGCAAGGGTTGAAGGTCGAGGTCTGATCTTTGCAGCTTCTGGAAGCATCCCCCATACAGACAGTGACATCATAAGGTAGCAGCATCTTCTCAGTCCATGTCCTGCACTCTGGAACAGATCTCGCCCGTGAACTCTGAGCACTTGGAGTTTCCACCGAGGTCTTTGGTCAGAACCTGAGGAGGGCAGGTGGAGAAATGTGAGCGGCTCTCTAAATCACGCTCCGGGGGGTTTTAATGGCGCCGCAAAGACCTGAGGGAGGAAGCCCACCTTCTTGTCTCTGATCGTGTCGAAACAGGCACTCTCAATCTTCTTGGCGTGGCCGTGCAGCCCCATGTGCCGCAGCATCATGACGGCGCTGAGCAGCAGAGCCGTGGGATTGGCCAGATCTTTCCCTGCGATGTCCGGTGCTGTTCCATGGACCTAAGAGAGGGGAGTGTTTGCACTGCAGTGTCACAGCATATCAGCTCAATTTTAAATTTAAATACTTTTTGCATTTGGAATGCAAATTATAATGTACTTGAAAAACAATCTTACTGAAGACAGCATTTTCAAATCGACAAACCTTTAACCTACCGATTCAAATATGGCGACACCGTTAGCCCCGATGTTACCACTAGGGGTCACTCCCAGCCCGCCGATGAGACCAGCACACAGATCACTGAAACATGCATAAACATCTTGGTAAGGCTGTTTACCATCACTATACAGCTGCTAAAACGAATCTATTAAAAGAAGTAGTAATCGTTCTTGAGTGTACCTCAAGATATCGCCGTACAGATTTGGCATCACAAGTACATCGAAATGTGTGGGATCTTGCACCATCTGAAAGAAAACATTACTAAATGCATCAGGCAGCAGGAATGAGCAAGTATCTGCAGTGTAGGAGTTGGAGGATGTGACATACGTTAAGGCAGACGGTGTCCAGATACATCTCCGTAAATTTAATGTCCTTGAAGTTCTCCGCCACCTCTCTGCACTTCCTCAGAAAGAGGCCGTCGGACATCCGCCTTTCGTTAAGAATGAACGAGCACAAACGGCAAATGGTCAGCATTAAGGCCTCTACCAAGACTCTCTCTCCTGTAACCAGGCTGGCCAGCATTTAACAGTTGAGTTTACAGTGAAGGAACACACTGCAACAGAACAACGACAGCATGCCCACTACCTGGTGTTAGAGTCAGCTTTTAGGCTTCATGGTTACACCATCACCATTACCTCTGACACTTATATACACGACACAGATGTTGGCTTACATGATGTTGGCTTTGTGGACCGCTGTGACGCTCGTCCTTTGGTTATTCCTGGCGTACTCGAAAGCGTACTCAGCTATACGCTTACTGGCATCCTCAGTGATGAGTTTAATACTCTGTACAACTCCATCAACAATCTGAAAGCAATCAGAGGTACGGCAAAGAGTTCACATTCAAACATGCAGCACTGCGGAAAACCCTTAAGCAGTCAAAGAAAATGTCTAAATGATCTTCATGTTGGGTGTAAAAGTATGACGTCCGTCAAGATGTGTTGGCTTAACCATTTCAAAACCATATCGAAAAATCATCCAACACACACAAGTTGACCACTAGCACACTGCATATAGCTATTCAATATCTCACTGACTTTAATACTAATTTAATTAAGTGAGCTGTTGGTGAAATTTAATTAATACATGGAATGGCTGAGGTGCCTCTAATGAGAGATTTGGGATCTGAAGTGGTGATCTTCTGGTCATCCAGTAAGGTACCAGGGGCTCAGAGGAAATTCTTGTGGGTTTTATTGTGTTATCCTTAATTTGAATATGTTCTATTGTTAAACTTTTTCCTGAGTAAATATACACCTACTACCTAGATAAATAAAAAAATAAACTTTGAGCATTGTCTGACTACCCAAGGCTTTTACACATTACTGTATGAACATACACATTTATAAGAAATTACAGTTTGGGAAACGAAATTCTTTAACAGTGGACATTCAAGAGGCTCATAAATTTTACAGGGAATGTAAAAAAATGAATAAATACAACTTAAATTGGATACAAAAAGACAAATGCACATAAGAAAATACCAGAGCTCAATATCTTTCGAAATATAAACTCCTCCATTGCTGATTAAAAACCTGAATGTTGCATGTATCATCACTAGGGCTGGAAAACCAGATTGACGGGGGGGGGGGGGGTCACAGATAGTGCCAAACATGCCAAGCAGCGTGGTCAATGCAGATCTGTGTGATGGACATATGGGGGGGGGGTATGGTCAGGGTTCCCCTTGAGGGATCCAAGGGCTCCTCAGCCAGGAGACAGATGAAGATCTGGATACCTTGAGGGGCTCCCATTGTGCCATGAAGTTTTATGGGTCTTTTCTTGCTTGTTCATGTAACCAGTTTAGGTGGGGTCTTTTAAATATGGGCATCCCTCTTAGATTAACACCAAAGAGTTTCATTCCTAGATTTTTCCAAGATCAAAGTTACGCACATGCATGTGCGCGCACACATACACACACACGCAGACACACATACACAAGCACAGACATACATATGTGCAGATGCCACAGATCTATCCGTGATTATCTCAGCGGTGAAGGAGCCTCTCACCACGTGCTCGATTCCACTGTACTCCCCCTCCGTGTTTTCTCGGATGGTGACCAGGTTCACGTCGTTGTAAGGTGTCTTGTAGCCCTCGATGGACACACAGGGACGCACGTTGGCGTACAGGTCAAAGGTCTTCCTCAGCAGCAGGTTCATGGAAGGGTGGCCGGCAGCGATGGGAGTCTTCAGAGGTCCTGCAGGATAACACGAGTGGTATGCTTAAACAGCGCAGCGCCCTCCCATGGCGGTACGCTCTGATAAGAACGTCTGTTGTGTGAAGCACCTTTTAGGCCGATTTTGTTGTTGTCCATGGAGTCTTTGGCCTCAGGGGGAATCATCCACCTCCCTCCGGGCCCTTTGATTGCCGTCACGCTCCGCTCTTCCCACTGAATGGGAGCCTGGGAGAACATGACAGAACCATACTTGGCTCCTCCAGAACACAGACCATAGCTAACATACAAGATCAAAGACAAGAGCATTAGGAAACGCAACAACGTGGGACTGTCAGCAGACAAGGCTTGTCCCAACTTGCAGGCAAAATAGGAGTCGACGGCATCTTCACAGAACATATGCAGACAGGGAGATATTTTCTGAGAGGCTGACCTTAGCCGCCTCAAAGATTTTCATAACTGCGGTGGAAATCTCTGGGCCGATTCCATCACCAGGGATTAATGTGACAGTCTGCACCTTTAAAGAAACAGCACACCAGGTTAAGTGCCAACCTTACGAAAGTGTCACACTTCTAATTTTAAACATTAAGTGCCCGTCCTGAATCTATATTAACAGTTTGCACAAATTCATTTTATGGGTTTATTCTGCAACAATAAAAAATGAACAGTAATGTAATTCAAGGTCTGTAATGGAATGCAGGGTGAGCCAGTCCCTGGAGCAGCTGGGTAAACGCCTTGCTCAAGGGCCCAGCAGTGACGCCACGGTCACCTACAGGATCTAACCCTACCCCACAAAATGGGAAATGAGCAGAAACAAGTAGTAACTAAACTTTTATTAAAAAATCATTTAGTTTTTAACCACCAATATGCACTTACACTTTGCGTAAAACTTCTTGCGTACTGGCTCTTGCTCTTTAAACCTCCCATAACCAGAGGCAACTGCAAAACATAATATATTTCAGAAAAACAAAACGTTTCATTTAAAGAAAGGCACATTCACTTAAGTAAAGAAGACATCTTACAGAGACACGTTATTTGGTTAAAGAGGGTCAATTACCCTAACGTAACGATCTTCAATGACTTAGCCTAATCTCAGTCAACATCATATACACAGCGTCGAAAATGTCGTGTATCTGTAACGTCTGTAAAAGAAAATTACTGCAAGAAACGAAACGATCCTGTTTAGTTTAGCCAAACGGTTCAGAACACGATGTTCACATCGCCTGGGATCGACGGGTTATTTCCGGAGAAAAAGCTGAAACTCCGCATAAGAGCATAAACGATTAATTAATCGGGACGGTTTGAGCTTTTAACTCCATTGGCGGCTTCCCGGGGCTTCAATCCGTCGGCCGCCTCCTCGCCATTAAAGCCGCCGTGACCTTGCCCGGATACGGGCCGGCCAGGGGATATCAGGCGGTCTCCGTCTTTACACTTCTCTAGAGTGAGCTTAATACCCACCCTTTTCCAGCCTTACTTCAGATGGGCCGGGTCCCTAACCAAAGCGGCGGGGTAATCCTCCAGAGCCCGACACGTGTCCTGCTCGGGGAATCCGCGGCCCGACCTTCATCCTCACTAACTAAACCGAGTTTAGCAGCCAGGCTACCGGGCCAGATTAGCTCGGTAATTTGCCGAGTTAGCGCACCAGGATGTCCTGCACAACACTAACCCAAACTTCCTAACAATAACGCTAACCCTTCCTGCTAATATATAAGTATGCAGCGCACGATCAGCAGCCTTTCCTCCGGCTTGCGGCTCCGAGTATTATAGAGGCTGATAAACAGCATCCCCGCTCCGCACAGGCGCCCTGCTTGCATATGAAGGACACGCCGGGCCTCCTCATCCAGCATCGCCGCGTCCGAATAAGTCCACATCCCGCGTTCAGGACGCCGTGCGAGGTGAGAGCGGCGTGTGCGGGATGCGTGAGAGCCTGCCGCCGATTACCGTGGACCTCCAGGTGCGCCCGGCCATGTTCACGGCTCCCTGCCGAACTCCGTGCTCTCAGCCGCTAAGGAGGATCAGTGCACCACGGGCGTTTAACGCTGTGTTTGCCGGAAAGCTGCTACTCGGTCCCGTTATTTCCGCCTACATATTTCATCCCTTTGCATAACCACGCTTTAAGGATTGCTGTCAAAGTTATAAAATGTCTGGAACAGCATTATGTAATAGGATATGTGTATTTGAATGATCTAAATAGGACATACCATAAGACGGTTAGCATTTAGCTATATTATGATAATTATGTCAGACAAGACAGGAAGACACCCCAAACCATCTGTAGCCCCACATCTTGTGGTCTCACTCACATTATTTATATTTACAAACAGGTTAAGCGGGTATAGAAAATTGATGGATGTGTGCTTATCTATTAATAGCACATTTTCATATTCTGTATATATATCTTAGTTATATTGTTTGGTTGTGTAGACCCTATTTAAACACTCGTTGATGAAGTACGATAACAAAAGCAATGCGATCAAGGTTGTTTATAGGCACCACTGTTGGAGGGATGATTCTGGGTAGGCATTTTGGGGATTTCTGCTAAATATATGATCGGGTCTTATTTTAATATGCAATTTTGAGTTCTCCAGACAGTGATTAATTTCTCGACCTGTGGAAAATATTTTTCTTGAAAACTGAGTTAAAACAGCATTTCAGATTATGTCTCCGACAAAACTGTCACTTGATATGAAAATTTAAGACGGCAATATTTCTGATTCTACTGCAATCTCTTTTCCCACAGTAAAGCATGGTTACTGGCTGTACTTCCGTATTTATGGTCACGTGGTATTAAGCTAGTCCAAAATGAATAGTATCGACTAAAGGGATACCAAATTAATTTGTATGCAAACGATTCAATAGCGTTTATATAGTGCTGTATGAACGAAACAAAGTTAATAAAACTCGACATAATAGTGAACATTGGTAGTCATCAATAGTACTAGAGAATATGCCAAAGCAATATTCTATTTCGGTATATAGGATTGGTATCATCCGTAAACGTACCTTTACACGCTATAGATCAGGGTTATTCAAATCACGGTCCTCGATGTTCCAGTACTGCTGGGTTTCCAGCCTTCCTTTACCTGTCAGTCAGGTGTGAAGCCTCTGACCAATCAGAATCAGTAATTATTAAACAACTACCTGGGAGAACTGAAAACAAGGCCTGGATTTGGAATCAAGGTCCAGATTTGAAGAACCCTGCTATGGATCTTTAAGTTTGTGAATTACGAGTTTATACCGTTCATTAGTTTGAGAGGCAATGTGTGTTTAGCCCACACCCTCGACATTTTTCTGTATTATCAGCGGTTGTCAGTGAAAACGTCCAAATCTTTATTATGAAGTCACCGCGTGGAGCAAAATTTACAAAAACGAAAATCGACCGATACTCGAACTTATTTCTATTCCTGTGTCAGAGGACGTGCAAACTAATGTAAGTTTATAAACCCTGCAACTGTTACTTCTGCCCATGAAATAAAAAAATTGTAAAAATAATTGTAATTACAAGGACGTGTGGGGTAAGACGAATCTGTTCAATTAAAAATGTAATATAATAAAACTGGCAATTTGGAAATACAATGATGTACCGTAATGCTTCCAAGTGACTAATCAAAACATGCAGCCAAGACCCCACTACATTATAATACCGTTAAGGGATGTAAGAAAATATCGAGGCTATTGAGAATCACGATATTGTATCGATTCTCAAAAACATTGTATCGATTTTAAATCATTATTTTACCTGCAAAGAAATGTAAGGCTTGGTCAGACAATTTGCCAAGAACGAGTTTTAATTGTTTGATATAGCACCACCCTATGGTACATTTGCAACATGCTGCGTTATGCAGTAGAACCAAAACCATGTTCAGTATTGGTTATAGCTTAAGGGTGTTACAGGTAGGTATTTAATTAGCAGCAGTATATGTTAATTTTTTACTGATTTGTCCACATACAGGTAGAAAAATTATAAATATGTTAGTTCAACTAAATGTTCTGTCCATGTAGCAGCATTTATTAGACTTTGTGTGTAAAACAAATACCTTTACATGCCTAACAATGAATTAATATCAAACTGTGTAGCTTCAAGTCCACTGGACCCCATAGCAGGTCAACAATTCAGTAGAGAAACGTATTGCAAGCCACAAGGATAAGGTAACAACTTTAAGCAGAATTACCATGTTAAACATAGTGACATTTTCAAAAATTACATATTTATCAGACACATTTGAGGCTGAGCTTCCAATGAATGTCCAGGTAAGCAGTACTGGAGCAGCAGCTACCAGAACTGCAACAGGCTAGTAGAGGAATTCATGGAACAGACAGGTCTTGAAATGCTTCGCAAAGGGGGAGAGGCAATCTGATGACCGGATGTGTTTCAGCAGCTCGTTACGCTGATTTGTTTTCAAAGCTGCCTTCTGCCTCAGTGCCCTGTGAGGCTCTGCATGGGGGTTTGCCACCCTTTTCAAACTGTGTACTCCTTGGGCATGCTCTTGAGGCTCAAAGCCCTCTCTGTCTGACCAATCACATGAGCTGCTCGGTTGTTCAGCAGCCTGCATTCATGAAGGATGTCTATGGAAGGAAAGGGCCAGAAACACATGATGTTTGTCAGGGTCAAAATGAATCCATGTTTTGCACAGTTTCAGTGAATCCTGTTGCTGATAGACACCTTCCAATTGGCACCCTTTTATGAGCGTAATACGGTGCTGTACGATTTCCATCAACTTACCACTGAACTGTTTATAAGCTTCCTCAATAATTGCACTATTTGAGGTCTTTATTTCTGGAAATCCATCCTCGACCCAGGGCTTGCAGTCTGGTAGTTCTGGCAGGGGTCCATTTCTATATATACCAGCTGATAAAGGGAGACAATCTTTTGATGCAGTTTTGCTTTCACATGGACTCCAATTTGATAAAATAGTTTATAGTAAGGATGCATGACCTTTATAATAAGTACTGCTTGTATGTTGCTTTCAATACCTTTTATGATGTCATCAATGTCTTTGCAGAGCTGGTACAAATCACTCCCCCGTCCAACCACTCGTTCACCTGAAAAATAAGATGAAATGGATACATTTTGAAAGAGAAGTTAGTCAGAACTATACACCCACAAAGCATCTGCACCTGACTAAATACAAGTATATTCAAGAAATGCCTCAACACCTGTCTGTTCCAGGAATACCTCTACTAGCCTGATCCCACTCCGTCTTCCCTGAATGCTCTTAATGTTGCACGTTCTGATGATTTGAATAGCAGTCTTATTAGGTTCTTGCTTTGTCTGGTAGATGTTGTGTAGCTCCTACTCTAATACTGCTCACACGTGTATCTGGGTGTTCACTGGAAGCTCGGCCTAGCTGCACTTATGCCAAGTCAACTCCGTAACAGCCGTATGTTTGCAAAATGCTATTTGCCTCACTTGAACGTCACTTTGGACAAAAGCACCTGCTTAATAGAAATAAATGTAAATATACTATCGTGACTTTATTAGAAGCATAAACAAATATATATTCATGATTCTCCTATGGAAAATCACGGACGTATGAACATACTCTGAGTCCACCTTAAGCCCTCATTCATCAGCCATCACATTCTATAATGATTATATAACTGAAACTTGCCTAGTCGGCCCCAAGAACACGCATTTGTATAAACCAGCACATCTCTGAGGAAAACATGCTTACCATCCAGCACTTTGATATTTGGAAACATTTCAAGCAGTATGCTTCGGTATGAGGAGTTCTTACAGACTTTAAAAAAAGAAACATACTTCAGTGGGTAGTCATTTGCTATGTTTTGTCCCACATTAATACATACATATAGAGCTTTAATACTGCTCACCTGGATTGGTATAGTCGTAAGTATTGTCCTTCAGTCTAATATTTTCAAGTTTTCTTAATGACTTAAGGGAGTGGAGATTTTCCACACTGAGAACACAAGTCACACAACATAAACAGAACATTTCATTTCAGTCTGCACAAAATGGTGATTTGCTTGCAGTGGGAACCAAAGAAGAATTATGTGTGTTACAAATATTTATCCAAAATGACATATGACCTTGTAAAGACTTGTAAAGAATGACAACAGTTTTAGAGATAAGCTCTTCCACCAACAAACCAAGTTAAAATATTGAAGGTTATTTTATAGAAACATGTACACGATTAATTATAGAACACATTCCATATCAAATTGTGAAAATACCTCAAGAACCAAGGTGCTATCTTTATCCTGAGAAGTTTGGAAAGAACATGCAATATTTAAGGCTCCTTTGTCAGAGCTAGCGATGTGAAAGGCGTGAGTGTGCCGTGTGCAGCAAATTAGAGGTCATATGAGAAGATCATCAAAGATGATGTTCACAAGATAATTTTCTAGTCAAAGACTTGTTAACATTGTAAGACTTAGGAATAACATTTAATATTAATACTTAGGAATAAATCCTTCACAATTACCTGCTAATAAGGTTTCCAGCCAAATTTAGGCTCTGTAGACTGTCACAAGTGCAAATGGATTCTGAAATGATATGCAGAGGAACATTTGACAGCCTTTACAACATGATTGGCCAAAGGAATGCCTGCAGGTAAATTATGGACATTCACATTCACACAATTACTGTAGGAGTAAATGTGCCCAATTTTCAGTTTGAATATAAGAATATTAGTCCTTTTGATATGACAATATGAAATGCTCTTGCCTATACTTGCGATCCGATTCGCTGACAAGTTGAGTACTAGAAGTCGCCGAAGAGATGCTAGAGGTACCAGATTTGCAATGTTGTTTCCAGAAAGGTCCAGCCTCTCCAGGTTCATGCATTCTCCTATGCATCCCAGATCAATGATACCTGTGAACATAATCAGTGATAGATAGCATGTTTAACTAAAGCTGAACACATGTAAAACCACAATCAATTCAATTCTGTTTTTATTACTGTCTAGCAACTTCTTGCACAGTGCAAATATAAACACAAGACATGTAATAATTAAACAATATGTACCAAACAGCCAATATATATGTGCAAAAGTACAAATGAGATCAACAGTATCTGGTGCTGTGGTACAATCATGCAATAATCGCTTAAAGAAAATCTTACCCAGATTTCGGAGTTTAAGGAACAAGATTGATTCCAAATCAAACTCTCCTGTCCTTGATTTAAGCAACACGGGTGTAATTTTAGCAACGTCTGTTTCTGAAAAGCATTAAAATGTGATTAGAATTTTCTTGCAGGCAAAAACAATTTTCTTGCCTCATACTCCGCTCATATTAGGTAACTGACTATGGCTCTGCAACCCAGTGTCTTATCCAGACAGCTGTAAATGTACAGATTTAAGAATACACTTTTGTATAGCAAGCTGGGGAAAATCAGGGAGAATAATGTGGAATGACTTCCAAAGTAGGTCATTTGTCATATATCATTAGATATATAAATACAGCACAGCACAGCACATTAAATGCTTATATTCGACAATAAATAACCATCCATCTGCGTTACAGCAGATCACTATATAGACTACTTAATAGTTCTGTCAGCTCACTCACATTCCTATAGTCCTCCTGTCTGAAAAGTTCCGCGGCAGTTAAGTGTAGGGACCACACTGGCAGCGCAAATATACAATAGTTATGTTTATATACTGCCAGTGCCTAGAACCCGTTATTTAACACTGTTTTATATCAGTTATTTAATATATTTGAGTTTGTTCGGCGAGACCGATGCAACGCTGCTTTATTACTTAAGAAATCCCTCTAAGAAATAACCAAAACAGTTCATTTTACGCTTCTTAAAGAAGACCAATTAAGGTAAATAAGGGATAATTAAATGTAATGGATGGACCTTCCCCTTGTCACGTTACCGAGAGAAGCGCTTTACCTCTGGGACCTTTAACCCACCTACAGATAAATCAGGCATCGTCCTCTTGAGCAGACGATGTCCCGACGGCGACCCATACTTACCCTGCTCCTTCTCTCTCTTGACATCCATCCTTAAATATTCATTTGTTTTTTTTTATTCCTTCAGTTATTTAATTAACTACGAATGTGTCGAACACTATACATCTTTGGAGAAAGCGTAGTAAGTTAGGTCGATTTTAATGTCGTTTTCGGCGAATCCAGAGAATCTGCGCGCTGCATTATCCCTGCAGCAGCAATTGTCGGGTATGTAGAAAAACATACGCATCGTTCGTGACGACACGCTTTCAACAGACACAATTAGCATACATTAAAGGAAATTATCATAATTTTAAGTCAAGAGATTTAAAATATACACTACATCTGTACCAAATTCTGCAAACGGGAATCAGACCGCATTATTTACGATTCCGTAGAGACGGGTTCGTTAGCTTGTCGTCAAGGATACAGGTCAGTTTGCCGGAAATGAAGATACTATTGCGTGGTGCTTTGCAACCATGCTGTTCAAAAGACGGCAAGACGTGGTGCATTGGCGGTATCTAGGATACCACGTTGGTACGCAACCGACCCTCTGATTTATGATCCGATTAACCTTCGCCACTCCCCATGTTAAACATTATGAGATAAATGCTATCTGAGCCAAGATCGGTTTGTACTGGCACGAAACATGCACTGGAACGACAGTGTTTGGTATCTGGAAGTGCAATTTCATTGTTATTAGTCAATCATTGTAAACATTAATATGCTGCGTCTTGCTGGCCTGATTTGCAAAAGACTTTCCGCTGCTCAGTTGAAGAGTTATTTCTGTGTATCCTCTGACGTTGCATGCTTGCGTATAAGTAGGTCATTCATGTCGAGGCACAAGGGGAGATTCGGAAACAGCAGAAGAGAAAATAGGCATAACTTATTTTTCAAATCATACTTTAAACAGTAGCATGCTGGTCTCACCTCCAAGTTTGGGTTTGAGTTTGAGTTTGAATCCCACTTGCATGTGTGAAATTTGCACGTTCTCCCTGTGTTATGTGTGTTTTCTAACTGGCGTCTCTAAATTAGCCAGAGTGTGTGCATGTATGTGCCCGGTGATGAACTGGCATCCCAACCAGAATGTCTTGTACTCTGTGCTGCTTAGGATGGGCTACAGGTGACTCTGGCCAGTATAGTGGTAGGAAGATGGATGGGCGGGTACCACAGTACAGATTTACCGTTGAAAAATGCAAGTTCAGTTATTCGTTTCATATATCAATCCTTCCATCCGTCTTCGAACCAGTTATTCTTGTGAGTGTTGCCTGGAGCCTCATACAGGGCACGAGGCTGGGCTACATTCTGCACTGGATGTCACAATCACAACTACTAATGAGTATGTGCATCAAATGCTTCTTTTGGAAGATGCCGGAAAGCTGGGTGAACTGCATAAATGTTTTCCGTTCCCCAAATTATATAAAAGCGGTAACAAGCGATTGTCAGCAATCACAAAAACAATCAGATAAAGGGTTAAAGGCTGGTAGCGGTTTACAGAGTTCTGCCAAAAGCTAGATGCGCCACTCTCCCAAGCCGAGTACGTTACTAAAAAATGGATCCAAGCCTGATCTTGCATTTATAAAGAGTAAGTTTATCTTGTTCATGTGTGTGCCTACTTGGATGGATGGTTCCAGACTGAAAAGGAATTTCTAAAGGGTTTTTTCAATGTTAGCTTGTGGGCAATTCCAAGCGTTTAGACTTTTTGGCAGAATTTGGGTATTTTTGTTAGAAGCTTTGTAGTGTAGATCCTGGCAGAATTCCTCATTTTCTTTTAATTTGTGTTGGGAAATTCTCTGAAATTTTGTAGGCATCACTGTCTTTTTTTTCTTCAAAAGGCAGCTCTGTTTAAAGTTGGTCTTGCACACCATATATGTTAACAAAAGTTTTGGGTACCATTATTGATCTTGGCTTGCTGCCGTAGATTAGAATAATTGTGCAGCCATTCCGTCTGTTATATTGGTTATCAGTTTGCTTTGTAATGTTTGGTTTGAGCTTTAAAAATATGCAGCAGATTATATATGCAATATATATATCATTGCGACCTTGAAGTGTTCTGATTGCAACTATAGGCTATAAATTATGACATTGTATATTAATGTTCCAATTATACATTATATATAACTGGAACATTCCATAACATGAGCTTATCATATTGTGATAGTGAATCTGCTCCGAAATTTCAATAACATTGGACATTTAAAGCAATTTTCTCAACCATTACAACCTAATACTTTCTGTCGTGATATTCTAGTAAATATCCTACAATTAACTGTTTATTGAAGACACTTTTTCCACATTATTGCTTAGTTATGTATGATGAAGTTTGTAACCGCCATTTAATTACTGTTGGCTTGTAGATCTATGTAATTTCTTGTAAACAGAGAACCGTTGTACTGTATAATGTTCCGTGAGCTGCTCTCTGCCACCTGGCTGTGCTCCATAGCGCCGCCGTGCGGTCACTTGTGCATTCTTTAAAGTCTCAGTCTCTGCTGGGAAAGGGGTGTAGCGCCTGCGGACAGCATTCAGTACTGAAGTGCGGCTCGGAAGCCGTCTTCTGCGAACTACCTGCGTTATTTCAGTACTTTACTCGCACGAAGCGCTATAGTTATAAAGCGCGCTTTCCCCGCTTCACTGTGATTGTGTGCAGGCTGTAGACGGACGCGCGGTATCTGTTTCCGACCGATGCAGAAAGACAGCAACTGATCCAGTGCACCGGAGAAGCCGGCAATTCAATACGGGGTTTTAATTTTCTCCAGTCAAACAAGGCCGTATAAATGCCATAAATGCCTAGAATAGAAGAGATTCCGCAAACGTCCAATGTGATGCATCTGTATAAGAAGAAAATTAGTCGATTAAGATGGGTAATAAGCAAACGATATTTACTGATGAACAGCTAGACGCCTATCAGGTGAGAACGGCATATTTTTTCTAGTTTCTATTGGTAATTTTGTTTTTGTAGTTATCGTAACGAATGTTTTATTTTACACAAATGGGTTTCAATAAAGCGTGTTGTTTTGTAATACTTTAATATGTATATAATTAGTGTTTGGGACAATGCTTATTATAAATGACCGATGAATGCATGTAGACTGAGCTGAGCGCGCTTCATTCATATAGGATGTTGGGCTTTACGCTAAATTGAAATAGATTACAGTCAGTAGGAATAAGGGTGGGAATGCATGCAATCATGTCCCTTAAATGGACGCAGAGCCCTGAATGACTAAACTACATATATAGTCGTTGTTTACATATTACAGTTTGCTGATAATTGCATCTTTGCTTTCTATATTCACATGTAACAGTGAGTTGATTGAAGCATTTGAAATGAACGTTTTACGATTTAGATTTATTACATTATTTATTATAAACGCTAATCCATGCCTAGGCGACATGCATAATATTGTAGGTGTCTTAGATATCATTTGGACTGTGTGCAGCCAGTTGGAAGGTTATAAAAGCAGGCGAGCAAAATAACACTGAAGGTACATGATGTCCCCACGTTATAGAAGCGCAACGACGTGACTTACGGGCAGCGTATCGTGTAAAAAAGCGACAATTTGTCTACGTGCAAATATACAGCAGTTACTTTTGAGAAACAACTTTCTTAACTGAAATTTGATACAGGAACGATAAGGAAGCATAACTGCATTATAATCTTACTGCACCGTCCTCCCTGCATGAGAAACAAGTCCATGTTGTTTAATGTCAAATTTTCCAAGACTGGTTCCAGGTTTGCCTTGAATACCTACCCAGGGTTACGAATATTAAGTAACAGCGAATAAAAGTAAAATATACTTTTCGGAATGCAAGCTATACAGGAAAAAACAACAACAACAACAACAACAAATGCAGACAAACAAGTCACACCCATACACAGGTGTCGTTTTTTGAGGTTGGAAATCTTTAGTATACGTCCCGTCGGTAGGGTGGCCACCGTGCTTGCATATAATAACCTAAAAATGCATTTTCCAACGGCCAGTCCTGCTCAGGGTCACATTTAACGCGTCCAGTGGAATGCTGATGCTCACGTTTTAATTAAGATGTGGATACATTGCCTAAATACTTTGATATCAAATCCAATCAGCATAGTTTATTGCATGTGAAAGGAGCCGCTATCTTTTTCTTCTTTAGCTTTTGAGGTTATAAATGATATTGCTGATTTATGAAATCAGGGCTGCTCTGTTGACTTGGAAACAGCTCCCAGGCAGAAAACTCATGCCGTAGTGATGCTACAGGCTGCTTTACCGTGTACGCCCCTGGAAATATACCTGCCTTCGCTCATAAAGCATTCTGACATGAAGCATTTTCTCCCGATTAAAATTGATATATAATAAGTAGACATTTGTTTATTTATTTATTTGAATTACTTATTGATTTACTAGTATCATGTTAATGACATTTTACGCACCATGCAGCTTGGGTTGAAGATGGTCCTTCCTTGTATCCACAGCAGTCTTTGGTCCTTGTGACCCCACTCTAAATGTCCCCTTCAGGTCTTCATCTGTCCATCTTCTGACCACATATCCTGGTCAGGGTTGCGAGATTCCTCCAAACGTGTTCATTTAATGACACGACAGTGTTTTTTCCCAGAATGCAGCTGACATAGATGGAAGTCATTTCTCAGGTATACTTTCAGATGAAATTACTTTGAAAGGTTTAGGTTGTGCTGATTGTAGTTAATCCAGTTCATGGATTTCCTGTAAAGCCCATAGAAAACCTTCACTTCCTTATCAGTGGCTGTACAAATGAGTGAACAAGACAAAGAACATCAGTAACCAAACTTTTAAGGCAAACTTGAATGCAATTCTGCCGCACATTTTATCTCATTTTGTTTATTACTTTCAGGATCATTTTGTATCATTTCAGATATTTTTTTTGTATGTCTCGGCAATTACAGGTTATTCACCATAGAAGTGAAACATTTATGATTTAGGATTTCCATGTGTTAAATAATGCAGGCTAATCAGTAATTAAGTGGCAAAGGAGAGTAAATTACTGCTCTGAGCTTGGTGGTCATTGGGATGGCTTTAAAAACGATTAATCGTTGTGATTAGTAAGGCCGCCCTGGGACCTGAACATTGGTGTACCAAGCACTGTATGGTGTTCAGCGCCGTTTGTTCTGACGGAGTCGTAGCCTGATCTGGTTCCCCCGGCTATCCAGGTGAAGCCGGCTTCTCTGTCAGGGCATCCCACCCCTCTCGTAAAAAGGCAAATGTGATCAGGACCTCCGGTTCACCGTACGTGCAGCCTGCGTTGACCGTGTCAACCGTGCAATGCCACCCTTTCTCCGGAGGAAGTTAAGACAGAGCTTGAGTGTCGGATGACAGGAAGAGGCAGATAGGACAGGCAGTGTACCGTCAGCCAAGTAGGCAGCGCTGAGGCTGCGGACTGTCCGGGGCCCGGCTGGCTGTAACTGCATATATACAAACATCACTGTCGTCAGAAGGAGGGAAAGTAACATTAATTGCTGCCCTATTATATTGTTTGGTGCAGTGTTTCCCAATCCGGTCCTTGGAGACTCAGACAGTCCACATTTTTGGTCCGTCCCAGTAGGAGGAAAAATGAGGATTGTCTTTCAGTCCCTGAGGACCGGGTTGGGACATATTGGCTTAGAGCTTAAGAAAAAAACAGCCCATATGAAATGGAGTATCGACATTGCAGATGGATCAGGAAATGTGGTATGTTTAGCAAGAAAAGGCTACTAACTTCATACATTATCCTATAATTATTAAAATCCATAAAACGGATTGGGCATGAGCATTACAGTTGTTACTGCAGTTCGTTTATCTGCTCTGTTGTTTTCGCAGGGAGCTGAGTTTGGGGAGAGTCAGGCTGTTATTTAACACTTTGGGGGTTATGAATTTGTTTATTTGTTCTTTTTTGTTCCAGGACTGCACATTCTTCACACGCAAAGAGATCTTGAGGTGAGTGAAAATCTTTCCACGTCCTGAGTGCTGCTTGCCGTATCTGCACATGGAATGTGATCATGTATAGAGGATGTGTGATGCTGATTCTAGAAGAAAAATCATGTCCCCAGCATTCAACACATGGGCACCCTGGGGCCAGTGGTGGCTTAATGGTTAAGGAAGCATTGCTTGTGGTCGAAATCCCCGACCAGCCAGGTACCCTGAGTGAGGTGCTGTCCTCAAGCTCTGCTCCCTGGATGCTGAATTAGCTGCCTGCTGCTTTGTCACAATGTCACATATGGGTTAAATGCAGAGTACCCATTTTGTTGTTTTGTACTGTGTAGTATGGTGTATCAACAGTTACAATTAATCACTTTCACATTGAACAGACTCCTTCCTCTTAGCTAATACACTCTAAAGTCCCCTGTTCTTGGCTGATCTGGGGGAAGGGGGTCCTTTCTGCTGTCTGTTTCTCTCAGAAACAGCACCTTGCCAGGATAGTTCCCAGTGTGCAGAGTCCTACAAGAAGCAGTGCTGTGATGTCATCCATGCACTGCAGTGATGGTCCGGACGCTGCCAGTGTCCAAATCAGCCTAATCTTGGTTGAATAACCATGAGTCTTTGTCCATGTGCTCGTGGAGCAAACTCACATGGAATAAAACACAGCAGAGCAATGAACATTCTCAAACGTCCTCGCTAGCCTGTCAGTCCTGAGTTTGCGTAAATGTAATTCTGTTGCATTTAATTGTAATTGATGAAAAGTCCAGGAGGAAACTAAGACAAGATTCCACCGACATAATTGAAGAAAGCAACATTGTCATTCCTTATCCCCCCCCCCCCCTCCCATGAGATGCGGGTAATGGATGGGGTGTGAGGGTAACAGTGACGTATGCGAGGGGCAGCAGGCTCGTCATCTGCGGCCACTAAATCACCCCAGTGAAGAGGAAACACCCCGGGTCACATGACGTGCTCCAGCATCTCAGTTTGTGAACCGCTGTCCTGCACCATCACTCTCCCACTGCCTCTTGCTAAAAGGCGATATATCTCCCCCCCTCCCCCCACCCCCCCACCTGGGTTTGCCCTGAGTGACTTGGATGGCCTCAGCACACTTACTTCAGGCTTATGGAGACTCTCATACGACGCTCCTGAGCTTTCGGCTCTCAGCATCCCGGCTGTGTTTGGGATTTTACTCCATGATATTTCAGGTGGTTTTATTTTTCTGCTCCACCGCATAAGACACTTTGACTGCACACGTACACCCTTTCTGGGAGGTCACCTTGTGTTTTGTCACAGCTTATCTGCAACATTTTCTGCATTATTAACACCCGTCACTTGTCGCCTGGAAGGCTCTCATATACAGTAAAGTCGGCTGTTCTGTTCACCCTCTGGCTCATATTTCATCTCCGAATCTCTGCCCTTCCAGTTATAAAAGCGTAAATGTGTCTGCTTCGCCTGAAATACGGCGCAAATATAGTGAAACTGAGGATATCTGTACCCCGTTCCGCTTTGCACCCGGATCGATACCGTGCCGCTAACCAGCCCCATACGTGACCCCGGACAGTTCATGGGGTCGATTCCTTCATCTATCAGGGTGTTTATCTTCCGGCCGTGCACCCTGGCCCCCCGATGTGTGCAGGGAGCTGCTGCTCAGAAACGCTTTTAAACTGAGCAAGGGCAGGTGCTGGAGGGGCTGCTGGATGTGGGGAGATTAGATCCCAGGCGGGCATGATTCACGGCGCCCCTCCCTCCGTTAGGATGTGATTTCTTTTCTTTTTTTCCTTTCCCATGGCCCTACTGAAACCTCCAGTGCAGTCGGAGCTGGCAGACAGTGCGCAACAAAGCATGAAATTGGCTGGGGAGTCAGTGTGGCTCTGTGTCTGTAGGATGAGCATCACTGGAGAGGCTCCTGTGTGCATGTGTGTGTGTGTGTGTCTACGCCCTGTCGCCGCTGCTTGCTCACTGGCTGCATCGTGTTTCTCTTCTGTAATGCTCTGTTCTAACTTTATTCAGGTGTGTTGTCATGCAAATGAGAGGTAGATACTATTTTATGTATCAGGATAACAAACCCACACCATGCAGACTGTCCATCGCGCTGCGCACTGCTGCCCTTAGTCTGAACCACGTGCTGGTGCTCATGCAGAGTAGCCATACACAATGGCTGCTTTGAGAAGCCGCACTTTGGATCTGTTTCCTTTTCTCTACAATATTACAACACAGCAGCAGAGTTTTGTGACCTGTACAATTTTTACGTTCGTAGATTGTCATAGGGCCATACTGTGTGCTTTGGTGATTAATTTGAAAATAAGCTAGTTTCTGGGATGTGTCTATTTTATTATGCTGTGACATATTAACATTAACATATAAGTATTTAAAAATTGGAGAAGTGCAGAGGTTGAGATGAGAGAAAACAGTACTGGCTGAATGGCATTTCTGGGGGAAACGGCTGTTTTCAGATATACACAGTTCTTCCGGATTTGTGTTTGTAAGGAGTCGTAGACGGTCGATGATTTCCTCACGTCTGTTAGAAAAAGGCTGAAGGACTAATCAAATACAATTTTCACATGCATCCAATAAAAATTTCTAATGTTTTTTTTTTTTTTAGGGAGCTTGCATGATTAATGAAAGGAGAGTTTCTAGAACTGTTGTAGAAAGTTCTATAAAGTTGCAGAAAGTTCTTCATTTATATATTCAAGGGCATTTCCATTATTCATGACCATCTCTCCTTACCATCTCTCTCCTGTCACCAGATCACTTTCCAAGCTCCTGTTATTCTCCCTCAAGATCTTCTAACATTATTGCTTTCTTAAAAATGAAGGCAGCCTTTTATATAAATTGCTCTCAGTTGAGCAGAAATTGCCTTATGCATTACATTCATGCATTTTAAGGTTGATTGCCGACTTCAGCAGCAACGAAACTCTAGTCACAGTCTTTGGAGTCGCAATAAAATCTATTGCGATTTTAAAGAAGAATCCAATGGACAGAATTAGCTCTGCTTCTGGTTTTTAAATAATTTAAAAGATTGCATTATGTATTTCTGCGTTTACAGCATGAAGTTGGCACAGCAGATGCTGTATCGTTATAATGTTTAACGGTGTTTGTACTTCAGCGTGCTGCGAGAGTGATTTGCAGCCTTGTTTGTGTGCTCGCCTCATCGACCTCGGCCTTGGGCTGACACGCTCCTCCAACCTAATAAGCCGTATGGCCCTACAGAGCTACTCACCCTGCAGTGGGAGGTATTAGTGCTCACGTTTTATCTGGGAACCTGTCTCCAGTATATTAGCCTGCCGCCACTTATAAGCAGTTTGTTACATCATATACATGCATCATAATATTCACACCTCAATAAAATACCGGCGTCGAGCGGCAAGCTCTTGGCGTGGCGTGGATGTTCACGACCCCCGTAGTTGTTATGGTCGTCATCGAGGGCTAAAGTGGGCTTGTATTCCTGCGCTGAGGTATCTTTAAGTAGCCTGGTTTAAATGATGCGGCTTTTAAGACTGGGCCCACGACTCAGGGGCCCACGACTCAGGGGCCCGGACGGCTCGTGATCCCCGCCAGTGTTTGCGTTTTGCTAGTTCGCAGCTTGTGTGGCATAATGATCCATCTGCAGACTTTCTAAACTAAGGTAATCCCACGCTGAGATAACCAGAGATGTCGTCATATCAATTTCAGCTCGTTAAGTGACAGTAATAAACGATGTTATTTTCTGAAGAGAATTGCTGCTCGGAACGTGTTCCGCTTGCCGAACCAAATCATCTCGGGCTGGAGAAAATTACATTTTCCTCTTTGTAGGAAAATGGAGGTGTGTCAGCAAAAAATGTTATGGTTTAAGAGGAGCCCCCCCAGTGTCCGCCATGGAAACCTTCTTATTTCTGGGATCTACAGTCTCCCAGGACCTGAAATGGGAGACCAACATAATCTCCATCACAAAAAAGCCCAGCAGAGGAAGTACTTTCTGTGCCAGCCAAGGTAGCTGAAAAAAGACTAGAACAGGCTCCAGTGAACAGTCAGGTCTGTGGAAAAGCTCATTGATGTTGGCAGCTAAACCACCTGCAGTTTAGACCAGGCAATCCATCTGAAGCTAAGCAGGTTTTGGGCCAGGCCAGTACTTGGATGGGAAACCAGCAAGGAAAGCTGGGTTACTGCTGGAAGTGGTATTGGTGTGGCCAACAGATTAGCCCATCCTGTGGTCTGTGTGGATCCCAAAGCCCCAGTGCAGTGACAGGGACACTGTGCTATACAAATGGTGCCGTCCTTTGGATGACATGTAAAACCGAGGTCCTGATTCTCTGAGGTCATAAAAGATCCCTGGACATCTTTTGAAAGAGTAGGGCTGGTTCCCTTATGGCCTGGTCAAAATGTCCCATAGCCGTTTAAGGTCTGGCCTCCTGATTGTCCCCTTTATTTAATTAGTGAATTCTCTCCTGTCCCTTCTCTACCTTACCTACAGCGTGCTGAGTGCACTGGTGCTGAATGGCTAACGTCGCCTCATCCAGGTGGGGGCTACACAGTGGTGGTTGAAGTGGCTCCCCATTGGTTCTGTAAAGCGCTTTGGGTGCCTTGAAATGTGCTATACAAATGTAACATTAATTAACCTGCCCCCCCTCCAGGACCTGCACTCATTCCGAGTTGGGGAAAATCATCACAGCCCCCTCACACCCGGGACACAACCTCCTTGTACCTCCAGCAGGTGCTACAGATGATCGTTCCCCAAAACAAGTAGATACAAGAACAGTTTCTTCCCACAAGCCATCACCCCTATGAGAAGCTCACCTAGTACCTATTACAGTACTCCCCAATGCAAGGCAATAACTCACTGTTGTGAATAACTCACTACTTACGGAATTGTTTCATACTTCCAGCAGTCCTCGCACAAACACACACACCTGCATGCATGTAATGTGTATATCATCCAAACTTTTTTTTAATCATTGTTATGTCTTAAGTGTGTGTGTGTGTGTGTGTGTGTGTGTGTGTGTATGTATAGGGGTGAAACGGTACACAGAAATCACGCTTCGGTACGTACCTCGGGTTTGAAGTCATGGTTCGGTACATTTTCAGTACAGCGGGGGTAAAAGAAACAAAACACAAATTGTTTCTTTTTTTCTTTAAACAGTGGTTTACTGAACAAAGTACTGTATGACTGTCTTTCTTAAATAAAATGTCTCTGTCAGTACTGCTACAACCTACTAATAAACAACTAAAATTTACTTAAAAGTAAATCAAAATAAAATGAATATCCATTGCGGTGCATATTTATAAAATTAACTGTACCTGATCTGTGCTGCATTAACATTAGCAGCTTTTAGCTTCGTATTCGAACTATGGAACAAAAATATCTCAAAAAATACAAAAGCATAATAAAATAAATATGCATTATGGTGCAGCCTGTAAAAGAATACCTGTGTTGTACTTGTATTGACAATAACACCCAACTTCAGGTTAGGACATTCACACGCATGTGTAGCGGCGTGACTTCATCCGGCCCTCTCTGAATGGTCCTCGGGGAACCACACAAACTCACGAAGTTTCCGAATTTGCTACATTCATTCAGTACATTGTGTACCGAACCGAAATACCCGAACTGAAAATGTTCGGTATGAATACGTGTACTGTTACACTCCTAATGCTGATGTATCAGAGCCACTAACCACCTTGTGTATATGAACACACTCGGCCAAAAATCCTGAGTCTGATTCTAGAGAGAAACGTTGTAGCACTGCGGAGTCCAACACACATACACTGTCCTGATTTAGCTAAATCTGTGTTTCTGGTCAGATATGTAAAGACCACCCCCCCCCCACCAGCCAATGAAATCTGCCCTGTAATCCTGCCCCAAGGTCCCCTCACCCCTGGCCATGTGGTTGAAATGTTTGGGACCCTGAACCTGAGCTAAATGAATTAAATGAATGGATTTCCTGGCATCTATAGCTAAATAAATGAAATACAGGCATTTGCGATTGTCAGTCTCATGTGGGATTTCACCTTCAACCTGGGGTGGTGTGTAGGGCTCAGCTTTGTTTTTTTGTGGGATGGCCTGTTCAGGATGCTCTAATTCATGGCACTGTTTCCTGTTTGTGTCTATAGCCTGTGCAGAACCTTCTAAATTAAGCCACCATGTGATGAACTACCTGAGTGGTTATGAGGGTGGATGGCTGTTTTATGTCCAAACTGCTGAGGTAGAATGATTGCTCGTGTAATTTATTACTTGGCCCCAAATGTTTTCTTAAATGTCACATGTTGCCTCCTGCAGATCTCGCCGGGTCTTGATACTGCTGAATGCTTGGATATTTCCTATTTGCTTTGCTCTTCAGAGCTTTGCTGCGCTGAAATAGATTCTGTTGCCTGTGCTGTCAAGCCAGGCCTGGTCTTCTTCTCCTTAACCCCATTACCAGAATCTAATATTGTTTTGTTCATTTACTACGATGCACATCAGCACCAGGATCAGACAAAATACAATAAAGCAGGACCGTAGGAAACATACCTGAACTGTGACCTTCGCAATTGCCTGCATTGTCACTAAGAATTCTGGGTACCGCGTGAAATTTCCAGGCCGAGCTGCAGTTGCTCCTCTGGTGTCCATCCTGGCCTCTGAAGAGAACGGCGACATTCATCGCTGGGCGATTTGAGAGTTAATGAGATGTTTCATATATTAGGCTCTAATGACCCCTGAATCCCGGCTCCCTCTTCACCGCAGGGCTGCTGCTGGCTTTTATCTCCCTCTGCGGTGTCAGCGCAGTGCTTTATTGTCGCTGAAATATGCCCACGCGTGGAGCGCCGCTAGGAACCCACATTAGTGTAAATTAGCTGCAGCGGGTCAAGGAGACGCCTCCTCATTTTACGGGCCGCTGGGCCCCCGGGACGTTCCCTCTCTGACAGTGCGGCCAACAGGGCGCGGCGAGCGACACCGGGCCCCCGCCGCCCAAGCCGTGGCACGGCACCCGTCCGGAAGCGATCGGCCCGATCCGGCACGCCGGCGTCCACGGGGTTAACCAGAGGATGGCGGCGCTGAGAAACGTCGGGGCTTCCGGCTCGGATGAATTTGCAAATTAGATTTGCTGTGAGGCACAGACTCCTGTGGGCTGCGCTTTGAGCTCCATCCATACTGAGCGGAATGGAGAACATCTGGTCTCTCTCTGCATCCAGAAGTGCCAATGTAAAGCTCGTCCTGCAGTCCTCTTCATGCTGGTTTGCCGCATGGGCTGATCTGTGTAAGGCATCACCTGGACCATAATTCAGTTTGAGTTGTATTCACAACTGACAACTCTAAAGGGATTTAACTGGGTGCCCAAGGCAGACGTCAGTAGGGAGACTCAGTATGGGGCTTGGATGTTTTCTGAGGTCCTCAACTGTAGCCAACCTGCGCAAATTTATCTGACAGTTTGCCAGATACAAACAGCAGTCGAGCTACAATGCAATAGTCTGTACATATATTATCTGTGATTTCTCTTTACATTAGGGAAAATGGTGTGGAACTGCTAAAACTGTATACAACCTTACCTGTCTTAGTAATGCACATGAAATGAGGATTTTCACAGATTTGCATCTGGACTGATTATGTAGTTTCCCTAACTATCAATATTATTAGTGGCTTTAAGGACCCTAGGAAAAGCACATGCATGATGGTCCTTTAAGATAGTTTTGTTCAGCACACTGAACTGCCCAAATAAAGCTGAAAATTCAGTGTCAGACCAAATCCCAGTGACGGTTCTGGGTTATAATCGAATATTTTTTCTTTGGCTGTTCTGGATTTGCCTCGTTCAGGCCAGACAAGGGAAACAGGAAAACGTTTGTCAGAGGCTGCCGTACAGCTTCCGTTTCGATGGTGAATAGAGAGCAGTAGAGAAGTCGTGTGCATTTCAGCGGCCGGTGATTCCAGGTCACCGGCACAACAAAGGATGAGGGCAGCCACTGGCGGCAGGAAATGCTGAAGGGCCCAGTGGAACCAACGGATACAGACAATGAGTCACCTGATACCGGAGCAGCTGGTGGAAACCCGTACAACATGGCAAACATGTAAAGCCAGACTTTAAACCCCGAACCCTGGGAGTGTGAGGCAGCAGTTATAGATATACAGATATACAAATATATATACAGTATATATAAAACACATAACATGAATATAATTTAAGACATTCTTAGGATATGCCTTCACCTGTGAGGTAAAATGAATTTAGAAAAGGTTGTTCCTGATGCCTATGATTAAAAACATATGTTTGATGCCTTGTGAGTTTATACTAAATGCATATATTAAAAATGTATGATAATTTGGGGTCTAACCTTTGGAAAGTGAACCATTGTTTGTGTCTTGTGTCTTTTTTAGGTTACATGGACGCTACCACGAACTGGCCCCGCATTTAGTTCCGATGGACTATACCAACGACCCTGATGTCAAGGTCCCCTTAGCCCTTATAGTCAACATGCCTGAACTGAAGGTGACCTTTACTTTTTTTTCTGTAAATATACGCCATCACTGATTATGTAGAACTAAAGCGTGTCAGATTATGTGGGTTTGCTAGATTCAGCGTGTGATGCCATATATGTTATTGTCACGCCGGGCTCAAACGGTAAATAGCGGTTTCCCATGATGCACTGCGGCTCTGTGTAACAGCAGGGGAATGACTGTCCGCTCGTTACAGCTTTAACGAGCCTGCCCCTGGCAGCCAGCAGCGGCCGACACGGTGCTGAATCAGCTGGGCTGTGCTTCAGATTAGTCAGCCTCAGTCTGCCACCTGCCCGCCGGGAGCCAATCACCGGCGAAGGCCCTCCGTAACCCTTGGCAACGTTGACCTGCCCGCCCGGGTGCCCCTCCCCTGCTCACTCATGTGCAAATACAGACATTTAAGAATGGCTGTTTGCTGGCATTGTAGTCAGGGGAAGGCTGACTCAATCAGGCGTAGCGAGATGGTGGTAAGTGATGGAAACTACAGGGCGCGTTAAACCATTCAGTGCCAATTATATAATGTTATATCCAGTCATTTATAAGTTATTAAATCAGCATCAACAAATAGTATAAGGTAAACAGCCGCGTAGGAGTGTAAGAGCACATTTTACGGGCCGAGCAGCTATTACGGATGAGCCATTCGCTCATGTGGCCAGACAGCCGCAGACTGTCGTCACGGGCGCTTAGTCCCTCCTGCCGCCTCCAGATAAGGCCGCAGCACAGAAGAGCGCTTTCCAACATCACGCTGAGAATGTTTAGAGAAGCGAGTCGTTTTTTTAATGAATACGATTTTTTTTTTGCTATTTAGGGGAATGAAGGTAGTCTGTGGAGCCAATTGCTGTGGATCTCAGCACCATTACCTAGGGGCTGTAAGGCTCATTCCCACAGCAGGACTCATTATGCTTTGATATTATTTAGTGTAGGGATGTCTGATTCTCAGCGCGTCACTCCGTGGCGAGGTCTGCAGGTGTGAAAACCTACCAGCAAATCCTGGATACTAAACAGAGCTTGTCTGTCACTGCTGTCCAGAACACGCACTGCTGCACAGTGACTTCAGATAAGAAGTGAAATGTATGAACAGAGTCCTTTTTCGGGTCGTGTCTTTGCAGGATTTTCTGTTGGGTTCAAATCCCAGGGAGCATAAAATGTGGCCCGTTGGATAAAAGCATAAATGCAGTGACGTAAAAATACAGATTCACTTCTAAGTTATAGAGCAATGTTTACAGCTGGTTTGCCTGAACATCTGTGTGTGTGTGTGTGGTATATGTTACTTTGTGTATCTTGTAGGGCTGGGCGATATATCGGGGTTTTTACGATATATCGATATATTTTCATACACGATATATGAAGAGACAATATTGTTTATATCGATATAGTTTGTTGCTATAAAATTATATTTATAGTGCTGCCACTTTGCCTATTTCTCCTCACCCTGTCTGTCTCTTACAAAACTGCGCCCTGCCCCACCCCTCTCCCTCTACGAACACAACCCACCCCTCCAACTCACTCACTCACAAGTCCTGCGTGCAGCGACACCATGGAGACAGGCACAGACACGAGGCACACTAGCGAAGAGGAGCTGGGGGGTATTTCACGAAGCAGGATTTCTTATTTAGCCGCATAACTTGTCAGATTTAAGGTAGTCTGAGCTACATTTAAGTGGACGATTATATAGTCCATTTAGCCCAGATGACCATAAATCCAACAAGTTATCCGGCTAAGCAAGAAATCCTGCTTAGTGAAATACCCCCCTGGTTGGTAAAATAATATATGCCAGTGATCTAACATTTCATCCTAACCTATGGAAACGTCCTACCTTTGGGTACTGCGTGTGCGCACAATGAAATCAAGCCCCTTGTCTTGTGCTTGAAGAACCGCCCATGGATCTCTCCTACCTTGCATTGGAGTTATGGCTTATTTCTGCGTTTTCAATGTTCATACATTTTAAATATTTTATCAGATGCATTGATCACACTTTAATGTCAGCATCACGCTGATTTACTACGCTGTATGTCGAATTACCTGACATGTTTTAACACTTAATCTTATAAGATATTTCAGACTCGCAATTCCTGCTTACATTACATTAGTTCGTGTTTTTTAACAAGTTACATATTTATTTTTTTGGATTATCTGCTATCAGTTTCAGCCCATAAAAATGACAATAACATTTTCGGTAAGATAGCACCAATCGATAGATATACAGTATCTGTAAGGTAGGACAAATAGACATTTTTGAGCCATTTTTTCATGCACATGTACAGCTGTCTGTAAATAAATTTCCTGTGTGACATTGAGGACATTTGACTCTGACTTGGAACTGTCTGTTTGTTATTACTTTATGGGAAAACAATATTGAGATATCGCGGCTCAGCTAAAAATATTGAGATATGATTTTAGGTCCATATCGCCCAGCCCTAGTATCTTGTATTAATTGTCAATTAATGTAACGGCAAAGACACATATTTGATATTTGTTCAGTTTCTTGATTTGGTTCTTACTTCTGTGACGTATTCTCCTAATTTGTGTGCTGCCCTTGTTCATTTAATCTTTTATCCTGAACTTTTGTCAGACCTTTAATCCAGCCTAGTAATTACACTCTTGAGATTTATCGAGTCTGATTGGATTTCCTCTTTGGCCATTCTGAGAGGTTTTACTTCCTCACTTTGTTAGTTAAATAAAACCGTCCTTGACTGACTGGATGAATGCCTGCCTGTCTCTCCTACTTCTCTCACTTTGCAGGAAAACCCCTTCAGAAACCGTATCGTGGAATCCTTCTCTGAGGATGGAGAGGGCAATCTCAGCTTTAACGAATTTGTGGACATGTTCTCCGTCCTCAGCGAAACAGCCCCCAGGGAACTCAAGGCTATTTACGCGTTCAAAATATATGGTCAGTCGCTTCTCTCATTGATACCTTGCTTGTTAGTGTCTTTGGTCTTCCAAATTAAGAGCAATAGAATGAGGAGATTCTCCTTAGAGAGGCTGGTTCTAACCTCACCATTTTCTGCCACCGCCAACAGATTTCAACACGGACAATTTCATATGCATGGAGGACCTGGAGAAGACTTTGAACAGGCTGACCAAGGAGGAACTGACACCCGAGGAGGTCAAGCTGGTGTGCGAGAAATCCATCGAGGAAGCGGACCTGGATGGCGACAGCAAGCTTTCGTTTGCCGACTTTGAAAACATGATTTCAAGGGCTCCAGACTTTTTAAGGTATCTTTTGTTGACCTTGCCTTCAGCAAATGATTATAATGTGGTATTCTCTTTTGGTGTATTTCGGAATCATAACTTCATTCTTCATTCTTTCTTATTGGAAAAGCAAAAAAAAATCTCCCATGAGATTGCCAGTGATTCAGCGCTTTAAAGGGTTCTGAAAAACAACAGGCTCGATCAGTAACTGTGAGAACGTCTGTCTGGGCAGCTAACAGAACTACGTACATGACAGACCTTCAGCAGCGAGGGAAAGGTTTACAGGCTGTATTTTTCCAATTAATCAGAAAACGGAAATGCTGATATGGCTAGTGACGGGTTTGTGTGTGTGTGTGTGTGTGTGTGTGTGTGTGTCCAATGCAATCAGTGTATGATCCAAGTGGATTAGGACATTAGCGTAGCTGCCCAGGTCATCCTGCAGGTATAACAGCATTCAGCCAAAGTGCTGAGCGCCTGCTTCAGACTGAATGGGATTTTCCTCGTAAATCTTCATGCCAGAGGCTTGAACTTCGCTGCAGGCTTCAGACAAATTAGGTTACTTCTCCCGTTTGCATTTACCTAAAGCTACAGGAAATGCAACACTGTCTTGAAACTGCTGCAAATATATTTGGGTAAGACAATGACGTAGGAGAGAGTTTTAGACTGGGGAGCACAATTTAGTGATTTAAATACAATGGTCTGTTTATTGCTGGGACGAATGAAGCCAAATTAAATATTGGGGGGACACTGACTCCGCGCCCCCCCTGTTCTACACCCTAGGATAAGATGATGTGAAACATGCATTTTGCATTAAACGTGTTTTGTATTAAACCCTGGTTTCTGCTGTTCCTGAGTGTGACCATGCCGGCACACGCCGCTCGCACGCGAGGAGGATGGCGCTTGGCGTTCAGCTCAGTCAGCTGCAGGTCACTGAGGAAGAGCAGCCTGGGAGCCGCATTTATCTGTGACGGCGTCGCCTTTAGCAGCGAGCCCCGAGTCTAACAGCGGTATTCGCACGCGGCTCTGGTGCAGGCCGAGCGCTCTGCTCGCCAAACCGGGCCACATTTTTCTTGTAGGAAATTGCTTTGTAAATCATTATAAAAAGACTGCGCTCCGGGGCCAGAGTGGCACGTAATGGTTTCGGTGGAAAAGCTGGAGACGGATCAACTGTCCAGGGTGGGGATAAATCTGCCGAAAGGCCATAAAAAGGACAAAGCTGGAGACGAGCAGAGCGGCAGCCACAGCGTGAGACCCCCCCCCCCCCCCCCCCCCCCCCCCCACGGCAGGGGCATCTGTAAATCCATCCCGTGGTGACAGCAGGATGGGCCCAGATGGGACACAGAAACGATGATGTTTTCACCACGGGTAAAGAAGGTCCTTTAACTGGGATGCTTCACCATGTTCTTCTAGCTGTCATGTTTCCCACAAAAGTTAAAAACTGTTAAAAACTATTTATGAAATAAAAACATATTCAGGTCAACTTAGGTAGCTGGGCAATATTTTTTACTTCCATTTGTACAGAGATGGCACTTCCTCTTGTCATCATGACACAAATTTCTGAGTCAGCGATATCCATTGTTTCTGATTGCTGCTCCAGTGGTCTTGTGGGATAGCGTAGCGTCCATCAGTTGCACACTTTGGAATTTCACAGAATGTAGTATGTCATCTGGGTACTGATCATATACTGTTTCTTCCATACTAATGATTCAGGCACACTGCTTACTTTGCATACTATATTTCACCTACTACTTAGCAAACAAGTATGTAATTTTAGCCACATCCTGTGCTTGGTTTCATTTTCTGTTTCAGAAGGACAGAGGTACTGGTGTTCAATGCTGGGAGAAGCTTCAGTGTCTAGTGTAGCATTAAATGTGTCATTTGTATGATACAGGCCTTCTGCAGGCTTTCAGTAAAATCCGGCATCCAATATATGAATTATTATAAGTCCACAAGCCATCTGCTCTATTTTGGTACCTTAATTTATGTTTGAATATTATTTGTATGGCTCTGTTGGTTAAGACTCTGTTACCCATCATCAGAGGGTTGCTGGTTTGAATCCCTTCACTGTGTACATATCATTGAGGAGGGCGCTTAACCCAGAAAGCTTATGTCGGGGGTAAAGAGCCGGCTCTACGCTCTGAATCCAAGCGAAAGGCAGGCTTTGGCATACAGACGGCATGCTGCTTTAGCCGTAAACCTCACCCCTGTGTTTCTGTTTCCAGCACCTTCCACATACGAATCTGAGGGGCGCCGGCAGGGAAGACGTGCTGTTGGAAGGCGACAGTGCGCCTGGCTGCCCCTCATTCATGCTGCCCAGGACACTCGCTGACATTGCACCAGCCGTGCAGTTAGGGCTTTCTGGGGGGGAGGGGGGCGTGCCCGATCCCCCCCCCCCTCCCTCCGAGTGGCTGATTTACCGCAGTGGAGTGTCTGCCTCTTACACATGAGCAAAAACCGGAGTCCCTGGTCATGCCAGTCAGCAAGGAGACGCAGAGACTCTCGACTGGCGTGGCGGGATTCCGCATTTCCTGTTCCTGTATCTCCGTTTTTTCGGCGTCCGCATTCCTGCACCTGCTGCATCTCCGTTTTTTACGGACGCCCCTGACAGCTGATGCATGCCCCTGGAAACTCCTGTGACTCGTAAACGGAAGACTCTCACACCTTTGGGTCCTGCCTGCAGCTTAAGTGTCAGACTTAATATACATATTTATAATGTGGGAAGGTTACATTTTGGAAGTACAGCGTGTGCGAGCCGCCTCACCTGGACGTCTTTCCCCAGCGCGGACGCCGAAGCCAGGGAACCAAGCACAGCCCTGTCACCAAGGACACAGAGACAGTTGTTTAACAGCTATGCAATCTTTCTCTATGACATGCATGAACGCAACTGTAAATTGCAAATCGCTTTATTGTTCTAATTCCAGTATTGAGCTACTGGACCATGATGACAATCAGACCTAACTGTTCTCCAGTTGAAGGAAGGGCTTTTTCATTTCCAATCCAACTGTCTTTTTATTACGCTTTAATATCTGTGTCTCTATTTAACTTAGACCATCAGCCTCAACAGGACCCAATTCAATTTCCTTCTGTATTTGATGTGATACAGAACATTTGGCTCAATTCTGAATAAATGTTTTTTTTTTTTTTTTTGCTTGTTAAATTACTGAATCAATCTTTTGCTATTTCTAGTGGCTTATTTCTGAATTATAATCACTGAAATACATTATAATATACACAAAATGAAATCGTATAATGATTAAAAAGAAATTACTTATACTCTACACCTCAATTATGAATTGTTTTATTTTTCCTCCAATTGGTGATTGTAGTGTGGTGGGGGCTGCATTTCTCATGTTTCCCACCCACCATGTCCCCACTATGGGAAAGGCATCTGTGTCCTTTCGATATACCATAAAAGTTATTTACAAAACTACTACATTCTCTATGCATGCATGCCAATCCTAACAGACATCGGATGCTAATATGAGGAAATAAACATTATTTGAGCATTAAATTGTTGGCAAAATTGGTAAAAACAAGTGGCTTTTTCCTCATTCATAAAAAATTAGCTCACAATCCCTGTTTTAGCGGGCTGATGCAGTAGTGTTTTAATCACATTTAAAACCAGTGCCATCTTCTTACATTTGATTGTATCCCATATCACACATATACAAGTACAGAGAGATTAACCTGTTGCAACTAGCACCAGGCTACTGATGTGTACAATTTAAAAAATCTGTTGTCATTTCACATTTTACTTGTGGTGGAGAAGATGGTTTATGTTCACATTTGTGAGGCCTGGTCTATAGACGCATGCAGTATGTGGAGTATCGATGTGATCAGCCATGTGAAGAAGTATCAAAATGATCAGCCACGTATTGAGGAGTATTGAAATGATCAGCCATGTACGGGGGTATAAAGATGATCAGCCATGTATTGAGGAGTATTGAAATGATCAGCCATGTGTGGGGGTATAAAAATGATCAGCCATGTATTGAGGAGTATTGAAATGATCAGCCATGTAAGAAGGTATAGAAATCATCAGCCAGTAAGAGTATTGAAATGATCTGCCATGTGAGGACGTATAGAAATGATCGGCCATGTAAGGAAGTATGGAAATGATCAGTAGTGTGAGGTTGGAATGTCATTAAACACGTACATGCCTATTTCCATTGGTTTGGAAATGGGCATTTGACTGTTTCAGCACCTTCTCTGGAGGAAGATGAAATGCCTACTGCAGACCTTGATGTCAGAGAAGGTTCCAGAGCCTGCTGTGGGTAAAGGCCGTGCTTCCGCAGTCAAAGCCCACCCCCTCCCCCAGACTCATGCTTATAAACAATATTGATGAACAACAAGAACAAGCCTGCTGCTGTGCCTGTCGCTTTACGACAATGTTCAGTGGAGAGCAGATCATCTCAGCGATTTAACACCAGCCGCGTTTGCTCCTCTGCTGGGTAATGGCCTTTTAAGCAGAGCGGAATGAAGGCGCCTTCGCTGACTGAGCGCCCCGCGCGCACCGGGCTGTGTAAATCTGCCCCGCGGAAAGCTCGTCCTTGACCACATTTGTTGAGAGATGATTTATCAGCAGAGATGATATATCAGTGGACAGGGGGTTTGCACAGTCTTAGCTATGTGTATGTTTGTGTGATTTTTATTAAACCTAAAAACAATGAAGAAAAATTCTAGGGTATATTACATCACATCTCTTCCAGGGTGACCCCTGGCCTGTTCCCTGTGGCTCCTCCAGGCCCTGTCTTGATATGCAATTTGAAGATGGTTCTGGAAGCCTTTTAATGTTTGTGCTTAAGGCACAGTTAACGGTTGAGAAACAAATGTGGGTGATATGTACAGAAGATCCCTAGTGATATAAAATATCGGCATGCCCACACTTCTATATGCAGACTTTTGGGGGGGGTGGGGGGGGTAGTGAATATCAGGTGAAATTTGGGCGTCTATAAAACCTCAATGGGACGTCATGGTGCAGTATGATGTAGACGGTCCTCAGTGGGACGTCATGGTGCAGAATGATGTAGACGGTCCTCAGTGGGACGTTATGGTGCAGAATGATGTAGACGGTCCTCAGTGGGACGTCATGGTGCAGTATGATGTAGACGGTCCTCAGTGGGACGTCATTGTGCAGTAAGATGTAGACGGTCCTCAGTGGGACGTCATGGTGCAGTAAGATGTAGACGGTCCTCAGTGGGACGTCATGGTGCAGTAAGATGTAGACGGTCCTCAGTGGGACCATAACTTTGGATTGAACGGGAATGTAAAAGTTTTGTGGGGAAAAAGAAAAATCACCGTTATATATCTGCGAGATCTGGTTATAAATAAGGGGGCGGGGGGGGTCATCACACTTCCCCCGATCGGTATATGACCATTAAGGTGGGGGCCATGCTAATATGCACTTAATTCCTCATCCTACTGCCTTCTGCTCGCTTTACGACAGCAGAGCTAAAATCCAGGGGAATTTCATGCTGACAGAGCGACTTGGTTAATTACAGACGCCGTGGAGAACATCTGCTGATTAAGATTCTAATAGCGCTGCCTCTGTTTGCTCCTGATACTGCCTGTAGGTCAGCTGTGCCGTAAACCGGCCATAAAAACATTGATTCTCATTATTCAGCTTGGCCTCATATACTCCCGGTGTCCACGGCACACCAGGGGGACCCAGGAAACGGCCTTGGCTCCGCACAACGATCGGCGCAGACCCCGCGCTGAGGTAACGCGGCTGCAGACCCTCCTTTGTCATATTGATATTACGAAGGCGCCAGGTATCGATGAAGCCGTGTCTCCTGGTCGCATTAGGCAGAAGGACAGGAAAAAAGAGTCAATGATGAAAGTATCGCATTCCGCATCTATAAAGGCCTTTGAGCGACCTTCCCTATAAAATTGCCTTAAAATGCATCAATATCTGCTTAATGTGGCGTATTTTTACCTTTAACCATAAAATAATGCAAATATGATTTTGCACAGTAGGAAAAAGAGGCAGGTCGAGCCTGTGCCTGAAGCATCCAGAGGTTAAATGCTCACCAGAAGCTTCTTTTTCTACACTATCTACAATGCCTAAAGTGTGTCTCCAATGTTTGCAGTGTATCTACAGTATATATAGTGTATCTGCAGTGCCTCTTGTATGACTATGATGTCTGCAGTGTCGGGGACCTACAGACAGTCCACATTTACCGGGAACTGGGAGGGAGCAAAAATGTAGACTGTCTGGCAGAGAGCTCAGACGAAGCAAAAAAGTGGACCGCCTGTAGGTTCCCCGGAACCGGATTGAGAAACACTGGCTTACAGGATTTACAGTGTGTCTACAGTGTATCTACAGTGCTAAATACATTGTATCTGCAATATTCATACAGTTATTACAGCATGTCTACAGTGTGACTACAGTGTCTGCAGTGTGTCTACAGTGTGACTACAGTACCTACTGTATATCTGCAGTGTGTCTACAGTGTGACAACAGTGTCTCCAGTGTTTGCGAGATCCACAAAATGAATTGTGCCTAAAAAAGTGAAAATGTGAAAACACAATTAAGAGAAGAGGGCTTAAAGAATTTAAGATGAATTTGCATTTCCTGGTTTTATTAATGTATTTTTGAAAAATGTCCACAAGTGTCCCTTTTGCAGCTGGAAATCTTTGCTGATGACACCTGGTCCTGTGCTTTAGCTTCTTCAGCCCCCCCCCCCCCCCCACCTTGCAGCTGTGGCCTGTGATTGGTGGGAAGGAAGCCCCCAGAACCTCTTTCCATACGCACTGTCATATGGCCACAGTATTATCACAGTCCACACGCTGTGACACATATGCACATGTACTCGGCCAGTTAGCTGAGTTGCTTAGAGCGTGATGCTAATGACAGTGTGGCCCTATGGGTTAGGATGCTGTTAAAATGATCGGAAGGTTGCAGGCTCAGATCCCGTGGACGGTGGAGTCGCCATTGTTACCTTTGAGCAAGGCCTTTTACCCCCAGTTGCTGCAGGTACTGGCAGACCCTGCTTTCTTAAAAAAGGCATCTGTTAAATAAAATGTAACTGCAGAGTCTGCTCTTAGTGGGTGTAATAACAATAATAATGCACATGGGAGCCAGTGAGTGCAGCTGTACTGTGGCCTACAGCTGCAGTGTACAGTGTTTCACATCACCGCCTCTCTCTGATGCCGTCATCTGTCTTATTTATGAGCAGAGGCCTCCATAAATACTCAGCTGTGATCAAATACTGATCTAGTCACCAGTGACATCTTGATAACCCCCTCAGATGAAAAAGACTTTGTCCGACATTATTTTCATTCTCAGCATTTGTGCTTAAGTGTGCAGATCATAAAGTGCCGTATCACTGGAGAGCTATATAACCGCCGGCCTCGGGGACGATTTACGTGCCACCGTCGCGACAAGCACGGCACATTGCTCACTCAAGTCATTCACATGAAGTTTAGTTTCACATTCATGGTACCAAAAACCGAGAGCTTCCAGTCACAGTGGAATGTCTTACTCTGCCACTCAAACAATCAGGGGGAAGATGGAATAAGTATAGAATTTCAACCTTTAATTAATGAAAGAATAAAAGATGGACGTATTCTTACATCCATTTGAGTCTTCTGAAACCTCATGTGAGATCTGCAGCGGGGCAGGGATGAGGCTAAAACGCTGATGTGCTCACAGCAGCATGAATACAAGTCTCACCTCACTCCTCACCTCACTCCTCACCTCACTCCTCACCTTATACCCCACCTCACTCCTGACCTCACTCCTCACCTCACTCTTCACCTCACTCCTCACCTTATACCCCACCTCACTCCTCACCTCTCTCCTTACCGTACTCCTCACTTCACTCCTTACCTCACTCCTCACTCTTCACCTCACTTCTTACCTTTCTCCTCACCTCACTCCTTGCAGCCCTGCTAGATGTTATATAGCAGTGTACATTTTACTGTCGCTTATAATTTACTGCTTTCATTATTCATCCCGCAGCGCTTGGTGCTACGCAGACCTTGGAGCCACACTCCACAGAGGCCTGTCGGGGTACAGAGTTACATGCAGACACAAACAGATACACTGCGCAGAGGCCTGTCGGGGTACAGAGTTACATGCAGACACAAACAGATACACTGCGCAGAGGCCTGTCGGGGTACAGAGTTACATGCAGACACAAACAGATACACTGCGCAGAGGCCTGTCGGGGTACAGAGTTACATGCAGACACAAACAGATACACTGCGCAGAGGCCTGTCAGAGTATAGAGCTATGCGCAGACACTGCAGAGACCTGACAGGGTGCAGAATTGTGCACAGATACAAACAGACACAAATTTTAAGTGAAGAAGGGTCCTCTCATCGCCAAATAGCCAGAAAGTTACGTGTTTCTAAGCAAGAAGGGAAACCGTATCTCTTAATACAGTCAAGCAAAGGCTGAGAGCAGCTGGACTGCATGGTGGACTCGCTGCCAGAAAACCTTTACTTCATGGCATCAACAAGAAAAAAGAGAACTATGGGCTACAACACTGGAGTATTCAGGATGGGCAGCAGGTCTTGTGGATGGACAAATTGCACCAACAAGTTTGAAATGAGTGTCTAGCAAATGAGACAGAACTGATTGCATGCTTGAAAAAGTGCTGGCAGGGTTTGGACACCAGTTATTTCCAAAAATTGCTGGAAAGGATGATGTGAATCTGTGCTGCTGTGATAAAGGCAAGGGGTGGTTATTTTGATTAATCTTAGGCACTCTCATTCATTAAATTGCACAGTTATAATGCATAGTAAATTGTTACATTACACTGTAAAACCAATATGTTACACTTGTTTTAAGTAATTCTAAGATTTTCTTGTAATAAAACAGTGTATCGTTTATTTTAAAAATCAGAAGGTGGGTCCAGACTTCTTGTTTGTAATGTAAACGCCATGTTGAGGCTTGTAGACAAAATTCCAAAACATTTCACTTATTAATGTTACGATTACCTGTGACCCTGACCAGGAAGAGCAAATGGAAGAGATGGATGGATGGATGGAATATCGTGTAATATATTGTATTAGTAATACCCATAATTTCAAAATGTGAGAAGTCTCACACTGATTTGGCTGTTATATACAACATTTAACATCATATATGAAGAAGAACAAGTCTTTGTTCCTGACACACTGAGCTGCATATTCATACCGGGCAGAGATGAACGAAAGAGCTCCCACCCCCCAAGCATGAAGGGGGAACAGACTCGTCCTCAGAGCGTAAGAGTATCTGCTGAACCACACGTGACATCCATCATTACATCAGCAGACAAACCACCAAACGCAGGAAATGAGGTCATGCATCATGAGCTGTGCTGTAGATACGCAATAACAGTGCATGTCACAGAATGCCATGAAGTACCGATTGATTACAACCTCAGTACCTCCACACCAGTGAGTCGGTCTCCACACCAGTGTGGGTTTAAATTTAATTTTGTCTTCACAGAATATTTAGGGCCCTTTACAGCAGTTAAAGCTAAAGAGACAAAGCCAGGCTTTCTGGGAACTTCTTGAGATTAAGTGAATATGTAGAAAACCTGAAAACCTGCTTCTTCCATTTACCCTCATGAGGTCAATGGGCTAATCTTCAGCACAGTGACTAAATAATATGAGCAGCTGAGTTAAAATAAGGTCTACTTATTCAGAGTCACAATCTCACCATTGACGAGCAGTCAAAGCACTAGCTAACTGCTGTGTAAAGGGAGTCATATTCATAGAGCACTTCCCATCTGTACGGTGCTGGTGTATTCCTGCTCTCCACAGAGAAACACGTCACCACCTCCTCAGTGGGTTTAAACGGGAGTATTTATATAGGCGGGGTAGCTAAACTACAGCGTGAATGATTGCGGTGGGATTTCTGAAACACTACTTACACAGCAGCTCATACAAATTGCCTTTATTTGAAGTGAAATAAAAGTTTCGTTGTAAAATGAGGAATCCGTTCATCATCCAGGAGACAAGCAGAAATCAAATAAAATTATAACTGCCAACCGCTGCACATTCATTACTGGTAGTTCAATATCTTCGTGTCTGAGAAAAGATGAAGTGTGCTGTACTTCGTGGTCCCTGCTCCATTAAAAATGGAAAGGATGAGGAAGGCTGCAGGTTGAACCATACAGAAAAAAAGCATGAAAGCACTTTTACTGCTTTCCGTGATGATCTGACTCGGCTGCGGCATGATAATCGCTTTTCTCCGGCAGAGACCGACGCCAATCCCGTCCGTTTTCCCCGACTTTGAGTACCATCTGCCCTGACGATTTATAGACCGTCCCATTGCAATTAACGGCGAGGACATTCAGCAATACAGCTGTTTGGGTTGAAGCAGGACACTGTGCACATGTCTGAAAAACGATGATTTTATAGTTTTATATCCATTGTTTCACTGCAGCGCTGCGCGCCTGTTGTAAAAAATGTAAATGTTACGTTTAATATTTCTGAAAAATTCAAAAATCCAAAAAAGGAACAAATAACTTAGGCCCTATACATAATTTTACTAAACTCCAAGGAATAACATTATCTTTTACCATATAGTTATATCAAGCTTGCATTCAGGAAATGATGTAAAACGCCATAACCTTTGAAAAACAAAGGTTATATATATATATATAAAGGTTACCTCTATATTTAAAGAGATAGGAATAAATTATATATGAACAACAATTTTTAACATGTTATTTCTAAGGCGATGGAAATGAACAAATGACAAATATTGACAGACAAACTAACTTCATTAGACAATGAAATCAATACACTACACACACCGTGCTGTAAAAATGACTGTTTTTTGTAATTCTGTTTTTACAAAGCTTTTTTGACGTACTGTAAGTAGTACATTTTAAATATATTGGTTCCCATGAGCTAAGGTCCCGTTTTGGACAAGCCAGGTGGGCGGATGCATCCGGGGAATCCTGCCCCGTATATTAATCTGCGGTTCTTTCAGTAACGTTGACGCTTTCCTTCATTCACTCTTCAGTGTTTCTTATGGTCTGGGAAAAATCTTCGCCATTTATCATTCTGCCGAAAGAAACACAATAAAACGTATCGCCACCATGTAATTTAAAGTCCATCATATTATTTTTAATCAATAATTGATTTGCTTTTAACTGGAAATGCACTTACCTTTTTGGCCCCTTTCTGTTTTATGTCCTCCAAGGTCTCGTAGGTGTTGTTGTGGGAGGGGGGAGTGCAGCCCCCTCCCATAAATCCCGAGTCAGGAATCTGCTCGTAAAGTTTGTCAGGCATCACGTGACAAGCTTCGGCAGGAACCTGGGCGTACAGGTTCTCCTCCTCCTGCTTTATGGGCGCCTCACGCAGTTCTGCTTGAGTCCACTGGGTGGCGCCGGCCAGTTGGTACAGTGAGCCATGGGAGAGTTTGTCCATGCTGTTGCTGCTGGACTGGGCCAGAGGAGCTGGCTCTCGGAGGCACTCCGTCACATCCAGAGACATCGTGTGGCAGGTGGCTTTCTTGACAGGTTTCGGCGACAGATCCGGGGGGGTGCAGGAAGTGGCGTGCTGCACTGCGCTGTCGTCCAGAATGGGAAGCGACTTGCTGCGGCAGTCTGACAGGCTCAGCTCTGAGGGCACCATGCCCTGCCTGCTTGTAAGATGGGCTTCAGCAGCTCTAGGGAAATTCCAGGAGAGGCTGTAGGGATCCTCCCACTTGGGGGCGCTGTGCCCCTTCCTGGATTCTGCTGAACTGCTCAGGCTCTCTTTGCTGCTTAGGGGGGACTCAGCTTTGTCTTGCATTCTGGTCTCCTCTAGGCTGGAGTACCTCATCTGGTCAGGGAGGGGGCTCTTATCGACCGGGGACTTCCGTCTTGGCACCGGGGGTACTGCCTAAGATGTATGAAAGTGAAGTGAAATTCACCAGGAGCACCTTAATCAGGAAATAACAGGAATATTTACTATTCCGGGCTCTGCCTACCTGCGGAGGAGGGGTCTTTTCGAGGGAGGAGCTGGCTGTGAGTTTCCCGGCAGTTTTGGGGGGCAGGGCTGGGGGCTTCCCGGCCGCCAGTCCACCCCGCTGGTTCCAAAAACTCCTCACGGCCTGGACACTGACAATCGATTTCTCTTTCTGGTTGGACTGGACCACGTCGTAGATGTCACTGTCGGAGGACTGTGGGGACACAGCAGTGAGTATCAGATGGTGACCGGAAGCGTATCCCAGCATGGACACTGCGCCGCCGGCACCGCACCTCACAGCAGGACGATGTGAGGAACTCTCCGAAGGGCTCGATGGCGCTGACCCGGTAGTACTCGATGAGATCCATCAGGTTGTTGTGCTGCTCGGTGTCGCCCGAAACAAGGAACTGTCCAGCCTTGGTCTGGTTGATGACAAAGTGACGACATCGGTCACGGCCTCTGGAAGGGAAAAAAAAATGGTGTGGATGAAATCCATCCATCCATCCATCCCCCACAATCACTTATCCAGAAGTGGGTAACCATCTTGGACACACAATGTGAGACCCCGATTTATGCAGTTGCATGGTTCCAGACTGCAGCAGTCTAGACCTGTATGACTGTGGGGAGGGTGTGTGACCCCACTCTGCAACCCTGAGGCTACAGTGCTGCCTGCTGAGCCCCCAGCCAGTGTCCTCATAAACCTGCCTTTCATACCCTCCAATAAACACAGTTATATCAATGAAGCATGAATGCTAGCAGACTTTGAACTTATCATACTTGTCGTCCCTCATTTTACATTATTGTGACACTATTTATATCGTTGCTTTTATATTTCATTATGATTTTATTTGCAATTTCTATATTATCTTTTATCTTATTAGGTCTTTGTTTTTAAGCCGGATCTGCATGTGGTAACAGTATTTCACTGCACTCATGTTTGCTGTATGTTTGAGTATCTTATAGATCAGCTTGAATCGCAAGCATGAAATCCTGCAGTATTTCAGATACTCCATATATGCAAACGCATCCTCAAATACTGTCTTCAAGGACACCCTGGCTAGCGCTACAGCACCGGTAAGCTTAATGAGCCTGTCTTTATGGTGAGTTATCTCAAGCAGAGCAGTAAAGGCAAGGCTCACTTATAGGAGAGGATGTATCCGGTAGCCTTGTCACTGAGTCGAATGAGAAAACAGCCCAGGTGTTTATCACGCAGCCGATCTTCAGCATCCCTGTCAAAAAACAGGAAGTCATTACGGCATTAAAATACCAGTCAAATTAGATGAAAATGTTGTGCTTAGTCTTTTAAAGTTCTTTTTCAGTTTTCCAGAAACTACACACATTTTGCCAGCATGTGACAACAGCAGCACACTGGGACTGGTGCGTTAGGGATAATCCAAGCAGACACCTTGAGCGACGCAGCCCCCTTCCCGAGGACGTATCTCTCCGGAGGTCCGCTCACAGCTTACTTTCTTGTGATGCATCCTTGAAACCAGGCAGGGAAGCTGCCCTCTTGGAGGATGAACGGGGCCTGGGTCTCTGTAAACCAGCGGAGAGCCCGCTCTCTCGCGGCGCCCTCCCCAGTCGCCGCATTCTCTCCCAGCGAGAGCCGCTCCATCTTCCTGTGTCCCTCGCCGCCGAATGAATGCGACGTCCAACAGGTTGCAGGTTTTTTCACCGGCACGGTGCCTGTTTTGCCTATTTTCCTAACGACGTCATCCAGCGCATACGAACAGCTGAATGCTGCCATTGTCTGTGGCTATCATCCCTGACATCACCAGCTACCGTCTCCAGTCTCTGTATTTTACTATCACTGTTCCTATTTCTTCTTTATGATGTGAGACTTGTACTGCATGTAAATTAAAGTGCATTTAATGTGTCTCTCTTCATATTGGGAATTATAAATGGCAAAGAAATTAATGTTAGATGTTTTTGTAATATGAATGGCGATAGGCCTATATATATAGTCGGTATAGAGTTCTGTACAGCTATTTGATTTTTTCATTGTTGCTTTTAATTGCTCTCACCTGGCAGAATGGCTCTATGTTTGACCTGTCAAACTGCAGAATCAAAAGTGAAGAGCAGAGGGCATTATGGTTATGGCACTGCATTGTTGTCAAATATTTGAAATGATACACTGTTGTCTCGTGCTTGAACATTCCATTTAATTGATTGATTAGTCCTTCTTTGGTGAGTAAAAGCTCCATATAGATTGTGATTCCATCTCTACATCTGGGTGTGGCAACCGCTGGAACTGTATAATAACTGTATAATTTATACAAATGTAACCCCTGCTAAATTAAATTTCTGTGTTAAGTTTTAAAAATTGTCTTTAATGTGCGCTTCTTCGGGTATAAAGACAAACGCAAAACCACAGAGTGTTTTTTTTTTTACAAATTTACCAGTGACCTTTGCTTATTTTCACTTTGAAATAAAGAATAAGAAATAAACACTAGGTGACTGCACATCACTTACTGTCACGCGGCACATGCCTTTTTCCCCTGTGTTCTCCATGGTGTGGCACTAATGAGCCTCACCTGTTCCTTGTTTAACTCTGCCTCTCGTTTCAGCCCCCGTGCGAATGATCCCAGGTGCCTCTCGTTTCAGCCCCCGTGCGGATGATCCCAGGTGCCTCTCGTTTCAGCCCCCTGTGAATGATCCCAGCTGCCTCTTGTCTGCTCCCTCATCTGTGGGGTATATAGTGCCTCCTCGTCCTGAGCTCCCCAGTCCTGTCATTGTAATGTTATGTTGCTGACTGCATGTACCCCGTTACCGTGTGACCAAGAGGGGTGAAACAAAGGGCAGGGAGGATAAACCAGAAGGTAGAAAGGCTAAGCACTGCAACAAATACCTAAGGAACAGTAACACAGACCACTAACTAAACCCAAGAAACAACAAGCGGGAACCTAAGCACACAGCAGTAACATCTACATCCACAATGACCAACAAAGAACAGGGCAAGGCCAAGCATATATACACTATAAGGACAAAAGTATTGGGACACACCTCTTAATTGAATTCAGGTATTTCATTCAGACTCATTATCACAGGTATATAAAATTAAGCACTTAGCCATGCAGTCAGGTTTACTGATTTGTGAAAGAATGGGTTGTTCTGAAGAGCTCAGTGATATCAAGTGTGGGATTGTCATAGGATGCCACCTTTGCAATAAGTCAGTTTGTGAATTTTTTTCCCTGCTAGATATTCCATGGTCAGTTGTAAGTGGTATTATCACAAAGTGGAAGTGTTTAGGAACAACAGAAGCCCTGCCATGAAGTGGCTGACCATGTAAAGTAAGAGTGTGGACGCCGAGTGCTGAGACACATAGTTCTTTTGACTTAACTGCAGAGTTCCAAACTCCCTCTGCATTAACTCCAGCACTAAAACTGTGCAACTGGGGCTTTATGGAATGGGCTTCCATGGCTGAGCAGCCAAAGTTGGAAGCTGTATGCTTCCAACTTTGTGGGAACAGTTTGGGGAAGGCCCTTTTCTGTTCCAGCATGACTGTGTCCCAGTGCACAAAGCAAAGTCCATAAAGACATGGTTGTGTGAGTTTGGTGTGGAAAAACTTGGTTGTCTCACAGAGCCCTGACCTCAACCCCATTAAACAGCTTTGGGATAAACTAGAATGGAGATTGCAAGCCAGGCCTTCACCAGCAACATCAGTGCCTGACCTCACACATGTTCTTCTGGATGAATGGGCAAAAATTCCCACAGACAAACTCCAAAATCTTGTGGAAAGCCTCCCCAGAAGAGTGGCAGCTCTTGTAGCTGCCAAGGGGGGACAAACTCCATACTGATGCCTATGGAGTTAGAGTGGAATGTCATAAAAGTTCCTATAGGTGTAACAGCCAGGTGTCCCAATACTTTTGACCATATAGTATATACTCTAGTAACAAGGCTAGACAAGAGATAGGTGTGGGCCAGTTACTAATTACACATGAGGGACTCGGAGCTAAACAGGTGAAGGATATTATCAAACACTAGGAGAGACTGGGAACAAAGATCACAAGTCATTACTACAAAACTAAAGACAGATAGGGGTGAATAGAAATGAGGATACAAAAACAAGGACCTATACTAAAATTACAAGAACATTAACAAGGGGTAAACAAAACTAATTAACAGCTCGACCTGCCTTGATTGTACACCATATCTTTTTAGAAATAAAAATTGAATACAGAATTACAGCCAATATATTGCCTCACACCTCTGGGGCGGACTGGGTTCAAGTCTCCTCTCTGGCTCCTTGTGTGTGGTGTTTAAGGCTACAGCACCGAGGAAGGAACGGGATGACCAGTGACACCTGTTGGCCAAAATGGAAAACGACAGAATGGGACCATGCATGGGCTGATCCTGACAGTGGTTAGAAGATGAATGGATGGAATTTGTATTTTTTTTACATGTCTTGAATGTGTACTTCACTTTTTAAAAATTAATCCACCCCTCCTGGTTCAATCGGCGTAACAAATTTTAGTCTTAGGATCTTAGACTTAAATTTTACATTGAATTTGCTAAATATGTCTCATCAAATAAACGCAGATGCTGGTTGCTCACTGTATTCCCTGGCTTAGTCAGCTGAAAGGCACATTAGTTACCATTATACCGATTCTTTAATTCAGCCCCATGCTATGGAAGAAGGATAAGTGATGAGGTAGTATTAGCCTTCCCAGAAATGTCAATATCGGGTAATTCAATTTTGCAGCATTTTCTAAATAGGACACCAGTTTTTGTTGCTGATCTATAATTTCTGATAGCGTATGCACTTTGTCATTTTCTGTGCTGCTTTCGACTGGGAATGAAAGTCTAATTCATTTAGTTTTCCTTTTTCTGGGTATTCCTTGCTTTTCACACTGAGAAGGTATGCATCAGGTTTCCTGTTCGCGCTTATTAAACACAAGTGAAAATGCACCAAGCCATTTGTGATGTAATCTTCTTCAGATGTCCATCATAAAATAGTGATCACCGTTATGCTGTGCCTGTGTAGGCCTTCGTGAAACCATCCAGTTTCTACACCTGCTTGTGCTATTTAGGGTCACAGAGGTCTGGAGCCTGTACCAGAAACTACGAGTAAAAGACAGGGAATATCCCCAGATGGGGTTGCAACCCATGGCAGGGCGGGTATGCACACACACACACACACACACACACACCATTCGCGCACATAGTCACTCCTATGGACAATTTGGTAACTCCAGTTCACCTGTGGGGTAAAAACAGAGAACCCAGTCAAAACCCCAAGATAACATGGGGAGCACATGCAAACTCCACACACAGGGAGCCAGGGGGGACTCAAACCCAGTGAGTCCCAGAGGTGTGAGGCAACAGTGCCAACCACTGCCCCCCTCCCCACATGCAATATATTGAGTGTGATTCTGTATTCAGTTTTTATCCCTAAAAAGAGAGGGAATCATGGTGTATTTACTTTACTAAAAAGAGAGGGAATCATGGTGTATTTACTTTACTAAAAAGAGAGGGAAACATGGTGTATTTACTTTACTAAAAAGAGAGGGAAACATGGTGTATTTACTTTACTTTTACTACATGCACCCACATCAAAATGAAAAATCTCTAGATTATAGATATGATTGCTAAACGTATCTGAATGTATCAGTTATACCTGTAATCTAGAGATTTGTAATTTTGATGGGGGTTTAAATGCCTCCAGAGGACACGGGTAACCAGCAGTAAAGCTGGGAATTATGGGAATTAATGCACTCCGTAGAGAAATAAAATTATGTCCATTTTCTGATGATCTTTCTAAAAAACATTAATTGGTTTTCCATTATTTCTTATGGGAAAAATTCGATCAGAACTAGAACTTTTTAGGATTCGATCCGAAGTCCGGAACGGATCAAGTTCGAGAACCGAGGTACCACTGTATTAGTTTAAATACTAGAACTCGTGGCCGTATGTGGAAATGTTAAGCTTAATTTAAGAAAACACTTCTTTACACAGCGTACGTGTAGTTAGAATATGGAATAGTCTTCCTACTAGTATAGTGCAAGCTAAAACCCTGGGTTCCTTTAAATCAGAGCTAGATAAGATTTTAACAACTCTGAGTTATTAGTTAAGTTTTCCCCAAACGAGCCTGATGGGCCGAATGGCCTCCTCTCGTTTGTAAATTTCTTCTGTTCTTATGAAATATATACCCCCGTTTTGTTATATTGTTAACATATAACGAATTTCTTGAAAATTTTCAAATACGCTTTAAGCCTAAGGAATATGCTGTGGTGTTTGATGCAGTTACACAGAATTTACCCAGTGAAACAGGTTTTAAAAAGGTTTAAGTTAGATATATTGTAAACACATGTGATTGTTGTGGGATATTACGCTTGTTTTTTTTTGTGTATTTATTCACGATTGTTTTGGACAGACATGAAAAACTTTATTAAAGACAAGTTGAGTAACTTTGTAATAATAATGGGCTTATTTGATTTCATTTTTTATTTTAGATGGACTGACAGAGCAAAACAAATATGTTATTCAATTACTATTTGTACTAGGGCTGATTCATTTCCATAAATCAAAATGGATTAATACTAAACATAACTTTTATGTTTTTTGTTCAAACAATATATACATGTAATTTAAATGTCCAAAAACAAGAAAGCACAGAAGACATATAGGATTATTAGAGACTTTCAAATGATATATTTTTTCTTGTTTTTCTTTGAAGCATCTGTGCATGTACCCCTGGCAAGGTCCTATATTTTGTATGTGTAGCAGATGTGAAATGGCGGAGACAGCAACAAGGCATGGAGGGATCAATTCTTCGTTTTATTTTATTCTACCTGCACCACGAAAGCAGAATGGGGATTGTACACACACGTAGTCAACTGCAGTTTCTCCCGCTCCCACAACAGCACCCACTGTGCCTCTGAGGAGCCGCAGAAGCGCAACAAGGTGCGTGCGTAAGGTGTAACTGTAAGCTAAGCCCCACCTGCAACCCGGAGCTATTGAACCCTCCACATAATAATTTAACTCACTCATTTATATAACCAATTACCATTCAAAGTTGAGTGAAGTTGACTCATAAAATATATATAAAAAAACATATAAAAGAAATAAAATATTTCCACTGCTACATATGCAATATATGGATTATGTTCCTTGTAACTCATTTATCTTTGTCAGTAAAAGTGATTTTGGAGGGAAAAACTGTTCGACTCTGGGGGAAAAACCCTGCAAGTAGTGACAGTGCCGCCACCTATAGGCGCTTTGCCGTTTGTCTATTCGGTAGACGCCCTTTTTCAGCACTACGCTACCGAGCCAGAAAAGCTCGTCGTGTAGATAAAACACAACAGACACATCCACATAATGCTGTTCGCCAAAATGACTATGTTAAATGAAGCGATCACATCTACGATTTATTAGGAAAATCTTTGAAACATATATGCAGATTGGTAAAGCCATTTAAAACCGCTCGACTACTGAAATTAGACATAGCGGGAAAGTGCAAATTGCACGATTTGGATGAATGTCGTATATGGTATATAGCTACTAAAAGAGAAATTTAAACCTTTCTTTACGACTGCGCACGTTGCCTGTAAACTACATTTCCCATGATGCCTCGCAGCGATGACGAGTGACTAGTAGTCATGCGGATGGAAAAGACAGTGGTGTAGTCGCAGGCAGAAGAAGAAAAGTTTACGGAAAATGCATGGAGGGAATGGGAGAGAAGAGAACAGTCAGCGGAATTGCCGGATTCCGGCCAGCAAATCTGTCGAGGTGGTTGACTTTGAGGGCACAAAAGAACAGGGCTCGAAATTGTGCGGCTATCTAAATAAACTTACGGGCAAAGGACCACTGAGGGGATTCAAGCCGCTGTGGTTCGTCTACGACCCCAGAAAATGCTACTTGTATTATTTCAAGTCCCCCCAGGACGCCCTGCCCATGGGGCACATAGACATCGGCGACGCCTGCATGAGGTATGATGTTGAAGGCGAAGAGGGGCAGTTTGAGATCCTGACGGCTGGAAAGCAGATCCTGCTCAAGGTAAGAGGGGCATGAAGATGATGATGATGATGATGATGATGATGCATGGCTCGGGAGCCGGTCACTAAGTCACCGGACAGAGTCTGATAGAGACCCAGCATATTTCTGTTTTATGCATTTCTAGCAGCAGATTTGGCTTTATTTTACTACCAGAAAAGCGTAAGGGGACATTAAGCTGTTTGGTAATATGTTGGGGACGAGGAATTGGAAGATATTTAATGACACTAAGTTAAAAGGCGTGTATCATTAGTAATATGAAAGGTACTGAAATGCAGTGCAATACAGTTTTTGACTGGTGGTGTATTGATGTGGTGCCATCTTGCAGGGTTTTGGGAAGTACCTCCTGTTAAACTCCTGGGAATTTGTCCTCTTTTTGTTTTCATTTTCTCATTGACTGTGCACTGCCCTCACAGCAGAAAGCTGCTGTACTTCTCTTTACTTCTTTATAGTATGCCAACGGCATCTTCCTTCCTCTATCAAAACCCTACATTTCCTAAAATACTTTTTGTCTGTTTTTAAATATATTTGCCACTGTCAGTCGTGTGCTGGTAATTCGCTAAGACTCGCAGACAGGGATTGCAGATGGCATGCTTGGCTTTTTATTCGCAAATGCACGATGTAACGTCTGCTGTGGTTTGAAGGCCAGGCCGGGGCTGCGCTTCCTTCCCCCGCATGACAGTTATTTAAGGTTTAGATGTTTTCCTCTCCCAGATGGGAATGTATAAGGGTCCCAAGGGAAACAATGGCAGGCTGTCTGACTGGACTCTGATGATAGACAGTGTTACTTTTCCTGTGCATTTAATGCCCGCAGAGAGGCTATTAATGCAAGAAGTCCATCTGTCATAAGTCTCCCATTGACAGCCGCCTATAATGACACAAGGTGTATTTAACAAGTATCTGTGCCTCATTCATCTATGTAGGATAAATATTAATGATTAGCGAGGATGTGGCGTGACAGAAGCAGGACTTTTAAAAATCACCTGTGTGACTTGGTGCATCTTGGACTGAAAATAGGAGGTAAACACAACATCTGGGTGATGTGATTAAAATCTGTGTAGAGGACTTTACTTTCATTTATGTGGATTGTTAGTCATGAATGTTTGAAGGACATGGGTACTCTATTTGCTGTGTATGGTTAAAGTACACAGAGAGGGTCAGGGTTTATAAAGAGCACTGCCGCTTTCCTCTGGCTCTGGACTGTGAAATTCCAGTTGCTTTGAGCTTTGTACTCATGTGCTGTTTACACTGTTGCCACTTCGCTGCTGAAACTTCACGCCGTGTGAGTTTAGTAAGGAGTGTCAAGCTGTGAGTGAGTCATGGGTGGGCGGGGCTGTGTGTCCAGGGGGGGGGCGGGGCCGTGAGTCCTGGGTGGGCGGGGCCGGGATCAAGTGACCAGGCCATTCCCTCACTTCTCCTGAACCTCGTTCCACCCATGCTGGATGCAGCCATGGTTTCCGCAGCTCCCGCGACTGTACCCTGGCCCCAATCCCCGATGATATATTAGGGGCTGTGTTGCCTGTCACTTACTCATCTACCCCACCCCCCACAGGCACCCAGCCAGCAGGTCATGCACTACTGGCTGCACCAGTTGCAGCAGAAGCGCTGGGAGTTCAGCACCGCGCGCGGGTTGGGGACCCGAGACAGCTGGAACTTGCCCACCATGCCCCAGATACACAGTGGCTTGGTGGCCAGCAACACAGGTACGTGTGTGACTGTGTATCTGAGAGAGACTGTGTGTGTGACTGTGAGTCTGAGTGACTGTGTCTGTGTATGACTGTGCGTGTGTGTCTATGTGATGTGTGAGCGACTGTGAGGGTGTAACTGTGTGTGTGTCTATGTGTCTGTATGGGTGTGTCTGTGTGAATGCATGGGTGTTTGTCTCTGAGTATGCATGGGTGAATGTGTCTGTCTGTGTGTGTGTGTGTGTGTGTGTGTGTGCTGTCTGTGTGCAGGCCTGTGAGCATCCTGTGTTAATACCAGCTGGGCCTGAGAGATAGTTTATCTGCTGCTGACACATCATGTGATCTGGTGTCTTCTGGCAGCTTCTGTCAGAGTTCTGCCGTTGCTTTCTAGTCAGAAAATGCTGCATGTTTCCCTTGGCTTTCGGCAGATGTTAGTCTTTTTCTGGGTTCACCCAGGCTGGAAGCATTGCTTGAATCCAGATGTTTTCTCTGTTCCCACGTGGTACTTCTAGCCTAAGCATAAGACTGTCAGCCATGGGGGGGGGGGGGGGGGGGGGGGGGGGGGGGGGGGGGGGGGGGGGGTGTGTGGCATCTCTCCTGGGCCCTTTAGCGAGGCCCTTGCCTCCCCAAAATGGTCCAAGGGCCCTGGATAAATAACTGGCTCTGTGCTCAGACACAAAGCCTCGCTCTCACCTGTATATGTGTGTCTCAAAGGAGAGCATGATGGGATATGCGAATCGAAGCATTCCAGTGTACCTGTGCAGATGGCAAAATAAAGCATAATAATAATTTAATTTCATGAGCGTTAAATAGAAGGCAGGCACCCATGACTCCTCCTCAAATCTCCTCCTCCTGCCAGCATCCCATGTGGTCCCCGAGGCCTGCAGGGTGTCCTCTTCATCCCCCCCCCCCCCCCCCATCCACGCTGTGGCAGCACTTATGACTTTGCTCTCTCCCTGGGCTGCAGATGGCTTTCCTCTAGAGGCGCCGAGCGAAAGTATGGAGAGGGTACGCAGTGATTTTTCCATGGATGCCAACGTGGACGACCTGCCAGGGGGGTCCACCACTCGCAGTGCCAGCACCCACTTCTCCTTCAGGCAGCTGGGCTTCGAGCTCAGGTGAGAGCACAGGGGATTATGGGAGAGGAACGTTCTTGCAGTGCTCTGCTTTGGTGTCTAGCAGCCAAACCCATCTTCTGCCCATGAGTCCTGCATATTTCCAGGACATGGGGAACCTGTTTACCCCGTTCCGCCCTCCCCGAATTGCAGTTAGGTTGTGCGAGGCGGGAGCAGACAGTACATGAATGAGACTCGCCAAACAGTTCCCCTTGGCAGAGAGATGGGAGAGGATTTTATCGTGCTGCATTTTGGCTCTCAGATTCTGCACATCTGGAAGGATTTAATCTGTGTGCTGGAATGACAGCATGACATAATGCTGCTTAAAATTGAATCTTTAATGGTAAGGGGGGGGGGCGGGCAGGGGGTGTCCCCATTAGTATTTAAAATATCATTTGAGTGAGAAATGAAATGAGGTTAAATGCCCCCACCCCCGCCCCGTAGTTTCATTGTGCACGCCATGTCTCTGTCAACACTGTCTTTGTATGTTCTGAAATTTTTAGTATAGACTGAGGTGTTAAACAGTTGTTTTTGCGTGTGTGTAACCACGTTCACTGCAGAAGAACAGATGCCTTCACCAGTTTGGCGTAAGTGTCATGGAATGCACTGGACCAGCAGCCAGTTTGAAGGTGCTGTCAGGTTTGCTGTGATGTAATCATGTGCTCCCAGAATGTTCCTAAGCTCTCTTTGCGTGGTACCAGGAACTCGATGTCCCAGCTGCGGCAGGGCTGGGGGGGCGAAGGTAGGCGCAGTGTCTTTTACACCGCGGAAGAGTGGGAGATGGTCGACCCCCCTGGCAAGGACTCGCAGGAGCCGACGCAAATACAGGAGCTCCCGAAGAAGCCCCCCCCAGACTCCCACAGATGTGAGAGCTTTGCCGCCACACAGACACCTGGGGGAGGGGCTCTCGTGATGAGCGGATCTGCTGACGAGTGTTCTTTCATCTCCGGATATCAGTAACCCGGCATCAAAAGCTCAGTTCACGCAAAGATAAAACCACAACTTTAAAGACTTGTATGAAGTGGTATTGTTTAGTCTACGATGCTAACAGATGCTAACATATTTATAGTTTAGTCTGCGATGGTAGTTGTTTGATGTGCACAGAAACATCCGGAAGGGGCTCTTCCTGCTAGCTTCTGGCAGGTATTTTAAAGGCTTTTCCTAGACACCCTCAGCTTCCAAGCTAACCTCTACTCGCTTCTATCTAGACTCTACGGGCTCCGTGTTCACGTTCGACTTTGGGAAGTCTGCATCACGCCCCCGGCGGCCCTTCCTGCGAGACATGATGAAGGCCAGCCGGAGTGCAGAGAGCAGCCAGACCGACTGCAACGGCAGCAAGGCCTCCGAGATGCAGCATCGCCTACAGAGTCTGCAGGAGGAACTGGCTCAGCTCAGGGAGGAGCTGGCCAGCCAGAAGGTACCGCGCCGCCCATTTCAGTAACAGCCCGTCCATACAAATAATAATAATATATACTTTTTTTTTTAATTGATCCCCGTGGGAAAATTCTTTTCATGCCTTCCCCAACTTGCTCTCTGTAGATAAGAGCAAGATGGACGCACAGGGCAGCTGTCCGTAGCAGCACCCAGGGAGCTGGGGGTTAAGGGCCTTGCTCAAGGACCCACAGATGTGCCGAGGCAGGACTCGAACCGGTGACCTTCCGATCACAGGCACAGAGGCCTAGCCCACTGAGCCACAGTAACAGGCCACCCATCGCAGTACCGCGGCGGCCCTTTCAGTACGACACCGGGAGCCAAATGTGCTAAATAACTTCTGTGGCCTGCAGCTGTCCACTGGGCTTGGGGTTGGTGGGGGAAACGGCAAGTTTCTGCCTGGCTCTTCAGTCGCACTCATTTCAAGATGATTTTTTTTTTCCTCTTTTGTACATCAAACAAACATGACATCTGGCACATGACTCGGGGTGGGTGCTTAGCCCCCCCCCCGATGACCCCCCCTGGTTTTATCACACCCTCACACCTTCCGGCGAGCTCGTCTGCTGTTACCCCTTTCCGCCAGATCTCTCGACACGATCTCCGCGCAGGCAGAGTTAGCAGGGTAAGCATCGCGACCCGACTGGCCTGGTGCCTGTACCCTTTCTCCCCCCCCCGACTGCTATCAGGCAGGGTCTCTGCACTCCCTGGTACGTCGCTTAGTGAGAGGAAGCTTTTTGTTTCGGAGTTCCTCCTTCCCTGTGCAGGTTTCCCCTTGTGACTGTCTGCTTTCGAAAAGTTCCCTTGTGGTCTGCCCAGCTGTGTCACATAATCACACGCTACCTGTGTTCCTCTGGAAATCAGGGACTGATATTCGCTATCAAATGTGAAATATACCTGAAAGCGTACCATAAACCTTACAGAATTTGCAAATGGATGCCTGTCTGTGTGTTGTGTATATGTATGTATCCATACATAAATATAAGGTATCTATAATAATTTCTGGTGCTATCTTGCTACTTTGGTGTTTTACAGAGTGCAAACTCAAGGTAGGGGGGGATCTTTGGCTTTCAGTTTGGCTGCGGTCCCTTTGGTTGTTGATGCTGCTTTATAAAAAGAGTTAAGGACGGTTCTGAGTTACGTGTTCAGTCTACTTTATTAAAAGCATTAGGTCCCGTGTTGCTTTGTGTTCGGTCTGCTTCTAATAAAAGCATTAGGTCCCGTGCTGCATTGTATTCAGTTTGCCTTAATAAAAGCGCTAGGTTCTGTGCTGCATTGTGTTCATTCTGTTTTATTGAAAGTGTTAGGTTCTGTGCTTCATTGTGTTCAGTCTGCTATATTATATGTGCTAGGTCCCGTGCTACATAGGTCCCGTGCTACTTCTACAGTCTGCTTTAGTAGAAGTACTAGGTCCCATGCTACGTTGTGTTCAGTCTGCTTTGATAAAAGCGTTGGGTCCTGTGCTGCATTCAGTCTTCACACATGGCTGCTTCGGTGCTCTGTATCCCCCTGAGCACGTGACTGCTGTTATTCCCCGCTGCTGGTCCTGTGCCGTTATGCAGGAGAGCAATCACCTGTGACTGGCTGTGATGTGCCGCTCTGGCATCCAGCTGAGGAGAGTGTGGTGTCTGATCAGATACAGATCTGAACTGCTTGATTTATTTTGCTGTTGGACCTTTTAAGAAATAAATAAGACATTCTGGCTCAACTGAAGAAGTGGTCCATGCTCGACCAGAATTATTATTATGATTATTAATAATCATAATAATAATAACAAGTAATATTTTTGTATTAATCCCCATGGGGAAATTCTCTTTTCACCTCCCCCATCTTGCTCTCCATAAGCTCATGAAGAGCAGCCACCCTCTGCAGCACCCAGGGAACTGCAGTTCATGGCCCTTGCTCAAGGACCCACAGATGTGCTGAGGCCGGGCTTGAACCAGCAACCTTCTGATCACAGACACAGAGGCTTGAACCATTTTGTTTGCCCCTGGGCCAGTATGAAAAATCCAAAATTTCAATGGCCTAGTTCACAGGAGTGACCTCAGCTTGAAATTCGATGAGAGTAGTTCGCAGAAATGCTTGATTGGCCATTTTCAGATGCCTACATCTTTGCAACGGTGACACTTAAGCATCTGAAAAAATGTGGATATACAATTCTTTGGCCTAATTCCAAATATTTATTTATTTAGCTTGTAGCGTGTACCTGTTCATTATTGACCAGTATTCCAAAGGCTGTATCTCTGTCCCTGTTTTAACTATGGTCACCCATCCATTTTGGCATGTATTCATTACTCAGTATCTTATAACTGCACTTGGTATCTTTCTTTTATTTTTATTTAGCTTCACATTGTCAGGTTTTTAGCATTCATGATGAATAATTCACTAAACCAACAAAATACCAATGAAGATGAACCAACAACAACAGTTGTCATTCGAACTACACAGAATGAATGTGACCATGCCCCTGAAATTTTGTAACTCTCATCAGTAGTCAGCTTTGACAGTCTGTACTGACTATTTTATGCTTCTGGTGCTGGGACAGTGCAGAGAACATGATGGAGTAGGACCCAGCACCTCATGGAGGCATGGCCAAGTAAGCATCCCTGAATGGTTCATGAACTTGGCTCAGACATCTTCACTGCCATCAGACAGACCGTTCCATAATGACTCCAGTGCTCCAGTCATAAACTGCAAACTGCCGCTATGTACTGGCCAGGTAGGTAAGTTTAAATTGCAGTTTCAGCTGGCATTTTTGCAATTTCTTGCTCAACATTCTCCACTGTTGTAGGACTTCCTTCTGTATCGGATGACATGCAACAAATTTCAAGAATGGTTTTTCGACTGACAAAATGCAGTGGTGGCTTCTAATGCCTGACACTCTATGCTTTCTCATACCGGGCATCCAGTGCGCAGTCTTCAGTGTTTCTTGACATTCTCATTTGTCACCCAGATGAAGTGAATGCCCTTCAGATTTTCCTGACACAATTTGAATGAATCATGTGGTGTCAAGATTTGGATGTTGACTGATGCTTGAAGACTAGCGTGTGCTACAAGCCTTTTAACTGTGTCCCCAGTGCGATCACACGGACTCTTCCCATGCGGAGTCGCGAGGAAATGCCATTTGGCGTCCAGTTCGGAATCGGCTTTGTGGTTTAGCAGATTGATCATGTTCCTGTAGTTTTTGCACTGCCCAGCACAGCCATCTGAAAAGTAGATCACCTTGCTCACCGATGAAAGTTCGGTATGAACGTGCTTAAGAAGCTGGTCCTGAAAAGCATGAACAGCAGATGTGTTGTGATTCACACACTTGATTCAGATAAGTAGTTTGACTTACTAACAAAATGGTGAGTGCCAAGGCCATCAGACTGACTGCAAAACATTCCAGTGAACCGTGAGACTGGCTGTTGTAGGGCTGTGTGTTGCCATTGCTTGAACACAAACACATCGTCATCTTCCACTCTGTTGGCTTCCAATCGTTCAAAAAGATATTTTGAAACCGCTTCTGTTCCTGGACATGTGCTGCAGCGATGTCTGGAATTAACGTCACAAACAAGTTTACTTAAGTCCTTATAGTCATCTTTTGTGGGCACAGCAGCTAACACCAGTTTAACATTCTGATGTGACTCAGACACATATTGAATGCAGCCACTGTCACACACCATGCTGGTCGTAAAAAAGCAAAGTTGAAAATCCCAGCTTCACGGTTGAGTTACGCTTCACAGAACCCGAGTACAATTCTGTCAAATTGCACATCAGCAATTGCTTCTGACACTGTACCATGGTGTTGGTGCCTTCAACTCGAACTAAAAAGCCTTTTTGCCTGGGCAACACCTTGAACATTCATCGTAGTTGTAAAATTTAACTGCCATAGATGGAGGCTTCCCCATTTTTCTTCAGGCTTGGCCAATCTTCTCTCTTGAGCTCCCATGCTTGTCTCACCATATGCAGCGTGCTGTTGAAGTCTTGTGCTGTCTTCTGCAGTGACCATTTTTCAGGCAGAAGTGTTCAAATTTGTGTTTTCTCTTTCTTGCAGTATCATATTATTTTTGTTTCAGTTCTTCTTTAAGTATGTGAAAATTAGAGCAGTTCTTGCATTCAACTTTGCAGCTGCCAGCTTGAAATTCAGCGGCATCGAGCTTTGCTATCTTGGCAGCTTTCTCTGTATTCACTGCCGCTTTGTGTCGGTCGGTTTATCTTACTTGTGAAAGTTTTAAAGACGCCTGTCCAACAGCTGGCATAATGGTACTGAGTTCTGGAACAGCAACCACGACCTGACATTGTCTCTTCTGTGGAAGCCTTCAAAGGCATTTGGGTGCATCTTTCTGAATCTTCTGCCGAACTCTTGTGTTCTTTCGCAACTTGACACTCTTGACACAATTTCTGACTGGCTTTTATGCCATGTCCAATCTGTCTTGCAGTTTCGATTAACACTGCACAAAAGCCATTTTCACTTGTTTATTGTGCCGCAGGAGAGGGTTACAGCATTTCTGTTGTGACATTTTATATTTTGTGATGTAATGGCGATGGAGTCAAACTGTACTGTTTTCAAACAGCTGTACATTAATGTCACTTCGCCATAGGATCAGTTCATGCTCTTGAGCTGGTCTCATGCAGTGTTGTTGTGTTTGTATGGTTCAGTATTTCAGTATATAATGTCTGTAAAACACTTTGTAAACCCTGTGATTTAAGCAGTGCTGTATAAGTAAAGATTGACTGATTGATTGATTGACGACTAGCTGCAATTTATGCGGAAAGCTTGTATAAGATCCACAGCTGTAAACAGGTGAACGAACAGAAATATGTTTGTGATGCTTAGGCTCAGCTGATAGCTGTTAGGGGTGGCTAACTAGTAGCAACAATGTTCTAGTAACTGCTCCGTCTCCTCCTCTGAGTCTGGCACGGGTTCATCTGCACGGCATTATGAGCTTCTGAGAGTTTCTGCTGTTCCTCAATGTTCTTTGAAGTCTCCTGGAGCTGGAATGGTTTTGGAATGGTCCTTTCATATCCATCCAAGAGGCTGGTTTGACTTGCAGGCAGCCCTCTGTGTGATAGTGCCACCTACGGGACGTTTAGTGAGGGTACAGGCATTTTAAGAGTGCGATTAGGACACCGCTCTATTCAGGCCGGCTTCTGCTGTGGGGCTGCCGTTTTCTTCTTTTATGTGTCCTTGACCTGGGCCTTTTGTTTGCCAGTAGGTGGCAGCAGAGCCGGTCAGCCCGCCGTGGCAGGCAGCTGCTAAGGACACCATCCTCTGAGAGGGCGCCGACTTGGCAAACTGCTAGCACCTCCCCTGCACACGAGGAGGACAAAGGCTTCCACACCACTGCGTGGCACTGGCTAAAGATGCTGCAGGATATTTAGCCTCCTTCTGCTCACTGCATCGGTATCCCCCGTCTCCTAGGAGCTGGTCCGGCTGCTGCAGCAGACCCTGAAGAGCGCGCAGTGCGAGAGGCCAGCCGTCGCGGTGGCCGGGGGCCCCGGGGGGCCACAGGACCAAGCCGCACTCCTGCAAGAGAAGGGCACCCAGATCAAGGGCCTCTGTAGCCACATGGAGAAGCTGGCGCTGGAGAAGGAGAGCCTGCAGCAGGAGCTGAAGAGCCTGAAGAACAAGGTGGGCGAGATGAACGAGCAGCTGGGGATGCTGATGGAGACCATCCAGGCCAAGGACGAGGTCATCATCAGGCTGTCCCAGCAGGGCTGTGACACCGCTGGAGGGGCTTGTGGCTCTCCAGACTGTGGCTCGCCCACCTCCACCTCCAAGGAGCTGCAGGAACTGGACAACCTGAAGGTAGGAGCCTCGGCCTCCTCAGTGAACCCCAGGCGTGCTGCCGCGGTGCCGACTGGCTCTCATGCTGCCGGAAATTGAATACACACTCAGAAGGCTTTTCAACGTGTGTGTTTATGGAAGTAATAGCGTTCATTCGGAGCATAAAAGCCGCTGTGTGTTCCTGCTTCTTTGGGGAGCTGTGCCAGATGCCCGGCGAATGAGGAGAGGCACACAGACTCGCACTCTCTCTCCTGAGTGGAGCATTGCACTGTTTAGCCCAGTCAGTACGTCAGACTGATTGGATGGTTTGCTTTCAAATTTAATTTAATTGTTGATTCGTTAAGTTGGAAGTTAGAAAAAAATTAATAAAAAAGAGTAAACTTTGTACATAAACCCTACGGATAAATGATTTCTTATCTGTACGAACCCTTAAATGCGTCCATGTGCGGGGCGATGAATTCTGTAAGAGTGCTCTGCCGATTGTGTTCCTGCATTAAATGCCTGAATCTGCTTTATTGCTGATCCTAGGATGGCCTACAGGCCTACAAAACCCAGAACAAGTTTCTGAACAAGGAGATCCTGGAGCTGACAGTCCTGCGTAGGAATGCAGAGGGCAGAGAGAAGGCTCTAGAAGCAAAGGTGACTGTGAGATGTTTGCCGGACTGGGGACATGAGCCCTCAGCAGCTTGGTTTAAGGCTCCTCAGGCACAATTCACCTACTTGTCATTTTATCTAACCATAAACTAACACTGCGACTCAGGAAGAGTGAGTTGATGCTGGTGGTGGTACCACGTGGGCAGGATCCATCTCAGCCCGCTCAGTCTAAACAACATCTGGCCCATTTCTTCTGACAGTACACAGCCCTGGAGGCCAAGCTATGCCAGGTGGAGAGCAAGTACCTGATCCTCCTGCAGGAGGTGAAGAGCCCGATGTGTTCATCCTCCGAGGAGAACCCAGCGCAGGAAGTCATCTCCAGGCTGCTGGAGGACGCTCTGCAGGTTGAGAGCTCCGATCAGCAAGAGCACCCAATCTTCAAGCCGCACCCCGTCAGGTACTGCCGGGCCGGCCGCTCCAGCCCACGTCCGACCTGCTGCCATGGCAACTCCATAAACCCTCATCCAGAGGATCGGTCGTCATTATAGTTGTGTCTTCTGCATGGTGTAACTCCTAGTTCCTCTTGTCCCACAGCGAGTACGACGTGTATGGGTTCAAGACGGTGCCTGATGACGACGAGGAGGAGATGCTGGTGGCCAGGGTCAGGGCACTTAACCTGAAGAAGCTGTCGCTGGGAGAACAGGAGATGTCTGTGAGCGTGAAGTGGGATAACTACTTAGCGGGGATGATGAACAGGGAGATGACGCGCTCGCCGGAGCTCAAAGCCCTGGTGCGCAGCGGGGTCCCCCACGAGCACCGATCTAAGGTGTGGCGCTGCTGCGTCGGCTTCCACGTGAAGAAGCTGCGGGAGGTGCTGCCGCAGAACTACTTCGAGAGCCAGCTGCGCGCCGCCCTGGAGAAGTCGAACCCGGCCTCCAAGCAGATCGAGCTGGACCTCCTGCGGACCCTGCCCAACAATAAGCACTACGCCTCGCCCACCGCGGAGGGCATCCAGAAGCTCAGGAACGTGCTGCTGGCCTATTCCTGGAGGAACCCTGACATTGGCTACTGCCAGGGTCTCAACAGGTGGGGTGAGCTGGGCAGGCGGGGCCTGGGGGGGAACAAAGTGGCCCCTTGGCCTAATAGGGCTGCCTACTGACTGTCTTTCAGATTGGCTGCCATCGCGCTCCTGTACCTGGACCAGGAAGATGCGTTCTGGTGCCTTGTCACAATTGTAGAGGTGTTTATGCCACGGGACTATTACACAAAGACGCTGCTTGGGTCCCAGGTAACAAGGCATCTCTTTCCTTTGGAGTCTCGCTAAAAGAGACCGCAGCTCAGTCTAAGTTTATGTTTTATGATTTTTTTTTTCTAAAAGAGCACCAAACCGTTGGGTTTATTTATTTCTGCTCCTGTTCCTCCAGGTGGACCAGCGGGTCTTTAAGGACCTGCTGAGCGAGAAGCTGCCCCGCCTTCACGCTCACTTTGAGGCATATAAGGTGGATTTCTCCCTCATCACCTTCAACTGGTTTCTCGTGGTGTTCGTGGACAGCGTCGTCAGCGACATCCTCTTCAAGATCTGGGATGCGTTTTTGTACGAGGGGCCAAAGGTAAGAGGATACTGTCTCGAGACGGCAAGGTACTACACTGTCTGCAGGAGGTGCTTCTACTGCTGGGGCTGCACTAACTGCAGGGGGCGCTCTGACTGCTCTCTTCTCTCCCGGCAGATCATATTCCGCTTTGCTCTCGCCCTCTTCAAATACAAAGAGGATGAGTTCCTCAAGCTGCAGGACTCCATGGCCATTTTCAAGTACCTGCGCTACTTCACACGCACCATCCTGGATGCGAGGTACGGGATCCCCCATACACACGTGCTGTGTCTTTTGTCTTATCCTGTCACTGCACCAGACTGGGAGCTTTTGAAGGACTGTTTTATGACAGTAGCTCTGAGGCTAGGGATCTGTGCCAGTAATCGGAAGGTTGCTGGCTCGAATCCCGTGAATGCCAGGAGTGATTCCCTTGAGCAAGGCCCTTAACCTGCAATCCTGGGTATGACGTTAACCTACATCCATCCCCTGCAAGCAGGCCCTCCAACTTTCAGGGAAAATGTAGGGGTTGGTGGCAGGATTGGGACTCCAACCACCGGAAAAAACCTGACACTGTTCCACTTCATTCGAACTAGTGTGGTGCTGAGGTATCACCTGCTACACAGCAGCACTTAGGTTCTCATCCCTGAGGTGGTTCGTCGTGTGGTGGGTGCGGCAACACACTGTATTAGAATGCGCTCCTTACCTCTCTCTCTATTTAAACTCTTGCTAATTCCACCCTCTACACTCTTTCTGAGATCTTAAATGAACGGTTGTGGCTGTGGGGCGCTCTCGGCTTCTGCGATTGGCCAATGTCGGTTTCTGTGATGCTCCGTGTCCCCGCAGGAAGCTCATGAACATGGCCTTCGTAGACATGAACCCCTTCCCGCTGCGGCAGATCCAGAACCGGCGCACCTTCCACCTGGAGAAGGTGCGTCTGGAGCTCACGGAGCTGGAGGCGATCAGGCAGACCTTCCTGCGGGAGCGGGAGACCACAACCGACGGGAGGACTCTGATCAGCGACGACGAAGAAGACAATTAACAATCAGCCAGCGAGAACCAGCCTGTGTAGCCCAACATTCAATTAAGATGTATTATTTTCTTAATTGCAATCAGAACCTGCATTCCGCATTCAGATGCTGGACCCGTTTGCAACCCGACTGCGTCTGAGCAGAACTGACGAGCCTTTTTGGTGACCATCTTAGATGAAGACCTAACAGAGCTGTATGGTTGTTGCACTGATGGGACCCTGCAGTGAGCAGATTGTCTTTGTAGGTCAGAAAGGGCACAGTATTGATAAGGAAATAGATTCTCTTAAAGTTGATCATAAATAATGCATTTAAATCAAGTTAATTCTGTGGTTATGGTGATATCCGGCATTTCAACTATTCAAATATCCGGCATTTCAACTATTCAAATATCCGGCATTTCAACTATTCAAATATCCGGCTTATGTGAAGGCCAGATAACCTACACAGAAGCCTTGAATCTTCACAGTTCAGGGCTCCGTGTTCGGGTTCTGTTCGTGCCACATTCGGTTATGGGGATGAAAAATGAGTTCGACAGCTCGCATGCACACAGGGCTTGCAGCCGGTTATGCTCCTTATGCTAAGCGGGTCCTTCTCAGGAGTATGTTTGTTTACAGTCCCATTTTGTCTTGTATTTCATTTTATGATCTATTGATGTTTTTAGGTATTTTAGACACCTTTTTTACTTTGTTTCCAAGCTATGTCAGTGTACATTTCTCTGTCATGTGGCCCCAGTCTGGCAGACATTCCTCACTCATATTCCCAGTGCCATCCGCATGGTCCCAGTCTGGCAGACATTCCTCACTCATATTCCCAGTGCCATCCGCATGGTCCCAGTCTGGCACACATTCCTCACTCATATTCCCAGTGCCATCCGCATGGTCCCAGTCTGGCACACATTCCTCACTCATATTCCCAGTGCCATCCGCATGGTCCCAGTCTGGCAGACATTCCTCACTCATATTCCCAGTGCCATCCGCATGGTCCCAGTCTGGCAGACATTCCTCACTCATATTCCCAGTGCCATCCGCATGGTCCCAGTCTGGCACACATTCCTCTCCCTCAGCCCCCAACCTCCAAAGGATTCGTGTACATAGCAGGGTGTCACTCATCAATTTTATTTATTGTTCCATGGTCACTGACTTTCATCAGGCATTGGTGGATCTGTGTCTGTAATTTTCTTTGACTCTTGACACTCATTGTGTCTGCAGTATCACTTCCCTCACATGAAATCTCTCTCAGTATGACAGGATTTACTTGGATCACACTTGATCTTTTCTGTAATGAAGTACATCCTCTCTGCTTATGCATGCCCAGTGAGTGTTACTCAGACTTTTCTGCACTCGTCACTGCGTACCTCATCCTTAGGGTCAGTTCATTTACTGTGTGGTACTTTGTCATATTGATATTTCCCTTGCAATCCTAATATGGACTTAGCAGGCTGACTATTATACGGTCACTTAACACAGATGTAGCTTAATAGCATCATTTTAGAAAATGTCAGTATGTCATCTAATGTATCTCCAAATGTAATTGGGTTTAAAAAACTGTGAAACCATTTTTGAGAGCAGGTCTCTCTAGCTGCCATATCGTAACACTTTATTCTCTTGTTAATGAATATTCCTTTGCTTTTTCAGGTATATTTCTGTCTAGTTTTTTTTTTTAATTTTTTTTTACACAATTTCATTTCAATTGCAAAAACATTTTGCTAATGGTCAACTTATTTTTCTTTTTTAAACAATGGAATCCATGTAGCATGCCACATACAGAATTGGGAAAAATAGGGAGCATTTCCTGTTTAAGGTGGAGCGGTTGGTTTTTACTTTTGTATTGTATGAGTGTAGTGCCTCATTTGTAAAAACTGCCTTTATCAAAGCTTGGCACCTTAGAAAATAGGCACTTTCTTTTGTATCATAAATATGTATTTTCTAAGTACTCTGAATGCAGTGATGTTCAGAATGCGAAAAAGGCAAGTTTACATGCATAAAAGTATTATCACAGTAATAAGCACACCCAAATGCTATTTTTTGTATCAATAGCATTAATACTCAATAAATAATGTACCCACCCTTTGTCTATGGTCTCCTGTATTGTATGCATTTCCATTTATATATGGTGTGACTTTTACATTTATTTTTGTAACAGATGCGGTTTCAGCTGTGTTAATTGCATCTACCTAACATCTTATACATTTTAGGTGTATCAGTCGAGTCACAGGATGCTGAGCCCCGCGGATTTCACGCTACTTCAGGTTAAAGTTGTTGGAAAAACAACACTTATGAGATGTGTCTTTGAGATGTGGGATCTGTGCATCCTGTTTTAACATACTCTTATACCATTAAGTAACTCCACACACTGTCACACTGAAGGGGTAGCCCCCCCCCCCCCCCATTTTGTTGGTCAGTAAAATTTCGCAGTAGTAATTGCATCATTGTCAACTATCTAGGTCACACCACTTATCAATACACGTGTGAGCAGTTTAAAACTTTTAAAAGTTTAGATGCATACAAGTATTTTCTGGCTGGTCATGTACACAGGACTGGTGTATGGGAAATTCATGGAAAAGACTGGTTCCTAATCGTATCAAAGGTGAGAGTTTTTATCCTTGACTTTTTAATGCTGCAGAGCCTAATGTCAGACAATAAGAACATAAGAAATTTACAATCCTGATAAAAAAATTATCAGGATTGAATTCAAGTCCTTATTTGTTTACTCATGTGCTCATTTTTTATTGGAAATCCCTTAAAATTGCGATTACACAGGTGAAGAACATGAAATAAGGTGACAAATTGTCACGCTCTATCTTCGTCTGGACAGCAGATGTCACTGCTGTGCCCTTTCATAGTGTCTACCCCATCTGTTGCTAATCCCTTGTTACGTATTTATTGTTTTCTCTGGGGTTTTTACTCCTCCTCGCCACTGTGGACATGACACAAATTGAACTGCAAACTGAAATCCAATTTTAATTAATCATACAAACGAGGAGAGTGACAAAATATTGAGAGGAATGCTGTGTTGTTAAAAATGAATAGAAATATCCAGGTTTGCCCTCTTTCACGCATCTGGCAAGCCACTGATGCTTTCTGACTCTCACACTCACAAGAAATCTTACAGAAAATCTATATTATTCTACTATAAACATAAAATTTATTTGCTGCATCAAAAGTGTCGGGGTGGTTGACAATCCCTACAGACTATTTAAACTATTACATGCATGTGCGCAGACTTGTCTTGAATTTAAAATCTTACGCCAGAATTTCAGAGAAGAAACGCCTCAAGACCCGTCTGTTCTATGAATTCCTCTACTAGCCTGATACCTCCTTACATTCCTCAAATGTTCCTCTGTTGCACTTCTGCTCCTTGAATAGTCATATTTAGTCGCTTTGTCTGGTAGATGTTGTGTAGCTCCAACTTCAGTTCTGCTTACATTTATACTGGATATTCACTGGAAGCTCAGCCTAGCTGCATTTCTGCCTATATAGTTGATTCCTTGACAGCATGTATGTTTGCAATGTGATATTTGACGTCGTTGCTTTTGGCAAAAATGTCTGCTCAATACATAAGATGTAATGTAAATATGCAAAAATAAGAACATAAATTTATAAACGAGAGGAAGTCATTTGACCCATCAAACTCATTTGAGGAGAATCTTATCTAGCTCCGATTTAAAGGAACCCTAGGTTTTAGCTCGCACTACACTAACAGGAATTACTACATTATTCCACACTCTGACTGTACGCTGTGTAAACAAGTACTTTCTCATGTAACAGTTTATAACTGAAGAAGTTACCAAATATAAATAATTTCACACTAATGCATACGCAAGCAGTATTTTTAGCGTGTATGTTTTCAACTTTCCTGTAGGTGACAGCAGTGCACCGTCACAGTAAAAACTAAACCTGCACAGAGTATTTCTTAGAAAAAAACCTTTGGCTTTATTGGCATCTCGCCCATGGCTGTGCTGACCGGGACAGGCTCCTGCATGGGGCCCGCACAACCCCGACTAGGATAAATGGTTAGGAGAGGGATGATGGATGAATGGATGTAATATGTTTTTGACACTCGCACAGAACCTCTGTGATACATATTTAGAAAGCCCAAAACTAATTTTAAACAAAAAAGGCAAAGTTGTAGTTATTTTATAAGTATATTTTTTTCTTTCGATGAATACAGATAGAAATTTCACATTTCTGTTATTTCTACATTTCAGATTTGATATAAGGATTAAAGATATTTTCCAGTCGTTAGACTTGTTTGAGCAGAGTGGGGGGAAAACAGAAAGTTCGTATTTAAATAAATGTGCATTTATAACCTTTAATTCATAACTTTTAGGTTATGCAGACTACATATTACTATACTCACAATAAGTAATGGATACTTTTGAAGTGTTGATCTCTGACCAGGACATGTTTTATGTCTGATATATGACATAATAATAGTTATGATATAATAGTTTTTGATCTATTGCTATTGTCTGGGTATGACAGGAGAGAGGCGTGCGCGGCGCAGCTTGGCGATGACGGAGCCCGGGGCGGTGGTTAATAAACGCGCTGCCGTCAAGGCGTCGCACCGCCGGGGACGGACAGCGCAAAGCAGCCTGGGAGCGGCCAACAGGTCGCGGAGTGCTGAGACTGCCCGGGACAGCCGCTGTCACTTGGCCGGGCGGCTGCTAGGGAACGGTTGACGGAATTCCTCCGATGCGGTGAGCGTTGTGTGGGGGAGCTGGAGGCTAATTAAATTAACTAATAATGTTATGATAACGCTGCCTTAGGTGCCTCTCTCCGACACTAACGGACTGCCGTGCCTATTCGCGCTTACTAAAAAGACTATCATCTGCTTTGGGTTTATACTTTTCTTAAGCCGTTCATTAGTGGTACACTCTTAAAACAAAAGGTTCCATATTGAACCTTTAAGGGTTCTATAGCTTGGTACATATATGGCACCCTCAAAAGGTTCTATATAGAACCATTAGGCTATAGGAGGGTTCAATTAAAAGAAATAGCACCTTTTTGAAGGCAATGGTTCTATTTCCTAGGGTTAGAACCCCTATAGTTCTATATAGCACCCCAAGAACCCTTTTTTCTAAGAGTGTACCGCCAGTTATTGTCCTAAGTAAATCGTTATGTAGCGGCACTTGACGGATTAACCTAGAGAAGTAACACGAACCATGAAATGTTCCATTGTAAGCATGTAAGATTACATTGTAACCATGTAATATTACATTGTTATGTAAGTATGTTGAGTAACGTAGCTTTTGATTATTATTTTCATTAACGCACAAGTTTAAGCACATGCGGAATAAATTTAGACATGTCTATTTCTTTAGATTATCTATCTGTCTGTCTGTCTGCCTGCCTAGTCTATTTAAACGCTAGCACTGTCCCGCGGTAGAGGCACTTATAGCCAACTCGATCCCTTCTTTCCGGAATGGGGGGCGGCGTGCCGGGGCATGTGCTCCGGCGGGCGGTCTCCGTGTCTCTGTGCGGGGCCGTCACTCGTAGCTTCCCCTGTGCTGACAGGCCTGGGCGGAGGACACAGATGCCTTCCGTAACTATCAGAGCTTCATGAGGAAAGAACATCAATGAGGACAGAAAGCATGGCCGTGTTTAAGCAACAGCAAGTGGAGGACTTCTATAAAATTGGAGAACAGCTGGGAAGGTGAGCCTGTCATGCTGTAACGCTGCTCTTTTCACTGTCCTGCACCATGATCTGCATGAAATGATTAAGTACGGTGTGTACTACTATGTGAGCTTCTCATTTTTGTGGTGTAGAACTCGTTGCTTAACCTGGCATGTTCACTTCCCGTTCATAAACCTAAATTGTCCCCAACAATAGGCGAGAGAATAGTGCAGGTCAACTGAATTTAACATCGAACACCCAGTGTAAGAACGTGCATTTCAGCTGAGTTTCGCAATCTGAATATTACAATATAACGTCCCCTGTGATGTGCACAGTATTATTCACTTTAAGATTCCCAGTGCATGGGGATTATGTTAAATTCAGGTAGTATTTGTCCATGACACAAAACCTCTCCAGATAGTTTTTGCTTATTTTTGTGAATCTTATAAAATAGAGCTTTTATTTTTCTCAAATCTTTAATTGGCCTTTATCTGAAAAACATCTACTTTTTGAGATCTAGATTCAAGTAACCATTTCTGCTTAAAATGGTTTGTAGGAAATAAGGTTTTTACTGTAAAAGTCTGCCAAGGAGGGGCTAAGATGGTGATCTGTGGTTTTACTTTTCCCCATTTGGTGATTATTTACAGTTTTATTCATCCGGGGGGTTTTATTCTCGGTTCATGCTCTGGCTTCTGCTTTGTTTATCTGCCTCTAATAAATGAGTCGCTGCTAAATGTTTTAGTGCAGATTGCCTGCAGAAGCTTATTTAGAAACTGGGTGAGCTGAAGATTTGGTAGAAGGTGGTCCTGAATGCTGACTCTCAGTGGTCCTGAATGCTGACTCTCTGTGCTTGTGCCATCGGTGGTGCAAATCCCACGTGAATTAGGACTGACCGCTGAAGGGCTTTCAGCTCTGGACTGGAGTCCAGATGAGCAAAGTGGTAAGGCTGCCTTCTGGCATGAGGTGGGACCCCGGCCTGTGAGGGATGGGGGGCGGGGGCGTCTTTCCTGCCACAAATTGGGGGACGTTCCACCTCCGTGCCGGCTGGGATTTTGATCAGGTGTCCCTCTGTATTCCCCCCCTTACGACTGAGATGGTTCCTCTCCTGGACACTTGACTCACGATCAGAAGCTGTGGATCTTACCATGGAGTTGCTGTCACTGTGTAGTTCACCAGTGGTGAGCATTTCCACCCAGTCAAATCAGCCCTCTGGCACTTTAATTAGTGAAACTTCCTCCCCCAGGATCACAGCCGTGGGACATGGGGAACGGTGGTAGTCTTACAAAAGACTGACTGGGAAGCTGGGAGAAGGCCTCTGGACTTTACCTCACTGTTACTGTACTTTACATCCCCGTAACGCTTCCTTGGCATACCGACTGGTTCTATATGGACAGGTCTCTGAATGTGTAGCTTTCTTTATCTGAACATACCATAGTGAAACCCTGTTTGGCAGATTATTTAAAAACCCCTTTGACTGACTGTGTGTGACATGTTTCAACATAGAGCAGCGGGGAGGAAGCAGAAAATGTGCGCATAGCGCAGTGCTCGTGAATGAGGAAGCAGCCGCAAAAACTGTGCCTTCACAGAGGTGCTGCTCTGCCCTGTTATTCTGATGAAAGTGCATTGTCTAATCATAGATTATGCTTAGTATTTTGTAGGTAAGTCGGAAAAATAATAATTCGGTACATAATGATAACAGTAATAATTATACAGTGATAAAAAAAAGTAACTGCATATGGTACTGCACTGTACCTCGAGCTGACCGACCACTGAAGCCACGCAGTGTTTTCACAAGCGTCACACAGTGGTGTATTTGTTAGTCATTAGGAACCATTGTATTTAACCTGAATATTTAATACAAGGGGCTTTTTGTCAGTGTGTTCGTAACGACGAGCTGCCCATAGGTCGGATGTTCTTTACCCCGGCGCTGCCTGTATTTTCCCCCAGCTTGTGGGCATGTTCTCTCTCTCCCTAATTAGAGCCGGTGGTTTCTCTGATGTAAATTGACAGGCAAGAGCCTTGACAGATGTGAGGCGCGCCTAAGGCTGTGTGGCATGTCACACAGGTGCTGCGTGTCCCTTAGCTGCCCGCCGCCCCCTCGGTTTGTTTGGTATATAAATAGAGGGGTGGCAGCAGGCCTCCGGGGAATCGCTGTTGGCTCTTGCTATGCCACCCTTTCGGGCACCTAAAAATGGCCACGCGCGTCATTTGTGAACCGACTTGGGAGCCGCAGCCTCCGCTCCGTGGGCTGCGCTCCTGCACTCTGTGCCGCACCGGTAGGTCTTCAGTTCGCTGCCGCCTCTTGTAAGTCAAGCCTATAAAGTGCATGGAATTGCGCTAAATATGTGAAGGATGTGGGGTCATCTGTGAAGACTCTACCACTTCAGGCCTGTGGTGCCGGATAGCTGGGGGTTCATTCCATTTCTTCGGCTGTGATGGGAGCGGGGGGGCGCGGGGGGAGGGGGGCGCGTGGATAACGTGTGCCATCACATCAGCTCAGTCAGAGCTGCCGTGAGCTTTTGTTGAATCTGTACGCCAGGTATAACTCACCTAAACACACAATACATGCTGCGTAGAAAAGAGACGTAAACAGTGCACACCCTTATTATGACTTGCTGACTGGTTTATTGGATTCATAGTTTCTGTGGGGGGGGGTAGGGCGTGAGCCCTGGCCGCTATGCCGCGTCAGGTGACCCGGATCAGCAGTAGCGCCTTATTCCTCCGCTCCCTCTTCCTCGCCCATTTCCTTATATTGTTACGTTTTGGCCTGTGTTTCCTGCTCTAACCTGGCTCCCAGTATGTGCCACTGCTCACAGAGCCACATTGTAACTGCGATTCCTTCATTCGAGCATGAAGCATGTTTTTATTCTAACCTCGGGTGAGTTGTTGTGTTAGTGTCATGCTGGCCCCGTCCCCGATTCTCCCAGCATGCTCTGTGAAAGAGGAAAAAGCTGCCTCAGCAGCGTCCCTGAGTCACACGGCCACGTCGGTCCCGGCTTGGACGATTCTGCGGTCTCTAACAGTCACACGTCGTGGGGACGGTTCCCAGGACTTGTGACCTACATGCAGAAATTTGGCCATTAAATTCTGTTTAAATCCTCTGTGCCTTACACTGGCTTTCACAACAGCCTTTGTCTGAGTGTCACAAAGGGACTTATAGCATGCAGTTTCAGTGTTAATTTCGGTTTGTAAGTGATTGAGAGTGATTGGCAGGCAGGGCCTGCTTCCCCTCCATTTTCACATCATCAGTGATGAGAGATGATGTCGCTGGACATTCTGCCTGCACTGTTCTTCCTGTATTGCCCTGTTTGCCTGTGCAGGTCTGCCTGTGATGCCCAACTCGCCTGCACTGTTCTGTCTTTCTGTGCTTTTCTGTCTGCGCTGCCCTGTCTGCCTGCACTACTCTGTCTGCCTGCACTGCTCTGTCTGCATGTGCTGCTCTGCCTGTCAGTGAGATCTCTTGGTGGGTTGTCCGGCGATGGATGTCTTTGTGCTCCCCCCCAGCTATAAAAAGAGCCCCCCAGTGAATGAATGGGCTGACTGTGCCTTTCCTTTATTATCTCCTAATTCTAGCTTTGATAAAGAACATGATAGCAGCCTGGTGGGGTTAGAACCTGCCCAGTGCCGTCCCGTAAGCAGCCTGGTGGGGTTAGAACCTGCCCAGCGCCGTGCCGTAAGCAGCCTGGTGGGGTTAGAACTTGCCCAGTGCCGTCCCCTAAGCAGCCTGGTGGAGTTAGAACCTGCCCAGCGCCGTCCCGTAAGCAGCCTGGTGGGGTTAGAACCTGCCCAGCGCCGTCCCGTAAGCAGCCTGGTGGGGTTAGAACCTGCCCAGTGCCGTCCCGTAAGCAGCCTGCCTTCCCACGTCAGGGTCTTTCCTGTGTGAACGTGTTGTACTTGTCAACTATAAACCGCCGCCTCGACGCAGCTGTCACTGGTGAAACTCCACTTCCTGGCCACTTCTCTTATGTGAACAGCAGCAGCTCGGCACGCGCTGACAGAGAGATGCCCACAGCTGGACGCGCCGCCTGAATCCTGCAGCCGCTCCTCGGACGCTTGTCCGTCACACTGAGTTAGAGCCCAGTCCTTTGCATTACCAGTGCTAGTACACCTGCATGTTCATTATTTTTCATGGTATGGACAGCAGGTGGGTATTTATCACGCCGGTGGTCTTGATTAAAGTCTTGGCTTTAGTAGTCTAAATGCCTGTGCCCTTAAATAAACTCGCACCCGCTGCCCGGCAGCCCAGTCCGGTGGCCCAGTCTCAGACGACAGCTGTGCTGCTTGTTAACTACGGCTTCTATCTTTAGGGCTGCGTCTCTCTAATGAGGTGGGGGAACCATACGGGGTAAGTTGACCCCCCCCCAAGGCCCTGAGTCACTTAAAAGGCACATGGCAGACATCTGCTCACCCCCTCCATTCCTCCCCAGAAGTGACCATTTATGGTGGGTGATGCTGGAGCCGAGGTCCCTCTGTGGTCAGCCTTGGAAAGGCGTATGACTCAGTGCTGCCCCCTACAGCTTGTGCTGTATGTGTTGTGCTGCATGTGGCAGCCAAGGGGACCCAGGCTTAAGGCGCTTTATTTTAGAGCCACGTCGCTGCTTTCAGCCGGGCTATAAGGGTCTCTGTCCGCATGCGGACCCTCCAAGCGAATGTATAAAGCCCCCAGTTAGGCTCTGATCCCTTTCATGCTTATGGCAGTACAACAGGTGCTTCTTTTCAGGGTGAGGACAGTTTATTTGATTTAGATCCGGGGTAGATGTGCCTTAAAAACTGAATACAGTCGAGTCAAGAACTTCAGCTGAGCATTTGGAAGGACGTCCATGTTGTGTAAAATTTAATTTAAAAAATGAATACAAGAGGACGACCCTCCTGAAAAATATGGAAGACATCTTGCCAAAAAATAGCTGCAGTGATAGTTATTTTGTGATGTAAAAATTTCTCTTTATATAGCAACAGAACATATTAGAATTTTTTCCAATTCTGTATCTTATATGAGGCATTTTGGGAGTCTTTGTTGGGGAAAGAAAGTCAAGATTCCGGCTTCTCTCTGTCTGTGTGGGATCGTGTGAAATCGGCGTCTATGCTTTTGAACTTCTTTCAAATCCGGCCCATGTACCATGGTGATGATGTCCTCGCAATCGGTCCTGATGCTGGAAGCTGCAGCTGTAACATTACAGTTATCTAGCAGACGCTTTTACCCAAAGTGGTTTACATCTTTCAGAGAGCAGGGTCAGACCGTCCCTGGAGCAGTGGCAGGTTAAGGGCCTTGCTCAGGAGCCCAATGGTGACATCACTCTGCTGAGCCTGGGATTTGAAATACTGACCATCCACTTACAGGCGCACCAACCTGAACCACTGAGCCACACACCCACCGCACTGTAACAGTGCCACCTGGGGCTCTGCTGCCAGCCAGTTCCCTGCATTGCACTGCTTTCGGGCTGCGTGTTCATTTACCTTGTGTTCCCTGTGTTCATTTAGTTGTGTTTTTTTTCCACCTGCAGCGGACAGTTTGCTGTCGTGCAGCGCTGCACGGAGAGGAGCACTGGCATCGATTACGCCGGAAAATTCATCAAGAAGCGGCAGAGCCGGGTGAGCCGGCGCGGGGTGCGCCGCGAAGAGATCGAGCGTGAGGTCGGCATCCTGCAGCACATGCAGCACCCCAACATCATCACGCTGCATGACGTCTATGAGAACCGCACCGACGTCGTGCTCATCCTTGAGCTGTGAGTGCCGGCCACACCTGGGGGCTGGGGGCTGGGGAGCGGGGGCCCAGAGCCCAGTCACTGACTGCAGATGCACCACAACCTGTGCCTTAGGGTCAGCTTCCAGAACATTCTGTACACCCCTCATGACATGGGATTGGACAGGTTCGAGAAACGGTCATGTTTGTTCTGTGTGGTGCTCGCCTTTGCCAGCAGTAGACCGGAGTGACCGACCCACATGCCAGTGGCGTGTTGGGGGCAGAAGGGGGGCTGGTGGGGCTAAACCTGTTAGGGTGTTTGTACAGGCTGCAGTGAGCAGACAAGTGTAAACACGCAGTGAACACTAAGGTCAGGGTCTATTCAGTCAGCGTGCAGAGAATGAGAGCCCCTCCTGCTGTTATTAGGTGAAGTAACACATGAACACTGTGATACTGGAGGCTCTGGGTCAGGCTGCCTGGTTTTGCTGAGCTCGACGTGTCCCTGGGTCAACAAGGGAGGGGCTTGCATTTCACTGCTTTAACCAATCACAGTCTTCATTGTGTGACATCATCACATTGGTCTGTTTCATTTTTTTTTCATTTGCATACTAAAGGCTTCCAGCCATCCAGTCACCCGGCGTGTGGCTCAGCAGGCTAAGCCTGCTCCTCGTCAGAAGGCTGCCGCTTTGAGCCTCTTCATCATTAATATTATTATTATTATTATTATTATTATTATTATTATTATTATTATTGTTGTTGTTGTTGTTGTTGTTGTTATCATCATCATGATGACATAAAGATGCACCCTTATATTGCTCTGTACAGCCTTTTGCAGATAAGCATATTCCTATGTTTTGTACTAACAAACAAAATAATGTGGTGATGTCACACAATGAAGACTGTGATTTCAAGTCCCTCCCTTGTTGACCCAAGGACATGTTGAACTCTGGGTCAGGCTCAGACTCAGGCTCTGGCTCTGGCTCTTGGTCAGGTTCAGACTCTTGGTCAGGTTCAGGCTCTGGGTCAGGTTCAGACTTAGTCAGGTTCAGGCTCTGGCTCTGGCTCTTGGTCAGGCTCTGGGTCTGTGTCAGGTTCAGGCTCTGGGTCAGGTTCAGGCTCAGGCTCTGGGTCTGTGTCAGGTTCAGGCTCTGGGTCTGTGTCAGGTTCAGGCTCTGGGTCTGTGTCAGGTTCAGGCTCTACACAGGTTCAGGCATGTGCTGTCTCTATCTTCTCTCTCTCTCTGTGTGTGTCATGGCACATAGACAAGCATCTCAGCTGCTTTAGTGGCTCTGACTTCCCCTCCCGGGGCGGTAATGTGTGTGAGTGTGTGCCTCCCTGCCCAGGATGTCCCCCCCCCCCCCCCCCCCCGCCCTGTGATTCCCCACAGGGGCTCTGCAGCCCTGCCCAGGATAAGTGTTTGGATGGATAGGTGCTGAGTAATTAAGAAAACCTGCTTCTTTATAGCTCTTAAATAGAAGTAAGTAAACACAGCAGTAAAGCCCGCAGAGAAGCACATGTTTGTATTTTGGTACAGTCTGTGCCCACCCCCCCCCCCCCAGTGCAGCACCAAAAAGAGGATGTGGCTGCATTTAGGGACACTGTTGGCCTCTGTCAGACTTGGCAGCGAGGAGGCGGCCCATTGTTTACGGGGAAGCTGCTCTCTGCATCACTGCATGTGACACATAAACATTCCCATTAGCAGCCCATGCTCCCATCCCGGGTCTGACTGCTGCCGCGTCCCCTCGCAGGGTGTCCGGGGGAGAGCTCTTCGACTTTCTGGCCCAGAAGGAGTCGCTGAGTGAAGAGGAGGCTACGCAGTTCATAAAGCAGATCCTCGACGGGGTTCACTACCTCCACACCAGGAAGATCGCCCACTTCGATCTGAAGGTACCTCTCCGGCCTTCCTCCACTCTCTCCACCAGTCCTGTCCTCTCCGGTCTCCCTCCCTGTCACATTATGTCACACGTGTGTTCAGGAAGGCCTGGATGATGACTGGCGCCCCCAGCTGGTGGTCAGGACCGGCCTGATGAATTCATAGCATGATGAATTCACAGATTAATGCATTATGTTAAATAACACAAAGTACTATTCTGAGAATAATTGAACGTGTCCAATTGAGGGCAGTGTGTGGCTCAGGAGGTCAGGACGCAGTGCCTATGATCAGAAGGTTGCTGGTTCAAGTCTCACTGGTCAATGGTCCCGGCTGGCGTACTTGAAGGCCTTTTCGGGGTGGTGTTACCGAGGCGTGTGCCGGGTGCCCAGGCATGCCGGGGTTAAAGGGGCCCGACGCACCTTCCCCCTGTGCGCCAGGGACGGAAGCGTGGGGGTCAGGAGCTCTATGCAGGGTCCATCCTCGGGGGCAGGGGTGGGTTCCTGAGGAGAAGGGGATGAGAGAGGGTGGAGTACGTGCAGGTCGCTCTCTCCGACACCGAGCCGGTCTGGCGGCGCCCGCCCGTGTCAGCTGCATGTCACAGGACGTCACGGCCAAGGTGCGCTTTCCCAATGCATCATTTCCTGGGTGGAGCAGCTGCCAGAGGCAACTCCCTGGTTTTGGCACCGAGCCCAGGATTCAAAGAGTACAGCGGTGATTTCATTATGCAAATGTCATGTAAAGTGAGCCAGGGGGCACGAAGAGATGCGCGGGAATGCCAGTGGCCGCACCTCAGAGGGAGCCCTGCTTCTTCATTGGGTGTTCATCTCCGCCAATCATGTCACAGTAATTGCTTTCTGTGGGTTTGTGCACATCATATCTCTGCTTTTTGCCATTAGGAAATACTGCTTTGTTGTGAATAATTTTGAGGTTTTCTCCTGGTTTACAGCCTGAAAACATAATGCTGCTCGATAAGAACGTCCCCCTGCCGCGGATAAAACTGATCGATTTTGGTCTAGCTCAGAAAATCGAGGACGGGGTGGAGTTTAAGAACATTTTCGGCACTCCTGAGTTTGTAGGTGAGTTGCTCTGGATATTTGGCAGAAATGGAGCGATCTCATGTTTTTTTCTTTTGCTCCTAATGCTCATAACTGCCCTCCTGTCAATCTGCAGCTCCAGAGATTGTCAACTACGAGCCCTTGGGTTTAGAGGCAGATATGTGGTATGACCCGTGTCATTTATGGTATCTAGAGCACAGCGACACTTTCAGACAGTTAAACCTTCTGTTTGTCCCCTTACAGGAGCATAGGAGTCATCACATACATCCTGTAAGTGCAAAATGGGTCCCATTTACAGCCTTCTTTCTAAATTTGTTTAATAATATTGGTTATGGAAACGGCTAAGAAGGCGTCTCTCGTGGTCCGTCTCTTCAGGTTAAGTGGGGCTTCACCTTTTCTCGGCGAAAATAAGCAGGAGACTCTCGCCAACATCTCGGCCATGAACTACGACTTCGACGAGGAGTTCTTCAGCCACACCAGCGACCTGGCCAAGAGCTTCATCAGGCAGCTGTTAGTGAAGGACACCAGGTGAGCTGAGGGGAGCAGGAATGGGAGGGTAGAAACAGGAAGTAGGCCGAAGGAGCCGCCAGCCACTTCCTCTTTAGACACCTTTCAAGGTATATTAGACCAGTGTTTCCCAATCTGGTCCTCGGGGGGCCACAGGCTACCGGAAGCTGGGAGGGAGCAAAAACGTGGATCCTCTGCGGGTCCCCGAAGACCGGGTTGGGAAACACTGCATTAGACCATTATGGAGTTTTCAGGATTCCTCTCGGGCGGTGACTGGGTATGGAGTGTTGCTGTTTGCCAGCTTTGAGTTGGTTTTGGAATGATGTAAGGCAAGTTGGGGCTTGTACAGTGAGCCGTAGTAAAAATACCACATGGGTGATGCACTTCTGTTTATCTCACTTCAGTGAATAGTTCTTATTTTTTGCCCGACAGGAAGAGGATGACAATTCAAGATGCACTTAACCACCCATGGATTAAGGTATTGTATTGTGTCTTACATGGTTAAAAGAATTTACCGGAACTGTAAACTCTGCTTCCCTCCATTCCGAATCGTGTCAACACATGCATGATGCCAGTGACGCCTGTTAATGACTGCATGATGGAAGCAGGGTGACATCGTGGGGGTGTCTGGGTGTCCAGGCAGCCGCACAGCCGCACAGCCCCCAGCAGTGCAGGCGACACGGTGATGGCTTGGGGTGCTTTGCGAGGCCGAGAGCCTGCTGGTGGCTCACAACCTGAGGAATGTCCTTCAAAGCCAGCAGCAGAGTTCCCTCTGGGGAATGTTTTCAGCATTACACTCAACTACAGCATCCTCTTATTTCTAAATAAATCTGAATATTCTGGACTGTGCTCTTCACCATAAACTTTTTAGTAAATTTTGCTATTTTTTTATTGAGACACATTTTCTTATAATATCCTCACATATGGAATGTGGCTCTTTGTTTTAACGTGGATGCCTTCACGAACCCATCTGGAAAAATGTAGGAAGGAAGGAAGAACGATCCATGCATGGAATTGTCAGGAGCTGCTGTTGTGTTTAAGTTTCTGCATCTCCTGCCTGCAGTGTGGATTAACCCCTGAAGTGCTGTGGACCTCCTTGGCTTTTCCTGCTCACTGTCTCTAGGTCCATGTTTGACGCGTCATCTTGCTGTGAGTTTCCTATTCAGTAATTCCCGCGTTTTTGTGTTCAAAGTCTCATGAGCACAAAGATGAAACCAGGGCACCGGAGAGCAAGAAGAAGGACCAGAGGAAGCTGAAGACCAAGCGCCTGAAAGAGTACACCATCAAGTCCCACTCCAGCATGCCCCCCAACAACACCTACGTCAACTTCGAGCGCTTTGCTCAAGTAGTGGAAGACATCTCCTCAATGGAGACCAGCTTTGATGACATTGCTGGACTTCATGATTCCCTGCAGGAGGACATCGATGCTCTGGTCTCCATCTACAACGAAAAGGACTCTTGGTACAAGGAGGAGAGTGAGCACGTGCGGCATGAGCTCTCCCAGATCCGGTACGAGTTCCGCAAGGTGGAAACCATGAAGAAACACCTGCAGGACGATATTAAGTCAGTGGATGCCAACCTCAGCAGAATTGATGAGAAGTACAAGGACAGGAAGTCACACCTCGATTCCCTGAGGCAGGAGCTGTCGTCGGAGCTCGTTTGGATACAGGAGGTCATCACCTCCTTCCAGGTTGACGTCGGTAACAGAAGCTACACCAATACAAACCTCTCCTCCGTCTTCAACAATGATATTAATCAGGCCTTGAAGGAGCTTCTCCAGCAGTCCTGTGGAGAGGAAATTCTCTCGGGGATTAAACTGGACTTGAACTGAGGACTACATTAGCTTATACTATGTAGGCCCTTAACATAATGTATGAAGATTTTGAGATATTAATGAACTTTCTGTTTATTATTTAGGTATTTCATTCTTGTATTACATGAATAAATGAATGATACATTTATTGAACTTAAGGCCTCTATATTGGATGTAGTAGGACCTTACTCATCTCATCATCTCATTGTAAATCTCATCTACAATCATATACAATATGTATATTCATTGTTTTCTAATTTTAAAGAAAAAAGTTTTTATGTGATCGTATTTAATGTTCAAAAATGTTACATTTTGTAGGTACAGTTTTGTTGGGACACTGCAGTCGCTCTGAATCAGTTTAGCTGTTTTCCGCTTTGTCCTAGTTGTTTTATATTGATTTACTGCATATCCATGTGCTTTTGTTAGCAGTGAAATTAATTGTATGATTTAGAGTGATTAAAACACCAGCAGATGGCTGCAGTTGAGAATGTGGGATTAAGGCAGCCGGAGTAACTTCACGTGCATTCAGAGCTGCTCCTTGCAGTGGCTGTTGTCTTCATTATGAGTTTCATATGACTTCTCCTGGTGAGGGTTGTGGCGGCAGCTTGCCCGTCAGGTCAGACCGGACCTCTCTGCCCATCACGGACTCCAGCTCTCTCTGGGATGCACCCAGACGTTTCCTGGCCAGCTGGGAGATGGCTTGGCCTGGGTCCCCTGGATGTGTCCTGGGGAGCTCACCAAGCGCCATCCTTATTCGATCCCCAGATCAGCTTACTGGGCTCTATCCCAAGGAGCAGCAGCTCTGTTTCGAGGTGCCTGTGAATCTTGCGGCCCCCTCGCCCCGCGGGCGGCCTCTCTGGGGACCATGCGCTTACCGCCCCATCTGGAGGGATGTGAACTGCGACTTCCACCCTCCGCCAGGGGTTAAGAGATAAAGCTTATGTGTTCAAAATGATCTCAGTGACACGCAGTAGTGCACCGACGTGGAAAATTTGAGCGATACTGATAACCGATATTAGTGCTGCTGCTTGTTTAGATCTTGTGATTGCATGTAGCGACCGCATCAGATAAAGCCGACATCATGGGAGACTGTAGCGAAGCGCGAAGTGATGAATAAGCCGAAAAAATCTCTCACCCTTCACTACAGAAAATGGCTGATTGTCCAAAGCAATCATCTGCCTTATTTTAATAGTAATCTCCTTAGTTCTAGTGCTGCTAACTTTGAATCTTGACTAAAATCTAAATATTGGTCTGCAATATACACCAGGATAAGGTCGGTGCCGGAATCTTGATTATTAATGAACGTAGGTCAATACCAATTTGTTAAAGATATATGGCGCGTCTCTAGTGAAATGATATTTCTCATGTTCGTCATGTTTCTGATGCTCTTGGCCTGGGAATTGTGCAGGACTGAAGCCCAGGCTTATTCTTTCCATTGAACTGACAGGATGGATTAGACGCCATGAGTATTTTGTTATGGTGGCGTGTGATGTGAGCCCCTACGGTGACCCGTCCTGCCGCCCCCGTCGCCCTCGGCTCGTGCCTTTTTGCTCCTACTGACCTTCGCTCACATCGTGCCTTTCAGCCGCTGAACCAACGGGAAGCTTTGGTCCGCAGACTCTCCGTCGTCAACATAGAGAACTTCAGGAAGGAGTACATCCGGCGCAAATGGAAGGTAAGCGAGGGCCGTCGGCCGCGGCAGGCGTGCAGTAGCATGCGGGCGATGGTGAGACCTTGCTCTTCTTGTCATTTCCTGTAGATGTCCTTCAGGATTGTAGCCCTCTGCAACCACCTAAAGCGTCTGATGATGAAGGGGGACAGCGAGGAAGGCGAAGAGCTGGTGCGTACAGACCACGCCACTATCTCTGGCTGACAGGCCCGACTTTGCATTTATTAATGTACATCAAAACAGTTACTAATAAGATCTTGCCATATTTGTTGGTTACATCGTCGTTAGACCTGTTTTTCCTGATATTTACCACCTACGGCAGCAGGTGTGACTTTAATGTTTGGACAGTCAGACGGCCGGATGTGAGTGAGCGTGCCTTGTGTTACAGAGAGACTGCGAGAGCGACCAGGAGGTGGACGGGAAGCCAAAAAGGCGCAGGGGCCGGAAGCGGAGCAGCACATCCTGAGCGGAAGAAGAGCAGGAAAACAAGCGAGCAGAGAAGCGGAGGTCCAGCGGGATCCCGGCCGAGCTTCCGGGGGGGGCGCTCCTTCCCAGACCTGCGTTACCAAGGATCGCCATTCCTCTGGAGCCTGTTTCACCTTCATTTGCTTGTTTTCCCATCCTTGTCATAACGAAGCCTGTATGCAGCCCCCCCCCCACATATCAGGAAGTGGAAGCCATTACTTGCCAGATTCCCCTACTGTCACAGTTAACCTCTTTAACACCGAGTGCCGCGTCACTAGACCTCCAACTCTCGACACGTTGGGCGCGGTGGCGGCGCATGTCACGCCACCTACGGATACCTGAATGTCGCAATAAAAGCCGCTGATGCTGCAGTCGGCTTGGCTGCGGAGCTGCCGGTCGCAGTCGCAGCTGAGACCCAGACTGCGCCTTTAAGGATTGCACCAATCGGGAGGCCCTATGGGACTCTCCACCCTGCCACACGTAGACGGATGATGTGGCATCCTGCCAGTACACTGTGATGTGCTTAAAATAAGGGGACAGTCGATGGCTCCTTGCATAGATTTTAAAATTAACTGCACAAATGTACAGTTGAAAAGGTATTGGAGAAATCTGGCCTGGGGTTTCAGGCCTGGTCATAAAGGCCACCACCAGCCCTTCAGTGCCTTGATGACTTTAATGTGGTTACTGTTTTATATTATAGCAGACTAAAGTATTTTATAAGGGTGATGATTCCCTAGCATATTTTTGGTCTTTTATTATCCTCCTTGGTTAATACTTGACATTCTGATGACCTTTGTCATTCTCAGTTTGTCATCAGTGTCACAGATGACATTGAGCCCCGCTGAGGCTGAAATAACTGGCCGATCTGTGAGATTCAGAAGCGGCTGGGAAGCGCTCGCATGGCCCGACCAAGCTGCTTTTGTTTTTTAATAAACCGCGTGTGTCATGGTTAAACATCCGTTGCACAATCAGCCCTGCGCCCGTGCTGAAGCGACGTGCCCGTATATGCGGACGTCGTTCTCAGCTGCCCGGAGCTGCCTTTCCTGCTCCTCAAGGCGCCTCTGGTTTCGGCGAGAGCCGCTACCATGATACTGCTGGCCAATCATCAGTGACTTTGGCATTTTAACTATTTAAAAGCTCTTCTGCTCCTTGTAGCATGACACCTACATTCCAGGGACTATCCATGAACCAGAGACATAATGCTTCTTCATGACCTTCTTCCAATCAGGTGATTAAAAAGACCTATAGAGACCCCCCCCCCCCCCACACACACACACACACCCCTCAAACCAATCTTCTGTAATGATCTTATTAATTTTAGCTCATGGGGTTTTTATCTGTTTTGGTCAAATTCTGTCTATGTATTTTAATTCTGCATTTATGCCATGTCTAATTTGTCTCTTTTATATAGTTTACAATATTTGTATAATTTCACTCATTTCCAGTTCTTTCATGCTTATATCGCTAAACACACTGTGAAATGTTCAGGTTTGCCAGATATTTTACTTACTTTGCAGTTTATTTAGTTTCCATCAGCTGATTGATGTATTAACTCATATTGTTCTCCTCATTTTGTTTATGTAACATGATTTTATTTATTGACAGTGGTTACGGAGAGGCTTTATTAAATGAGTGAATACTGTTTCTTCTGCTGTGTGCTGAGTATTAGGTCATGTCAGGAAGGTCTTCGGGGCACCGTGAAGCGATACTTTCACTTTGTGCTCACGTGGTTTCTTCCAAATGTTTCCATTAATCCTTATAATATGCTTTTATTGGCCATTACCTCAAGAGCTCAGGATTTCCAGCACAGAATAATGCACTTAATGCACATGATATGATGAATGCGCAGCCTGTATATACATGTTGAGGGTGTTTTTTATGTGCCCATACAATAAACAGGACGTTTCTCCCCAATGGTTTATGACTTATGTTTTCTAAATGAGGTATAATGGCTTTAGTAGATTTGCTGTTAGTGCCTGCTAGCTCAGCACATGTGATCCTGCTGCTTTCTGGGGGGGGGGGGGGGGGCTGAGCCCCAGTGCATTGTGGGTCTGGGTTCTGTTCACGCCATGCCTTTCAGGTATGCGACTGAGAACAGGTTATTGTCCAATCATCTCTGGAAACTGGAAGCACATGCTGTCAGTCAGTTCAAAAGTATTCATACAATTACTGCAGCATAATATTAGCATTTTAAATGTGGAGGGTGACAGCTGTGTCCCTGCAGGCCTTGCCGGTGTGGGCTCCTCACTGGCTTATGAGTCGTCCCCGTTTGTGCGTAATGGTGTTTCCACCTGCCTTGCCCATGTGGCAATAAAGATTCCGATTCCGATTTCAGGGAGTCCATTACGGCCAGACCTCTGAGCGGGAAGCGATTTCTTAAATAAGACCAGGAAGATGAGTGATATTTAGTGCCACAGTTCTGATGCAGGAGAGCAGGACATCTTGAATGTTTCTTCCTGACATGTGAGGAAATGACACTATAAAACTCAAATGATCATGATAAACCTGGTTACTCAGACTCTGCTTCTGAACTGAGAGCAGTTCTGTGAACTGAAACACAGTGTCCTTATCTGCTCTGAGACGCAGCTGCGGCAGAACTGTGAGGAAGGCGACTGAAACCCCAGCAAAAAGACTGCATGTCTGAATATACAGCTGTATGTGTGTGTGTCTGTGTGGTCATGTATATATGAGATTGTGGGGACCAAATGTTCCCACAATGTGACAAAAACCTGTTATTTTGACCTTGTGGGGACATTTTTCTGATTTTAGTTTGGTTAGTTGGTTTAGTTTGGTGAAATGAATGAATGGTCTCCACAAAGATATGAATACAAACGTGTGTGTGGGTGTGAGTGTGTGTATGTAACAGTGGAAGTGTGAAGCCCTATGTAGCTGTGGGTTTGCTCTTCAATATAGAAGCATAAGGATGTAGAAACAGCGCAGTGATGAATCAGGTTACAAAAGCATCTTGTGCCAAACACGGTCCTCACGTATGCCACAGGCTGTCGCTAACTCGCTAAGCTAACTGTACCATGACATATTTACAGGAGGTATCAGGCCCTCAGCCACGGAAACGGGCCCACTGCCCCCACTGACAGGGCGGGCAGACAGATCCGCAGGCCTCTGCTGGATCCCCGTAGCTCCACGTTCGCCAGCATCTGTAATGTGACATCCAGTTTTTATCTTTACATTACTTTGACTATTATGTGCAAATTTGAAAATATATGAGAAAACTATATATTAAAGCATAGGACTTTTTTTACAGTGGTTAATTAGTGTCCACACTCAGTGGGGAGTGCCATAACACAGGGGTGTAAATTACAGGGGAGATGGGGGGTTTGTAACCCTCCCAGTAATCAAAACCAACTAATACAACCCCCCCAATAATCATGTCTCCCCCTAATTGGGTGGAGACCTCAACCCCCTCAATGTTCAAACCAAAGTTACATCCTTGCCATAACATTACACCTTCTGGGTTCTGGGTTCGATTTCTGGCCCAGCCTCCCCCCGTGTGGACTTCTCCCTGCATCACCTGGGTTCCGTCTAGGTGCTCCAGTCCCCCCCCCCCCCCCCCCCCCC